TCAGGACAATAACTTGTGTTTAAGTGTATGGATCTTTATGAAATTGTACTACAAAATTCCATATCACAAAGGGAAAGCTGGGTTTGAGTTTGGGGTAATTGCCCTAAACATTTAGGAAATTGGGGCCAAAAAGGGGCCAAAAAACAAGCATTTTTACACTTTCCATTTTTATACGACCGCAAAAAATGTTTTGCGTCGTATAATGCTATCATGTCGTCGTCCGAAGACGCATTCAGTTTCCGGACAATAACTTTAGTTTAAGTGAATGGATCTCTATGAAAATTTACCATAAGGTTCAATTCCACAAAAGGAAGGTTGGGATTGATTTTGGGGGTTATGGCACCAACAGTTAAGGAATTAGGGGCCAAAAATAAGCATTTTTGTAACTTCCAGACAATAACTTGTGTTCAAGTGTATATATGGATCTCTCTGAAATTGTACTGCAAGGTACCATACCACAAAGGGAAGGCTGGGATTGAGTTTGGGGTGATGAATCATAAGGGGGTTCAAAAAATTGGGGTGGGGGGGGGGGGAATTTTTTTTTTCCTTTTTTTTTTTTCTTTAAAATTTTCCATTTTAAGTTGGTTATTTTTTATTTATATATTAAAGCAAATAAAAATGATATGGTTTGATTTCATCAAAAAATGAAATATTGGCGTTCTTTGATATGCTGCATCTAACTGTGTATTTAGATTCTTAACTTTTGGTCCAGTTTTCAAATTGGTCAACATTAAGGTCCAAAGGGTCCAAAATTAAACTTAGTTTGATTTTTAACAAAAATTGAATTCTTGGGGTTCTTTGATATGCTGAATCTAACCGTGTATGTATTTAGATTTTGGATATTGGACCATAATAGGTAAATTAAAATTTTTTACGTTCTTAGACCACATTCATTCTGTGTCAGAAACCTATGCTGTGTCAAATATTTAATCACAATCCAAATTCAGAGCTGTATCAAGCTTGAATGTTGTGTCCATACTTGCCCCAACTGTTCAGGGTTCGACATCTGCGGTAGTATCAAGCTGCGCCCAGCTGAGCATTTTATTAGAATTGCAGTGACATTTTCATACCTGCCAACTTTTCAAAACCTCCATGGGAGATTTTAAGCACAAGAGGACCTAGTGGATGTTTTATACATGCCTAAAGTATATTTGATAAGATATACTATGATTTTTAAGGAGTATATATGTACTTTAATGCCATTAATCTCAATTGAATAACTATTTTGTGGTATTAAGTTCATATAATAGAGGATTTAAATAGTCAGGCCAACCCCTCCCATGGGGGATATCCCCCATAAAATGGAATAGTTGGAAGGTCTGCATTTTATTACCGGTATTAGATTAATGATTTGTTCCTTAGCTTATCCAGAAAAAGAGTTTCTATACCATATCTATACATACTCTTTTATAAGATAAATTGCAGTGAAAAAGGATGTACTTAGGACAGATTATATTTACTAAACTTATACAAAATAAAATATGTTTACATTTGTTTCATCCTGGATATATATCAGTTATCAGTTTTTTATCTGATGATATTTTCTCTTGAAATAGTAAGTTCTTTTATAACATAAAGTTTTAATTTTCATGTTCCCTGAATTAACATAAGTCTAACTTATGACAAAGTTACATATTTGCATGTCCTAAGAATAGTCCCAAGAAAGGATTGTAAACCCCTTATATACTGTGAATTAAGAAACTATTGCTAACATTAATAATTCAATTCAATTCAATTTCAATTCAATATTTTATTGCCATATAAACTTTACAGATTGTGACATATAACAAAACAAATGAAGACAATAACTAAGTAACTCAATATATATATACAGGTTCAAGTAAATATTAAAGGGTCCCCCGTCCTCAGTTCTATTGACTTTTTAATAAAGGATCCTAGTTTATTCACTTGTGTTGGTGTTGATGGGTTAAGTATATATATAACTTTGTCATTGTCAGTGAGATGTGAATTGAGGAAAATCTGCTTACAGATATATGTATAAGATATCAGAATAAGAGTTCTTATTATTGTGATACTCACCTAGTCACATTATTCACATTATATTTTCTCAATTTACAGTATCACATCTGTTTATCAATTCTAATACAAAAATATATTTTAATTTTAAAAATCAATGACGTCAATCTATTCAATTACCGTAGGTTTTTTTGCAAGAATTAACGCTTCATAAAGCTGACAAGGACTCACAAAATCATATTCAACTGTTTACTTTGTGTGCTTAATTGTTTCTTTGGCTAATTTAGTGATTTCAATTAACAAATAGAATTGATTAAAAAAATTTGAGCAAGTTTTACTTGTCGTAACTTGGAACTGAATTGCCTCCTTGAAGTTTGAATACACAGTAATATTGACCTCAATTGTAAACCTACAATGACTTTTGATCTACACTACATAAAATTATTCTGTAAATTATTTCTCAGAGATGAAAGATTAAGGATAAAAAAGATGCATGTTTTTGCAAAGAAAAGACAAAAAACAAAATATGTGTGAAAAAAAGCAAGCAGGGTCTATATTACTTGTAAAATCAGTGTTATAATAATCTGATATTAGTCAATAATTTATGTTAATTTAATTTACAATTATCATTAATTTGCTCAAACCAATAAACGAAGTTGCATAACTCTAACCTGGAGATTTTTTGCAATCAAATTTATATGTTTATTCCCCATTATATTGAAAAAAAAAAGAAAATATGAGAAATCAGTGCCCCTTCGAAAAATTGAAATATCAAAAGAATTTATATCAAAATTGAGAAATTCTCCATCTGTGGGTAATTGAATACAATTTTTTGAGTAAGATTATGGAAATGAAATAAACCCATTCATCTTCAGTGTCATATAATTTTTATCAAATATCTGGGACTTTCATTGTATCATATGCCTCTACTAACGTTATAGAAAGTCTCTGCCTTAACTAGAGGTACTTTTCAATCAAAAGGAAAGAATAGGAATTTATCAATTTAAAATCCGCACTCTGCCGAAATTTGTATTTAAACAATCTAATCACACCCCTCACATCCCTTCTCCCTAAAAAGGAAACCAAATAAAAACAAAAAACAAAACAGTAATATGACTCGAGCACACCCTTTTAAATAAAATAATAGCCATGAAATCTAGAAAGTATACCCTAAAATTTATTAAAGTATATGTCCAATGACATAAAGATACAGTGATGAAATAAGTCATGATGTCTTTAAATTGTTTATGGTTTGTTCGGAAAATGATAAACTTTTAAAAAAATCTATACAAAAGTCGAGCCGTTCCCTGAAATCGGGAAGTCGCTTTAAAAACATTTTACTATCCTGGTTCCCGGTACTACGTTCCAGGTGTTAGCTGATAACCACGCTGTTATATTGGAATATGTGTAACATACTGAATATTGCGATCGGGAACCAGTCTAACATTTTACCTACCTTTACTAAATGGCGGCAAATTTTAATGACTGGGAAAAGAACAGTCAGCTATTCATCTAAATTTCGTCTGTTTGTCAGCAAAAGACAACTTTAAGAGGAAAAATATATGTTCATCAGGTAGGAATAGAACAATTGACATGCAAAACTCGAGGTGACAATCACGTTTAAAAGTATCTAGAAGTGACAACATTACTATCTGTCATTTACGACATTAGCTCTGGTCCATGCTGTAAATTGTAAAGCAAAATATTGTCCCACAAGATTATAATTCATCATGATATTTTGTCCTGTTTTGCCCTACAAGCTGGGGCCGTTGGACGTAGGAGCTGGTCCTAAATGGATGCGCTGCTTCCTTGCTTCTGGAGCCGACTGACGGCCTTGGATCCATATAAGTCTGGTCTCAATTTGTTCATTTTTCATTTATCTCTTCATTTAGGCCAGATTTATATGGATCTGATGTCCCATGGCCCCAGCTTGTCTGGCAAAACAGCCGTTGGACATCAAGCTTGACTGGCAAAACAGCTGTTGGACGTCAGAGCAATTTGGGACTAGTTTGTGAACTGATTAATTACGGACATACCCAACAATAATTTTTGTGCCTAAGGTTACATTAAGTTATTGTTATGTCAATGCATTTCGATGTATGCTGGGAATAGTAATATATTAAGGTTCATCATAAAAAATTGAAAACAAATGGCTGTATTTACACCTCAAAAACTACTTTGAGTACAGACTAACCTGTGCAGATGGAAAAGTTTTAAGGCCTGGTATCCACTAGATATATAAAAGTTAAATGCATTTTGTGTTTCAGAAAGATAAAATCGTTTTTGGATTTTGATGGTCATTTTTTCTGTTCCTGTAGCAGGCCTCTACAATAACATTTTTTTCAACTTGCCAAATAGGACAAGTACATACCAAAACTAACTTGTCCGAAATGTTATAAAATATTATAATAATTAAAATAACCAAGCATATTGGAGAATTGAGCAACAAAAGCAAAGTCTGTTAAAAATTAATAAATTTCAGGTAATAATAAAGCAATTAAACCGTAGACACAAATATACTTATATATATTCTTAAATGTAATGGCCATGTATGAAATTTTCATCACCTTTTTCTCAGGAAGTACCACAAATCAAGGCTCTCTGAAATATGGAATTAAGCTTCTTGGGAGTGTCCTAAAATGTTTCACATCCATCAATTATCAACTTCCTTTTAACTGAATACTTATATCTGTGGTATCATTAGTTGACAGTTCAACTTATTATAATACGAAGTGAAATATAATACGATTAATAAAAATTATACTTAGTATCAACAAAAACAAACCAAATGCTAAGGGGAAAAAATGCAATTCATTTCTTTGCACTTCAATTTAGAGTTACTTTGTGGGTAAATAAATGATTTTCATCTAAAGTGGAAAATAACTCGGTTGAAAAATGTCTGAATCACTAGAAAAACTAAAAATTAAAGCCTTGTATGTTGTCTAGACCAGTAAAACCCTTTTATAGAATAACATAATTCATTTTTGATTAAAAATTACATGCTCATGTCTTAAATTCAATTTCAGAGAAGTATAGAACAACTTCAGTATGTTTGGCAGATTAATGTCCAAAGTATTTGGTAAGTAGATTGACCAAAGGAATATTTTATATTGCAAGGAAAATAGATTTTCATTTATTATTGTTATGTTTACAATTGTTATGTTTACAATAGACTTTTTTCATATTACCCTGGAGTTGATATTTTTTCGACAGGTTACCTTTTCTGCAGTAGGACATCCTGGTACTTGGTCAAGTAAGAGAACTTAAAGTAGTAAAATCAAGCTTACAATCAGTACAATTTTGGGGGAAAATTAATTGCTTTATGTTTTCTATACAAGACAAAATCATTAGAAAACAGTTAACTTTCCCCCAAATTGCACTAATTATATGTTTGATTTTACTTCTTTTGGTTGCTCTTGACAGAGTACCAGGATGTCCTACCATACAGTAGGTAACCTGTTGAAAAATTATATAATCTGGATTCAAAAGTCGGTATTATGAAAATAGTCTAATATCCTGTCCATTTTTCTGTCTGAATGGAGTTTGTTCCAAAAGTGGTTTAATTACAATTTGTAGACATAAATGGTTGCTAATAATGCATTTGTATAACTGATGATTCCAGAAAAATAGAAGAATATCTCTTTTAGATAAGTGGTGTACTAATTGTCCATACTAATAAATCCAATTTATGGCAATTAGAAATTTACCAACCAAGATTTGAAACTCTCCAAACTGCTCAAAACAGGGTGCATGAACAGAGTAGGTATCTCCTCTACTGCAAGCACTACCTGCCTAGTTGATCCTGTTTCAGTGACAAGGGTAATAATAGGGAATATGTCACAATCAGTAAATGTATATTTTAGACAACTCTTTATGATGTCTTAAGATATAGGACTGCAAAAGCTTTTCTCTCAATGATGAGAGACAAAACACATTTAATTGGTCAAATAATACGTTATGGGATTTACCAGGTTCAGCATCCAATTTGTCTAGGACTTAACATGTCATTAATTGATCATCATGTAACTTTGACTTCACTAATGGTGATTCAGAATGGGGATAAAACCAAAGAACAGGAAGACCTTAATCATCTTAGAGTTAATTTTAAAATTGTATCTAATGATGTAGTTGGACAATTCAGAGTAGTTTTGAAGTTATTGCAAATAATGTATGATAAGGATGCTCGCTCTTTGAAACTTTTAAATTTGCTTGAAATGTTTGAAATCGGCAATATATTAAGACCAGCAAACCTTGCTGAACCCTATTGTCCAAGTTTTTCAACATCTATATCCTTGTTTTATTGACATATTTTGTGGTTAATCTTTATCCTACAAAAGTGGTTAATATTAAATGTAGAATTAATTTGGAAGGACCTTCAATATATAGAAATATACCATAACTTTTTCTAGGGTATGAAAAGAAACCAGATGAAAGTTCTTCAAAAGATAGAAGGCATTCATTTGAAGATACTAGCCCACATAAACATTTTACTAGATCAAAAGGGAAGAAAAGATCTAGTCCAGAAGCAAAAAGACGAAGAAGTGATGAACCTCCATTTGGTAAGAAAAATTCAGGTCTTTTAATTAACCAGAGTAGGTCATCTTAGTAAGAGGAGGTATAGTATTAATATTGAAACAAAGAACAAATTAGTGATGATACTCTACTAGGTCATAAAAGTTCTAATCCTGGGTTCGACATGAATGGCTGTCTGATTGCCAATATGGAGTTAAAGTAGCAATCAAAAACATCAGTGCACTTGCCCTATAAGACAAGTAAAAATAATCTTCAACTGAATAGAAATACAGAATCTCATTAACAGATTATATAAAATATTGAAAATTGAAAGATACACATTTCTAACAATTAAAAAAAAATATATATCCAACAATATTAATGGTGATAGCATCTGTAGAGATGATGAAGGGTGTATAAATCTTTGATTTGTAAACAAGAAAAGATACAAGTAGCACTTTTTTTATAGACTAGTTTTCTTATTCTGATGCCAGTATTCTTCCATATTTTTTTATTTCTGAGTCAAAGAAATTTAGAAAAGAAGTTCAATTTTTTGGACGAGAAATGTCATTGACATTTGTTTTAAGGGGCAAGTTTGGTAAAAATTTAATGTTGAACCCAGACGTCTTTAAGTTTAGTCCTTAATGATAAGTACAGTGACCTATAGTTGCTAACCTATATGTTTTGGTCTCGGGTGGAGATTTGTATCGTCGGCAATCATACCTTATCTTCTCATTTTCATATTGATATGTCATTACTGTACATTATTTTATTTGATCAAATGAAATTATGATTTGCATGGATAGCAGGAATGTTAAAATTGATATTTAATGATATAAATGAGAAGCTCCAAATAAAACATTGGAGATTATTGTTTGGCTTAGCATTTGACATTGTATTTGTTGATGATCTGTTAATAACTTTGTTAATTGCAGATTTTTCAAATGTTAAAACTGGAGAAGGAGCTTCCAAGGGAAATAACTCTGTAGATTCCAGTCCTGACTCAGAAAAGTCAGCATGGATAAATGTGGAAATAAAACCACCATCAGCTAACCTACAAGAAAGTAGTAATAGTATGTATTAAATGTTTGCATACTTTTTTATGTTTATTATGAAATTTTGTATTCTAAGGTTTGTCATAGAACAGGATTTTAATGATAAAGTGTTTTTTTCAATTTGTAACAACAGTCAAAAAAGGTAATCCTTAAAAAAAAAGTTTTGACTTCTTAGATCAGGTGAACTTCAATGTCTGTCCCACTTGTTACAGTGCTAGTAAGAACTAAACAAAATATTCCAATGCAAAGAAGTAAGGTAGATTTAATTCTAAGGAATTAACAGGATTTTGTTGATTGCCTTGCAAGAACAAGTAAATGTTTTTTTTTTATGTAACACGTCTTCTGATTGGCTGAAAGTTTTTTGTCTATCAGCTCATAGACATAATTTTGTCATGTGACAGTAATGTCATCAATGTTTTTTCATGATTTACTCCTTAAAAATGGAATTTAGAATTAAATAATACATGTAATATGGAATGACTAATATTTTTCTGTCTATTCGAAATAACCTCAAAAATGTGGTGCACACTTTTAAAAAACCTGCTACACAGGTTATTCAGTGTTGCCACATTTTTGTTGTTATTTCTTCATAGACAAAAAAAAATATTAGTCATTCCTTAAATACATAGATTTAACCATTTAATTAAATTCTTCATGTATGAGCTTTATCAGCATCTTTGGGCCAGTGAGCTTTTCCAATCACTTGGTGTCTGTCATTGTACTAGTCCATTAACTTGTACAAAAAACTTCTCTCCTGAAACTTCTTGGCCAAATTTAACCAAACTTGGCCATAATCATTATGAGGGTGTCTAGTTTAAAAATTATGTCCAATTACCCCACCTGCCAACAAACATTGCCAACATGGGTAAATTTAGATTGTAGAGGTAAAATGCAAGTTTTGTCTAATATCTTGAAAACCCCTTTAGATAGAGAAAGCTGACAGCAGTATAATTGTTTAGAATGAACAGATCTACATCTAAGTTAACATGCCCGAAAAACAGTCAGTTCACTTCTTGTTGGAGTTATTGTCCTTGAATGCCAATTTTTACCAATTTTTGCATTTTTGCCAATTATCTTTATTATTAGATAGATAGAAGTTTAAAATGCTAAAAAGACCAGCTAGACAAGATCTACAAATAAGTCAACATGTATGAATGATATGAAATCTTAAGTTGACTCCTTACAGTGGTTTTTGTCTTTAAACGACAATTTTTACAATTTTTTTTTGTTTTTGCCTATTATTTTGCAAGTATATAGAATAGCTTGGAACTTTAAATAGCTAAAATGATCTGCAAGGCAAGATTTGCAAATAAGTTGATATTTTGTTGGTCAGCTCTTTGTAGGAGCTATTGCACTTAAATGACATTTTTTAGCATGTTTGCCTTCTATCTTGAAAACTATCATAGATATATAGAAACTTTAAAAAGCAAAAATAACCAGCAAAACAAGATCTGCAAATAGGTCAGCATACATGAAATTGTCAGTCATCTTCTTATAAGAGTTATTGCCCTTAAAATGATTTATTTACCCTTTTTTGTGTTTTGGGCAGAAACTATAGAAGTTATAGAGACAAACTGTATAAACATAAAAACATAAATAATAAGCAATATTAGATCAACAAAAAATAGATTTTAGTCATGAATTTTACTGTCAAAAATGTTGTAGAGCGTCCATTATTGAAGATGCACATTGACCTAGGTGAACAACATGGTCTCTTTAGAGCCTCTAGTTCTTATTGTGATAATTAAAATGATAAAGGAAATGGAGGGACGTTAATTAACTAATTCATGATCATGAACAACACTTTACTGTCTACTTTGCACCTGTCTCATATTTATTCACACCTATAGTCCATTAGTGAAAACAACTGTTTGTCACTTATTAAGGGGTAATCAATTGATTATTTTGGCTTGTCAATCAATACCATTTATTTTCTTTATCTGAGATGTTTCGACCACCCTTATATTGATTATTTTAGCCATGAAATATGCATCTGATTAGTAAGATATATAGTGTGATAAACTATAATTACACAGATTCAGCTAAATACCGTTTTACACTTTATTGTATTTTGTACAGTGTCATCTCCTTTTCATTTCTGGATTTTAGATCTAAGTTATGTATATTTATATATGCAAACCATGTGACTGTGAAAAATCAATACACAAAATGAAAATGGTGGGAAATTCAATACAGAATGATAGAAACTGGCTGACAGAGAAAAAATAAAACACCAAGTATTCTTTTATTTTCAATGAAAACTATTTATTCAGATATTTATTGATGTTTGGCTTCCACCATTGTATTTTTCATCTGGAAATCAAATTTCAAACCATCTTTTTTGGTTTGGATTTTTCCTTCATTTGCTAGCTAGATCTAGCTTATAAGTTGGTAGGCTGGTACATTCATTATTGGTAAGCAAAATTCTCATGACAATGTGCATACAAATATTTTGCCAATATAAACATTCTACATTGTACCTGGAAACTGCAGGAGTTCAGCAGATAAAGTATGGACCAAATAGTATTTGCACAGAAGTAAATCTGGTCATAATCTCTTTTTACAGGTGAGAAGAATCCAACGGTAGTGGAAACAGATAAATCTGATGGATATATAAAACTGACACAAAGCAAAACAAGTGGAGAATCAGCTAGTCCTGAATGTGTTGTGAATCCACCAAGTCCAGACCAACCAGTGCTTGTAGATGGACCTGCAATGTCAGCATCAATATGGGAAAGTGTGGACACCTCTACAACTAAAGGTACTCTTTATTCATGTTAATATCTATAATATTATTGTTCCTGGGGCAAAATTTCCACCAACCATTGTTTTCCTGATTTCGTTTTGTTTTTCTTTTAGAATCCCCTGGTTTTCCTAATTTTGATGTCCAAATTGTCCCGCAATTATAAAAACAATTCATGCTTTATATTTTTATAAAGGTCCAAGTGAGCTTTTCTCATCACTTGGCTTCCGTTGGCCACAATCATCATTAGGGTATCTAGTTTAAAAATGTGTCTGATGACCTGGCTTGCCAACCCAACATGGCCGACATGGCTAGAAATAGAACATAGGGGTAAAATGTAGATTTTGGCTTATATCTCTGAAACCAAAGCATTTAAAGCAAATCTGACAGGGTAAAAATGTTCATCAGGTTAAGATCTATCTGCCCTGACAAATCAGAGAACCCGTAGTTGGGTTGCTGCCCCTGAATTGGTAATTTTAAGGAAATTTTGCGGTTTTTGGTTATTATCTTGAATATTATCAAAGATTGAGATAAACTGTAAACAGCAATAATGTACAGCAAAGTAAGATCTACAAATAAGTCAACATGACTAAAATGGTCAATTGACCCCTTAAGGAGTTATTGCCCTTTACAGTCAATTTTTTAACAGTTTTTTGCAAATTTTTGTAATCTTTTACAAAAATCTTCTCTGAAACTACTAAGACAAATTTAACCAAACTTGGCCACAATCATCATTAGGGTATCTAGTTTAAAAAATGTGTCCGATGACCCCGCCTACCAACCAACATGGCCGACATGTCTAAAAATAGAACATAGGTGTAAAATGCAAGTATTTTCTATATTTTTTTGAACTGTTATAAATAGAGAAAATCTGAAAGGAGCAAAAATGTTCAGAATAATGAGCTCTACCAATTGTCCATATATGTCAAAACTGTTAGACAAAATTCTTATAGGAGTTATTGCCCATAAATGACAAATTTTGCCATTTTTTTTCATTCAAATCCAAATTTCAGTGATTTTTTTTCTAGTTTTATTTTTTTTTTTTAATTTTTTTTTTTTTTTTTTTTATTTATTTATTATTTTCTCTTCTCTCTTTTCTTTCTTTATGAAATAAAATTCTCTCTTTATTGAACAATATGGAAATAATGGATACATAATAATATAGTGTATATATTTTATAATTTAGAATACTAACAATTACTAACTATTTTCTATCTAAATATACAATCTAATGTTTAACGAGGCCGGGATAAGGTACCAGTACTTTTGTATCCAACTAACAAATGTGAAAGTTTTCAGTAAAGTATGTAAAAAAAAAAAAAAATGTTTTCATTTTTGCCTATTATCATGAAAACTATGATATTTAGAGAGAAACAACTTTTTTCCGTTATGCCTTATATGATTTAAATTATAATAGATAAATAGACACTTTAAATCACAAAAATGATCACAAAGGCAAGATCTATTAAAAAGTCAAATTTTGTCGATATAGTTAGTAGACTGTCACTCTTCATAGGAGTGATTGCCCTTAAATGAGGATTTTTTTTACCCACTTGTGTGTTTTGAGCAAAAACTAAAGAAGATAGAGAGAAACTAAACAGACTAAAAAATCAGTAATACAAGATCAACAAAATAGTGATTTTTGTCATGAAGTCTATTCTCGTCTACAATGTTGGAGAGTATCCTTTGTTTGATATGTGCATAGACCAAGGTGAGCGACACAGGCTCTAGAGCCTCTAGTTTGTTTTTTTGCTGTGCATGTACTGATTTTGTGTCATGGATGGCTACCCACATACCCTTTATTTTTCTATTCTAAAACAAAAACACATAAAATCAGCATTTCTTGGTAACATAGTGAAAATCTGAATTCTGATGGGTACTTCTTGTCTCATTGGCAATCATACCTCATTTTATTTTTATAATACACTAGAAAACACCCGCGACATCGCGGATCCGTGACTAAATTAAAGTACCTACGCCTTATTTTAAGCCTGGATTTTAGCATTCGTATTGTCATCTGATAAAGTCATGCTGATTATAAGGTGCATAGTTTTCTCTGCTATAAAAATCTTTCTGTTTGAACCCGTCCTGGTTTTCTTACTACAACCGGAAAATTCATTTGACAAAGATCAAATTTAGTAATATTAATCCCTGTACGAAGTTCATGACCTTGTTATTTTAGTAAGATTTCGCGGGCAGTATGTCGACTGAGCATGCACGAAAGCGTATAAGACACGGATCGATAAAGGTCTCTGAATTTGGATATTTTCTCAAAAATTGGTGTTTTCTGTGGAAAAAAAATTGTTTCAAAGACAAATTTAGGAAGTACAAAACACTGCATTTATACGTCATATCACAAATATTTCCGACTATGTATGGTTTCAGAGGAGTTGCAGCTCAATGAAATCGGTCTCTTCCTTTAGTAGTATAGATGTAAATGCAATGAGTAACACTCAAGTTGATGACTTTGGAGCCATTTCCTCTTGATTTGATCTAACCATTATTATTTAAATTTGCAAAGTAAGTAATACATAGTAATGGCCTGCTTGCTTTCCGTGTTGATTTGTGAACAAAACTTCTGTGAAACTTCTTGTATAATCATACAGATATATATATATTCCATGATGGTTTATAATAGTGTCATATCTATGTTAAAAAGTAAGATTTGATTCGATTAAATTTATGTAATCCCTAAAGACTCAAATTGACATTTGATATATTATAGTATTCATTTCAGAACATGTATACAAAGACTGTGTTGTCATAGAAACCACATCAGAACGTAAAGATAGATTGTCCAAAGAATTTCAGTCCCTGCCAGATAATTCAGAGGGCAAAGTCCAATTATCAACAGATAGTTTTATTAGAATAGAGGAAGCTTCTGAAGGTATGACATCATTAAATGACAAAAACTGGAACAATATGAATGCTAGTGCGTTTCTTGATATTGACATGCCAACAGAAAGTGAAAGTAGACGCTTGACTACAAGCTTTGTGCATATTGATCAAAATGAAGTTTTTGGATTGCGAGAAAGCAAGAACAATGTGCACTCAGAATTTAAGAGTGTTTTAGGGGAACTGGAAAACTTTGAAACAGTTGATGAACAATCAAAAAGCAGCTCTGATAAAAACTCAAACACAAAAGATGTCATTACATTTGGTGCAAATAGTTCAAAACAGCAATCTGAACATGATAGTATGTCAAGAACTAATCGTGACAATACTGAAGAAAAAATTCAATCCTCTGTAGTTCTAAAAACAGAATCCATGATTGAAAATGTGAACTATAATGTTGATGCTGATGCAAAGTATGTTGTTCCTAAAATGCCAGTGTCAAAAGGTCAAGGAGGAAATAAACTGAGTAAAAAATTAGAAAAACTGGAAAGATGGAAGGATAAGAGAAGAAAAAGTAAAACGCCTGAAAAATCTGTAGCTAAAAAAGATACCAAATCTAAAGAAGATGCTAATGTGGATATTACGGGAAAAGAAAATAGTTCTGGCTTGCAACAGGAAAGTAATGTAGTATCTAATGAAGTGGAAAAGAAAATTCTTGCCACAGAAAATAGCACAGATGTAAAAACAGATAATACAAATAAAGAGGAAAAAGAGGCAGAAACAAGTTCAAAGAGGGATGAAAAAAGAGAACAATCAAAAGCTGAGCAAACAGATGTAAACACAAGCAAACCTAAGCAGAAATATGTGATTCCAAGCAAAAGAAATAAAGGCTCTATCTCACCGTCAGAAAGACCAAGAAAAGAAAAAGATGAAATCTGTGCTTCAACATCTGAAACAAGAGAGGGAAAGAAGGAGGAAAAGTATGAAACTGAACCTAAAAATTTTCTAGAGTTTGTTCAGAGAAAGACAGCTAAAGGAATAATTGTGGATGCTAAAAAGCTTATGTTTGAACTGGGATTTCTGAAGGACATGAAGCAGACGGACATTAATGAAGCTGTTATTGAACAATACAGAATGGCGGCAGATAGAAAGGTAAGTAGACAAATATAATAGCTTATTCGGCTTATTTGACCAGTCAGTATAAATTAATGCTTATAGAAAGAGATAAATAAATATAAAAAGATAGGAGTGATTTTAAGCAGACAAATATATATTATAGACAACTTTCAAATTAGCTGCAGTGGCCTACAGTTTGCTAACCGTCTGCATCATTTGGTCTCTGATGGAGAGTTGTCTCATCATGCTCATCAGCAATTATACCACATCTTGTATTTATATTTTCCCGTAATAAAAAGACTTTTGAAATAGTTCAAAATATATAAGATAATCTGAGTGTAAAATTGGAAACTTGCAAAATTTTTACTAGGAGGCTCAATTTTTCCACTTCCTTCATAGAAAATCCATATTGGAGATTTTGCAATAGTCAGGAAGAGTCACTTAGCAAGAGGTAATTGTAGAGTGGATCAATCAAATGTACTTTATAAGTAGAATTATGAGAAATGTAATACAAAAAAAGGAAACATGAGGTGATTAACAATGAAACTAAACAAAAGTAAGCCGGATACAATGCAAGGTTCTATAGTAATTACAATATCTGTACTGTAATTTGAAATTTAAATGTTATGATTAACAAATAACATGAATAACAGATAAAAGCCTCAAAAGGGTTATATATGTTCGTATCATTTTTTTCAGCTTAAGAAAATTATTTTTGTTTATTTCAGTTTGATTATTGGATAAAACAAGCTCGCTACAATGCAGAACTTATTTTCACTCAAGATTGGATTGAAGAGTAAGTCACTTAGTGTATTAGGGTGTAAAAAATGAAGCCTTGTTGACAAAATGTATCCATTGTAATATATTTCACTTATTTTGGAGGAACTAAGTAAAGTACCAAAGAAATAAAATATTAAGAGCTGCAAAATTACGTCCTTTACTATTAGTTGTATGTACAAATAAACTCATCACAGATACCAAGATTATAATTTTTTACAACAGACTTGCGTTTAGTCTACAAAAGAATCATCAATGACGCTCAAATCAAAAAAGTTAAAGAGACCAAATAAATTACGAAGTTGAAGAGCATTGAGGACCCAAAATTCCAAAAGGTTTTGAATAATACAGATAAGGTAATCTATTCCTGGCATAGAAAATCCTTTGTATTTCGAAAAACATTTTTTAAAAAGAGGCTGATACAAGTTACAATAATATCAATAAGGGATTAGACAAAATATACAAATTTCACATAATCAAATACACAACACCATTATAAATGTTTTCAGTATTAAACATGTTTAAAGAGGAAGGCTGTAATGCTTACAGAAACACAAAACACCTGACAGCCATTTAAATAATTCAGAATAATGATGATGTATTTGTATGAACATGATAAACATTTCACAAAAGTTGTCATTCTTGCCAATGATTACTTGTTTCAGTCTCTCAGACAGACATTTCGGCTAGTTTTTTTTATTGTGTTGAATCTAATATAAAGTTTAAACATGTTTTATGTATAGCATAGTTTAGTCATTCAAATAGGTAGTTAGGAACGTTTAAAGTGAGCACATCTTTATCTAATTAAATAATATGGGTTTTGCTCATTGTTGAAGTATGTACAGTGACCTGATGTTGTTATCATCCTTGTCTTTGTGTCTTTGTAGATGGTTGTCTTATTGCATAGAAGTGAGAGATATTATTGAGTCAATAGTAAATATCTTATACATTTTGTTTGTTTTTATAGGAATTTGCCATCATTGGAAGGAAAAAGGGAGAAAAAGTCAGACTGGAGAAAGAAGAAACAAGAAAAGTAAGAACACTGAGTAATAAGCAAGAGAGAAAATTATTATTTACAAGAATAGTCCCCTGTTGTCATGGTATGGTCTTCAACAATGAAAAAAGCACATAGAACATTTTATGACTGATTATTATTATTAACATAGTTGAAATAAAACTTTAATATTATAAATCAGGGTTTGTGAGGTCATCAAAAAACTTATAAGTCCTGTAAGTCAAAATTAAAAAAAAAATCGCTTTTTTTTATGTTTGCTCTACCTACATGTAATATTTTGTCTATCCTTAGTTTCATTATATAGAACAGGATTCATGTTCAAAACCTTTTATCAGAATGTAAGGTGAACATGTCCGACTACCATGTTTCATCAGACCATGACCTCATTTTCATAGATCATTGGTTGATGTTTAGTTTCTTGGTTAGGTCTGTTTCTCATATACTATAACAATAGGTTAACTATATTTAGTATATGGACTGATTGTAAGGCATACATGTCGGTCTGACAGGGTTCATCTGACCTTATCCTCCTCTACAAAGACTGTAGGATCATTGAGTATGTTAATTTAATACCTTTTTCTCTATGACTTACAACATAAATTCAATTATGGACAGTAAAGCAGGCTTGACATTTCAGTGTGTGCACTCTTGTTTCCTTTGATACAGTAAAATAAATTGATTAAGTTGTAAATTTTTAATATGTTTTGGTCTTGAAATCATGCATTCAATAGAATGAAATCAAGATTGGGATTATAACAAATTGGATTCCCGGAATAAATTGATATTTTTTTTACATACACACAAAAGTAGAATGAATACACTCTAAATTCACATATAATTTATATCACATGTGGATGCATTATATGTATCTTACATACACTGAATAACAGCTTTGAATAATGAAAAATTTAATTTATAATCCTTTTTCTTCATAAGTAGAGTTGTCATGGTTGTGTTGTGTTTTTTTTTTCAGAAGAAAAGGTGGCTATTCAGAGTATGACAGACCTGCTGGTGGAATGTGTAGAGATGTAAGATTAGAAACAGATCCATCTTTACAAGTTGTGCGTGAAAACGTAGGAAGTAAAACATCTATTGAAAAGGTGGCAAATGTTGAAACTGGTCAAGTATTGCCTGAAAACATGAAACAGGAATCAGACATGAAATCTGATAATAAGAATGCAGACAGCAGTCAAAGGTCATTAGATAGTTCAAGATCATCTCGAATGAAATATAGTGATGTAAGATTGGAAACAAATCCAAATTTAATGGTTGTTAGAGAAAATGCTGGATCAAGGTCACAAGATCAAAAGGAGAAAACTGACAGGTCATCAAAAATGAAATACTCAGATGTCAGATTAGAAACAAACCCTAATTTAACTGTTGTAAGAGAGAATGCTGGATCAAGGTCAAAAGATCAAAAGGAGAAAACTGACAAGTCAGCAAAAATGAAATACTCAGATGTCAGATTAGAAACTAACCCTAATTTAACAGTTGTTAGAGAAAATGCTGCAGATAAATCAAGATCATCTAGACTTAAATATACTGATGTTAGACTGGAAACAAATCCAAACCTTACTATTGTTAGAGAAAATGTTGGTGGTAAGACAAAAATGTTGGTGAAGGAATCTATAAAGGACATTCAGACAAATGAAGAATCTCAGCAAATCATTTCAACAAATATAACTGATGCAGAAGTTATAGCTGAACATGGTAAAAATCAGAATAATGATGCAGAAGTTATAGCTGAACATGGTAAAAATCAGAATAATGATGCAGATGTTATGACTGAACATGGTAAAAATCAGAATAATGATGCAGAAGTTATAGCTGAACATGGTAAAAATCAGAATAATGATGCAGAAGTTATGACTGAACATGGTAAAAATCAGAATAATGATGCAGAAGTTATAGCTGAACATGGTAAAAATCAAAATAATGATGCAGAAGTTATAGCTGAATATGGTAAAAATCAGAATAATAATGCAGATGTTATGCCTGAACATGGTAAAAATCAGAATAATGATGCAGAAGTTATAGCTGAACATGGTAAAAATCAGAATAATGATGCAGAAGTTATGCCTGAACATGATCAGATTCTGAATAATAGTACAGATGTTAGAAAAGACTCCTCAGAAGTGAGTAAACTTGAGTTCGAATCAGAAAAATTTCCCACAGAGCCTGAAAATGAATCGGCTACAAAAGAGGGAGACATTACACAGAGAAGACAGGACCAAATGATTTGTGATGGGAATTTGAGAGTATCATCTAAAGTAGGAACTTTGCTGAATTATTCTGAGGCTGTAAAATCTGCTGGGAAATTTAAAGAGAACAAAACTGAAAAGGATGACATAAAACCAGATGAAAGTGATATTGATGTCAAGAACGAAGTCAGTGGTGCATTGACCTCTTTGTTAGCTTTAGTTGAAACTGAAATAACAAAGAAATTTGATGATAATGGAAACCCCATCACAGAAAAACAAGATAAAACACATTCAGAGAATGAAACTAAACTACTTGATCATCAGGGAGAAGGCCATGATAGAGAGATTAAAGAGAGGGAAAGAATGACCGAAGCAAAACAAACTGACATGAAAAGGGAGACAATTACAATCATATCAGAAGTTGATGTTCAAATTGAAGGAGAAAGATTTGTTGTAAAAACAAAATTACATGAGAGTGAGAAATCCAATACTGGTATCAAAACAGAGACCTCTGATACACTTGATCATAACAAAGAAAGCAAAGTAAGCAAGGAACCAAAAGGACAGGAGAATGATAAACAGAAATATACAGCAGCTTTAGGTCTTATTCAGAGTGAAGAAAGCAATATCACTGCAGAAGGCATGGAGAATGGTGAAAAGGATTTAAAACTATTTGAAACTAAACAAAATCTGCAAAAATTAGAAGATGGTGCATCAGACCAGAAATTAGAAGAAACAGAAAAGTTGACATCTGTAACAACACAATCAGAGACATTTGAAACAAGTTCTACACTAACTCAAAGTGTTATTACACTTGTCAATGATGTAAGTGAATCAGAAGTACAAAAGCAGGTAGAAATGCTTGCAAAAGAAGTTGAAAATGAAATTCCAGTGGAAATGCCAGCTAATGGATCAGAAAAGATTGATGAAAAAGACAAGACTGCAGATGAAAAAGAATCCATTGAGGAAAAATCTTTGCCATTAACACTTACAGACAGTATTTTCTCATTAGTACAAGAAACAAGAGGTGAAAACACTCAGGAAAAATTAGAAAGCTTGGTAAAAGGTATGGCAAAAACTATAGAGACAGATGAGTCGAGTATTGTTACCTGCCAGGACACTCTGATATTACAGGCTGATTATAAAATGCAGTCCGAGAGCATAGAACCTAAATCAGATAAAGTGGCAGACACTAAGACTAAAGTTGCAATCAGCAAGGCAGCAGACGACACCAAAGCAGCAGTTGCAGAAGACACTTTAACAAAAGACATTACACAAAAATCAATAGGTCACACAAAGTCGATGCTGGACAATACCAATAGAACAGATGAGAACAAAGATACATCAGATGTAATAAAAACAATAGAAGGTGTAAGAAAAACATTGATGGACATCACAAAAACTGTGGAAGATGACAGAATAACAATAGAAGACATTACTAAGAAAGTAACAAATGAAACTTTGAAGACTAAAGATGACAAAACCATAGAAACGGGCAATGTAAAAACAGTACAACACGAGCACAAAACAATTGCAGATGTTATTGAAACAATGGCAGATGTCAAAAACACATTGAAGGATATCACTAAAACAGTGGAAGATGACACAAAAACTATAGCAGATTTGACCAAAACAGTTCAAGATGACATTGAAAAAGGAGCAGACACAGCCTTGATTGACAATACCAAGACTGAAGGAGCGGAGGCAAAACCTACAACAGACAGTACGAGTATATCAACTGAGAACATTCAGTCTAAGGTTATTCAGACTGATATTAAAACCATTGAAAAAGGTTTGAAAGATTTGATCACAGAAATGGCAGCCAAAGAGAAAATTTGTACTGATGATAAAGGAGTAAATTCTGATTATAGTAATATACCTACAAATTCAGATGAAATTGGAGAACAGGTAAGAAGATCTCCATTGGGTATAATTGGAAGTTTGAGTCCAACAATGGTGAGATCATGTGAATTTCTGTCAAAAGATGGAAATTTAAGTGAAGCAGATTCTTTAGAAAATTTGTCTGTGAAATCAGATGGTGGAAGTCGTTCAAATTCAAAGTCTCAAAGAAAGACAGTTGGTTCAAGAATACAACAACCAAAATCTTACTCAAGGTCATATGAAACTCCAAATAAATCTTCATATAAAGAAAGAAACTGGCATGGTACAACAACACCTGGTCGCTATGGTAACAGTCGCCATGATAGTTGTAAACAGCCAGTACATGGATGGTATGATCATTCTTATGGGTCACCTCGACAGTATGGCCAATATCATTCATATTCAGAAAGTCACGATAAAAGTAATAGAGGAAGAGGATCTTATGGGAATACCCCCAGAGCACCATACAGAAAGCAGAATTACAATACCCCTGATAGATTTCAGCAGACCAATACCTCGTCATACAAATCACATTCTTACAAAGAAAGTCACTATGTAAAGGAACATAATGGAAAAACAACTGATAAATTTACTCATGAGAGAAAACAAGCAAGAGGTCTAGAATCTGATAAACATGGAAGCAATTATAAAAGCAGTGACATGAGAAAATCAGAAATGGGAGGAGGAATTGAAAAAAAGATAGATAAAGAAAAGGATTACATTACTACTGGTAAACCAAAAATTATAGACACTAAGTACAAGTCCTCTGATTCAAGGCAAAAAATAGAGAAAAAAGAGGAACATTATTCCAAATTGAGTGACAAAGTTAGCGGTGCTAAGTCTGTAAATCATAAAGAGACAGAAGGATCTACTAGTAAAAAGGAAACCCCGCTTCCAAAGAGTGAAGATATTCCCAGTAAAGCATTAGAAAGTAGTAGTGATAAAAGAAAATGTTCTTCAGAACAGGTGATGCACACTAACACAACAGGTAAGCCAGCAGAACAAAAACCAGATTTATCAGAAGATACTTCTAAAAAAGCTTCTGATTCTACCAAGGAAGGAAGTCATCATCAGGCTCAAGGTACCAGTAAAGGTGCAACTAATTCCCAAAAGCAGAAACAGAAAAGGAAAAGGAGGAGCAATGCTAAATATAAGTGGTAGATATGTAAAATACATTGTATATATAAAGTGCAGACAGCACTATTGGGGGTTAGAACTCAGGGTGATATTTTGGTCATTTTTAGCCATCACTTGGCATCCGTCGTCGTCTGTCTGTGTAAACTATTTCAAACATCTTCTCTGAAACAACTGAACCAATTCCAATCAAACGTAAGCTGAATGATCCTTAGGGTATCTAGAATAAAGACTTATATCTCAAAAACTAAAGCATTTAGAGCAAATCTGACATGAGGTAAAAATGTTCATTAGGTCAAGTTCTATCAGCCCTGAAATTTTCAGATGAATCTAACAACCCTTTGTTGGGTTGCTGCCACTTAATTGGTAATTCTAAGGAAATTTTGCAGTTTCGGTTATTATCTTGAATATTATTATAGTTAAAGATAAAATGTGAACAGCAAAAATGTTCAGCAAAGTAAGATCTACAAATAAGTTTATATGACCAAAATTGTCAATTGACCCTTTAAGGAGTTATTGCCCTTTAAGGACAATTTTACACAATTTGTTTATCATGTTTTGTAACTTTAAAAAATCTTCTTCTCTGAAACTACTGTACCAAATTAAACCAAACTTAAGCTGAATGATTCTTACGTTATCTAGAATAAAGTTTGTGTTCTAATTAATGTTTCCTCAGAAAACATGGCCGCCATGGTTAAAAATAGAACATAGGGTAAAATACAGTTTTTGACATATCTCAAAAGCTAAAGCATTTAGAGCAAATCAGACAAGAAGTTAAAGTATTCAATAGGCCAAGGTCTACCTGCCCTAAAATCATCAGCCAAATCTGGTATCTGATTTTTAGGTTATTGCCCCTGAATTATTGATTTTAAGGAAATTTTGCAGTTTTCGGTTATTATCATGAATATTATTATAGAGAAAGGTAAACAGCAAAAATGTTCAGCAAAGTAAGATCTACAAATAAGTTTATACGACCAAAATTGTCAATTGACCCCTTAAGGAGTTATTGTCCTTTAAAGACATTTTTTCACAATTTGTTCATCTAGTTTGCTAAACTTGGGCTGAATGAGTTTCAGAGTATCTAGTGTAAATTTTGTATTTTATTTCCTTGTATGTCAAGAAACATAGCCACTATGGCTAAAATGGAACATAGGGGTAAAATTCAGTTTTTTGCTTTTGAAGAAAATATGACAGATACAAAGAACATTTAAATGGCATTTTTAAGCCACTCATTAATATATATTGAAAAGCAAAAATAATCATTGATGAAAGATTTAGGCAAAAAATTACAGGTGAACGATTCAGGCTCTTGGGAGCCTCTTGTTAGCAAAGTATTTGGTTCTCAGACTCCACAATATTAAAATCTGTCACCTGTTTTAATATGTTGAAAATTTCATAGAATGCTGTTTTTGCATTTTCTGTTAGTAATTTCAAATTCATCCGAGTTCAGATAAATTAAAAGTTTCTGTACTGCAGCTGTTGCTTACGAGTAAAAAATAGAATTCATCCCTAGATCTATAACCACCTGAATAAAATGAAAATTACAGTCAATTATGGTTGGCATTATTTATTAATAATTGATGACAGATAGCAAACAATCCATCATCACTGCAGACACATGTTGATTTAAAATATGTTGGTGTGTCTGAGAATCATTTAAATAGTATTACATGGCCTGTAATCAATGTTAAAGGAATTGTTTTACATGACCGAACATTTGCAGTTATCATGGTTATAAATGTCAATTTTTCATTTATGTAACCACTATGTACTATAATTTTGTTAATTGTTGATCATGTTTATCCTGATGACATTTTAATATTTATATTTGGATTCTTTCGTCTTGATGCTTGGGTAACAATTTTTCAAAAAGGATTTTTTTTTTTTTAGGGTTTTAAAAAAAAAAAAAGTCAGTTTATAATCCTTTCAATGACTGAAGGTTATACATTTCCAGATTTTAACCTCTCTTATATTTTTCCAATTTATTGTTATGTTAAGACCAATGATCAGAGGTGGTATTACAGGGTAACCCTTAATTTTGATTAACTTGCCAAAGGGGGAAACATACTTGCCCAATTTTTTCCAAGTGTAAACTGCAGAGCCATCTTATTTTGACTTTAATGCTGAACTGATGCAGTTTTCGTAATGCTTATACATGTACAACAATTTCAAGTTCCAGAATTTGGATTTTATTTTTGCAAGCCCCCTCAGTCATGGTTAAATTTGACTTCATAATTTTAGTATAGTTTAGTATAGATGTCTAAAAAAAATATCCACATGTTAAGGCAATTGGACAATCATTAATGGTAAAAACTGCAATCTGACCTCTGTGAAAAATACAACTTTATCAGTTTAAATGATGTGCTAGATAATTTTTTGCACAATTTTTCATGTCATAAATGGCAAAGGAAATGCAAATTTTCAGTGTATGCTTTAACATGGATATTGGTTATTATAACAAAAATTATTGTGCAAGTTACATTATATATGTGTTTTGTTGATTTATATTTGTTTTATATACATCAAAATAATTTATTTTCATGGTGCTATTTTCTTGAAAATGCTCAGAAGTCATAATTTTTTTTTAAATTCCATTAAAACTTATATAATTGTGTTTATGTATTTGTTATTGTTGGTAAGCTTTAAGATTGTCTTGCACTGAAGTCCTTTACTTAAACAATAATATCATGATAATTTTTCTCAGGTAAAATTGTGCATTGTTTTTTTAATTTTTCTAAAACAGTATTTCACAAATCAATATATTTTTTAAGTCCGTCCAAAACACAAATGATAATGAATACAATAAGATATTTCTTGTTGGTAAATAGTGCTACATTGTACTTTTTTTTTTACAAAAATCTGATAGTTTTGCTGTATTTTAATGTACATATATTTGTTAGTTGAATTAAAAAAATATTTTTGTTACAAGTTATAGTCATTTTAGTTGCTCCCAAACCACATTAGTCACAAGTATATATTGGACAATTTCTGAATGAACTGAAATGAAATCAGTTTTACGTAGAAGAATGCAGTCAAGAAGATGAAGAATAGTGGTACTTTGATATACTGTAAACTTAGAAATTTTTTCATGCATTTGTTGTTGAACACAGGACAAAAAATTGCAATTTCATTGGCACAATTACCATCCAGAACACCTATGTATGAGACTTTCTTTTTTGAATATTCTTTGTTCTAAATCCTATATAACATGGAAGGTGCAGAACAGTTATCAATCTCCTTCATTCAAAGGCAAACGGTCCTAGTGCTCCCTTTTCTTAAACACTTCTCAGTTTTTATTGTCACAGATTCTGTGACTTTTGGATGCGAGTTTCTGGATAAAATGTTATTTTTAGGGACCTGCTTTGTTCTGAAGCTTCATATGTCCTACATAGCCAATGCACCAGATGTTGCATTCTGCATGGTGGAAATTGTCCTTAAAAATAATTCATTTAAAATTTAAAATTTGAGGTTTTATATGCAAAACCCATCACTCTTTTAGAATTAATGAAAACATTGCAAAAATCTTTGTATTTACAGTATTTTCATTTTGGTCGCATGTATGCATTTCCATTATGCAGAAAATTTGGGTTTGATTTCTGTGCTGGTCAAACCAAGGATTTGAAAATTGGTATTTTCTGCATATCTGTAAAACATTTAGCATTTAGGAGTAAGAGCAAAGACCCGTCAGCTTGAAGTTCAAATAAGGTGTTAGTGTAAGGCTGACCATTGGCATTACCTTGTGAACTAGCACTGAAAATCCTGACGTCTAGTACAAATATAAAAAAGAAGATGTGGTATGATTGCCAATGAGACAACTCTCCACAAGAGACCAAATGACACAGGGTTCAAAGCAGGGTTCATATTCATGTCACATTAATATTAATTTCTTGATATGCATGAATTATTTGCCACTCGATGTTGTACACCAATTGTCAGGAACTTCATTCTTTTCCCCAAAGAAAAATCAGTTGAGCAAGTTTAGAGAAGATATTTTACCACAAGAAAAAGGTCAACTTCAATCAGTGTAAGGTGTACATGTCCGTATGAATATTAGGGTATCTAACAATAGTTTTTCGATGGTTCCATTCACTGATTAGTCATTCCAAGGTGGTATTTTAGGTATTTGAAAGAATTCCTCTTGTGGTGTTTTTTTCCTGTAAACATGGCATATTGTGCCATAGATTTTCAAGCCAACGTGATAAAAAATAACTGAATTCTATACAACAAATACAAATTCAGATTTAATTGAAATTTATGTTTGTGAATATTAATTTATTAGTGTCAACCAGACACAAAACCAATGACATCTAGAGGTCACCATAAGCTCCATCTATCTTTAACAAGAGACAAAAACCGAGAACCTGATCCAATTATGTGAACTAAAGAGTATCATTTATACTGTAGATATATGTAGTTGACCTATTACAGTAACGGGTAGTAATACAATCAACAATTGACTCCTCTGGTCATGTCCCCGACCCAGTAAAACTAGACTTGAAATTAATATTCGCTGCTTCTTCACTAAGCATGCAGCATTTAGGATTGAGAGCAAAGACTGTCCCCCAAATAAGTTGTCCAGGTAAGGCAGCATGTCTTCCTGTGGACTGATACCTTGTGAACTAGTGTGTTATATATTCGGCTCAGCATGTCTGTCTAGTTCAAAGCAGGGTTTATATTTCATATAATTATGTTCTCACCCTGATTTGTATTTAATTTGCCAATGGATGTTAAACAGCCAGCCATCCATCAAACACTTCATATTGATGAACCATGATAAGGAACCCTGTTGGACAGACATACAACATTCCATACACCAAATACTGCTGTTTATAGTATCTCAGAAACAGACAAAATCAAGAAAACATTGTCCAATGAACCAAAAAAAAATGAGGTCAAGGTCATCAGATGGACATGTACATATTTTGTACATAAATTTATACACTGAATATAGATGATTTATTGTTAATAATCCTAACATGATTTTACCACATAAATCACGATGAAAAACTAGTTTTTGTAGCAATCCCTGAACCACGAAAATGAGGTCAAGAGCATCTGATAAAGGGACCTTATGGTGTAATACCACCAAATCATAGTACGTCACATCCGGTTGCATACGAAAATAGGTAGAAAAAAAATATTCCCTTGAATTTGACAGTTGTAGGTAATTGATCCTACATTTCATTGCAGTAAAACATTTCTGAGTCATAAACATATATCTTGGGTATTTCAAAGCACCATTATTTCTTTATTTGGAGTTTCTATAGAATATTTTGGAAACTTGAGGTTACATGGTTACTAAAGCTTGTACACAGGTTAAAAAAGGGGGAAAATTTGATTGGTTAACTTCCAGTGATGGTTATTTTCTTATATGCAATGAAATGTTATGTGAAATTTTTTCTATAGTACTGGACAGGATAAATCTTTACTCATGCCAAGTATTTCTTTATTTGAAACAAAGATAAATTCTGCACAATTTTTTGAAAAGTGCAAATTTAACAAAGACTAATAGGGGAAAATCAATGGTGGTATTACACCTAATATGGGAAGCTGTACATGCACCTTTGACCTTGTGAGTACTCTCATGTGTTAAAATTTCTTGCTATTTAAGTGAAATATTACAAATAATGAAATATTCTGAGTGGATTGAGTCTCCAAAATACATTTTATGAGAAAATTTCCTTGAAATAGGACTTTACCATGAATATTAGTTGACAGAACAAGCCATACTTAGAATTTTGGGGAGCTTTTTCTCCTTATTTCTTATATTCTGCTATACTAGAAAATTTTCCCTAAGAAATACTTTAATAAATATATAGTTTTAAGTAAATGAAATTACTTTTAAAGCAGTAACAACAAATTATTCACCAAAAAAGAAGTTTTTTATGTCCCTCTCTGGAACGCGGCGTAAATTTAAGTTTTACGTAAGGACTTATTGAAACCTCCTTGGAGACTGTAAACTTTTATACGGATAGTTCATTCAGCTTGAATACTTCAATTAATCATTTATAATAACATTTCTATCATAAATGAGTGAAAGTTGCCCCAAAATTTTTAATTATTGGCCTAAAAAGTAGAAATTTTGAGGAAATGAGAGGTATAAATGGACCAAAAGAGATCTTATAAGGAAGACAAAGAGGTCCATTAGTAGTATTTATCATCCTAAAGTCATCTTTTGTATCATATTCAACTGTTTGTAGGCAGATGAGATAAATATTTGATCATTTATTGGTCCACACTATATTCTATCATGATGCGGCTTGGTTTGGATTTTTCGAAGAAATTTTGCTCGAATCGCTGTAGATGTCGTCTTACATTATACTAGATTTTTCTCAAACTATTGAACTGATTATGACAAAACTTGACAGGAATGCTTGAAATAACCAGTATTACAAAGGAAAAAAGTAACATTCAGTTTATTTAACAAAAAAGTCTTCTTTATGGGAAGCTGTACATGCACCTTTGACCTTGTGAGTACTCTCATGTGTTAAAATTTCTTGCTATTTAAGTGAAATATTACAAATAATGAAATATTCTGAGTGGATTGAGTCTCCAAAATACATTTTATGAGAAAATTTCCTTGAAATAGGACTTTACCATGAATATTAGTTGACAGAACAAGCCATACTTAGAATTTTGGGGAGCTTTTTCTCCTTATTTCTTATATTCTGCTATACTAGAAAATTTTCCCTAAGAAATACTTTAATAAATATATAGTTTTAAGTAAATGAAATTACTTTTAAAGCAGTAACAACAAATTATTCACCAAAAAAGAAGTTTTTTATGTCCCTCTCTGGAACGCGGCGTAAATTTAAGTTTTACGTACGGACTTATTGAAACCTCCTTGGAGACTGTAAACTTTTATACGGATAGTTCATTCAGCTTGAATACTTCAATTAATCATTTATGATAACATTTCTATCATAAATGAGTGAAAGTTGCCCCAAAATTTTTATTTATTGGCCTAAAAAGTAGAAATTTTGAGGAAATGAGAGGTATAAATGGACCAAAAGAGATCTTATAAGGAAGACAAAGAGGTCCATTAGTAGTATTTATCATCCTAAAGTCATCTTTTGTATCATATTCAACTGTTTGTAGGCAGATGAGATAAATATTTGATCATTTATTGGTCCACACTATATTCTATCATGATGCGGCTTGGTTTGGATTTTTCGAAGAAATTTTGCTCGAATCGCTGTAGATGTCATCTTACATTATACTAGATTTTTCTCAAACTATTGAACTGATTATGACAAAACTTGACAGGAATGCTTGAAATAACCAGTATTACAAAGGAAAAAAGTAACATTCAGTTTATTTAACAAAAAAGTCTTCTTTATGGGAAGCTGTACATGCACCTTTGACCTTGTGAGTACTCTCATGTGTTAAAATTTCTTGCTATTTAAGTGAAATATTACAAATAATGAAATATTCTGAGTGGATTGAGTCTCCAAAATACATTTTATGAGAAAATTTCCTTGAAATAGGACTTTACCATGAATATTAGTTGACAGAACAAGCCATACTTAGAATTTTGGGGAGCTTTTTCTCCTTATTTCTTATATTCTGCTATACTAGAAAATTTTCCCTAAGAAATACTTTAATAAATATATAGTTTTAAGTAAATGAAATTACTTTTAAAGCAGTAACAACAAATTATTCACCAAAAAAGAAGTTTTTTATGTCCCTCTCTGGAACGCGGCGTAAATTTAAGTTTTACGTAAGGACTTATTGAAACCTCCTTGGAGACTGTAAACTTTTATACGGATAGTTCATTCAGCTTGAATACTTCAATTAATCATTTATAATAACATTTCTATCATAAATGAGTGAAAGTTACCCCAAAATTTTTATTTATTGGCCTAAAAAGTAGAAATTTTGAGGAAATGAGAGGTATAAATGGACCAAAAGAGATCTTATAAGGAAGACAAAGAGGTCCATTAGTAGTATTTATCATCCTAAAGTCATCTTTTGTATCATATTCAACTGTTTGTAGGCAGATGAGATAAATATTTGATCATTTATTGGTCCACACTATATTCTATCATGATGCGGCTTGGTTTGGATTTTTCGAAGAAATTTTGCTCGAATCGCTGTAGATGTCGTCTTACATTATACTAGATTTTTCTCAAACTATTGAACTGATTATGACAAAACTTGACAGGAATGCTTGAAATAACCAGTATTACAAAGGAAAAAAGTAACATTCAGTTTATTTAACAAAAAAGTCTTCTTTAGGTGTAATACCACCAAATCATAGTACGTCACATCCGGTTGCATACGAAAATAGGTAGAAAAAAAATATTCCCTTGAATTTGACAGTTGTAGGTAATTGATCCTACATTTCATTGCAGTAAAACATTTCTGAGTCATAAACATATATCTTGGGTATTTCAAAGCACCATTATTTCTTTATTTGGAGTTTCTATAGAATATTTTGGAAACTTGAGGTTACATGGTTACTAAAGCTTGTACACAGGTTAAAAAAGGGGGAAAATTTGATTGGTTAACTTCCAGTGATGGTTATTTTCTTATATGCAATGAAATGTTATGTGAAATTTTTTCTATAGTACTGGACAGGATAAATCTTTACTCATGCCAAGTATTTCTTTATTTGAAACAAAGATAAATTCTGCACAATTTTTTGAAAAGTGCAAATTTAACAAAGACTAATAGGGGAAAATCAATGGTGGTATTACACCTTATCAGGAAAAAACAATGTTGGTCAGTGAACCATGAAACAATGTCCGGTGAACCCTGTCTTAAAGATATGTATACCTTGCTTGCAATGATTTAATATACACAATACATTTGTCATATACTCTTAATGACTGAAAAAAATCATATGATAAAAGCATATTCAATCTTACATAGCTGTCAATTGAGCATTGCAATAAAGTTGAGAACAACACATATGCAAGACCTGACATTTCAGACCAAAATGCTTCAGAATATCAGATATGGATTATTCAACTCTTCTACCTTCTCAAATATAAGCTTCATATAAAAAGCATCATCACTAGATAAAAAATCTCCAATAATACTAGCAAGCAATACAAAAAACGGTAACTGTACATTGGAAAAGTTATCTTTGGAAGAAATATAAGTCTATGTTAAAACAAAAACAATTTATTAAATAAATCATTAAACATGTAAATATCTCAGCAGAAGTTCCTTGACACTTAAAACTGGACGGTAACTGACATAGAACAACTTCAACATTGTCATAAAAGTATGTATATAAACCAACAAATATCAATCAATAAATAGAATTAAATATTTGACATTATTATCAATACTGAGGAAAAAATAAAACCAATCTATCACATTTCCAAGAGACAATGGATGGAATGTTCAATAAGGCTAATACAATATAAAACTATATAAAAATAAATAGTCCTGGTTTACCTAAGGAAAGTTTTATTTACCCCTTAGTATGTTAAAGAAATAAACTAGCACTGCATCCATTAATTATTCTTTTTAAGTCAATGGTGCTGGGTTTTACATAGTTATTCAATATTGCATATATTTTTCAACTGCATGGTTGCATTCAGCAAACCAGAACTGAATAACTGGATAATTTTATCTAAACATAAAATATCATCAGTTAACATTTCTTGTGAAAAATAGTAAATTCATTCTTGTGTGTAAATTATTGTGACACTTAAAATCAAAATGACTACAAGATACTCCGTTTTCATATTTCATCTACTGGTTCCTAAAATCCCTAATGCTCCACAATAAAAAGGTGTAGTTAAATAATCCTTACATTAAACAGTTCAATAATTCATACAAATGTCTGCAATCTCATTTAAAATTTCATTTAAGCTGTGGTAAATAATTAATAGTTTCTGATTGTAGCCGACAGTCCACGAAGTGCCCATCTGTAGGAAGAAATTCCTTCTTTCTTGACCTCCATTTCAAATATTGGTTCTCTAGCAGAAATTCTAGAGGCATACACAGGACAGGAGTAGATCTCTGCTGCCTTGGACGGGTCCTGTTGATTGGCTTTGTCTGTGATCTGACAACATGTGAGGTGCACCACAGGGAGTGCCACACATGCTTGTTTCGGTGGTGAATCCATAAGTTCTAATACTGTTTTGTCCCAGGCACAGCCCCACAGATGTATACCATAGACATACATACCCTCTACTGGAGGCTCACGTATCTAAAAATATGCAAATATTAAAGTTTTTTTTTTCGCTTGTTAATATTTTTACATATTTCAACATAATAAACATTATCATCAGATTATAAAATTGGTGGAAACTAAAGTATGTTATATGGTATAGAGTTTGATCACTGCTTAAGGGTGTATGATGACCTGCAGTTATTTAGATCATTGTCCTTTGGTCTGCAGTGGATTATATAAGTTGTCTCATTGGCATACCACATCTTCTTATTCTTATATAGCATCAGGATATATTTCAAATAAAAGGTTTGATCTGATTAACATTTTAATTATTCTCTTGCTAAAGTTCATCCACAATTTTCTTAAAATTCAAACGAAAAAAATAAAATTAATTTTCCAAAGTTAAGAATATGTTTTGGTTTATAATACATACATGTCCAACATCTCTGGGGGTGATATCAGAGTTGACAACAATCTGGTCAAAGTATCCAGATCTATCACCACAATGGTTTCTGATGTAATCCTGCTTCAGTATAGCTATCAGGGCCTGGGGTCTGAAGAACTGGCCTAGAGTCCATACTGGAACCTTTGATCTGGGCTAAAAATAAACAAAAGAGTTACTGAATTTGAGCTTTAGAAGAAATAGTACAGCCTTCATATTGTAACCTAACATATTGGTTGAAAAAACAAAAAAAGTCTATTTCATAACTGGATCTAAGCTGTAAAATAAATTGGTTATCAGAACTTATGTCTGCAATACTGATTTAGTATTGTAACTCAAACCTTTAATCTTTAAAATTAAAACCTACATAGTTGAACTTTCTTTCATATATTCAAAAGAAACGATGAAATAACCATGGTTGGAGGAAATACGGGGGAATTCATACTAATACATTACATACCAGTCCTATTAATTTCTCCAGAGCCATACTCCTGGCTAACAGTCCGTCTCTATCCCTGTCTCCACTGAGCCATGCAGCTACAGACATGGTAAGGGGTGGTGCAGCACTTCCTGCCATCTGACACCAGGTCTTAGGGATTCTCATGTGATACAAGTCATCAGCAGCTGATACAATATGTTCCGACAGATTGTCACCAAAACTCTCAGTCTCGCATGCATTCTTAATAGCCTGTTATCAACATAAAATTTTATATTATGTAGAAAGTTAAAAAATATAACTAATAGAGATCATACCTAAAGGTTTGAATTCTTTAAAATGATTATTTAATCATTTGGCAGAGTCATATTTGATTAATAATGATTGTTAATAATTAATTTTATTGCAGTTTTTGACATTATAGTTATTCCTTGTTTTTATTTCTTAGTACTGTTGTTCTAGTATGATTCTTTTTTCATATTTTCCATCGTTTGTGAAATCAACCCTCATTTAAAATGTTTGACCTAGAAAACACCCCATTACAATCATATAATTTGAATGTATAACATCTGGATAAGTGGTTGAACATCAACAACAATTCCATTACATTTTTCTTGTCATATATGACATTTAAAGGATGGTCTGTCTATTTTTAACTCAATCTTGTGAACATAAAGAACTAGAGGCTCTAAAGAGCCTGTGTCTCTCACCTGCATCTTCAACAATAGCCATGTTTTTGTAAAAATCACCATGAAAGGGCATTTTCAGTCATGATGATATATTTGTTGATCTTGTCCTGCTGATCATATTTGCTTTAAAAGTTTCTATCTACATTTATGTCTATTACACTTTTCAAGATAATAGGCAAAAACTAAAATAAAATGGTATAAAAACATCATTTAAGGGAAATAACTCCAATAACGAGTTGACTAAAGTTTTTCAGCCATGATGACTTATTTGAAGATCTTGCCTTGCGGATCCTTTTTGCTATATAAAATTTCTATCTTTCTATTATAGTTTTCAAAATAATAGACAAAGTGCAAAAAATTTAGAAAAATCGTCATTAAATGACAATAACTTCAAGAAAGATTCAAATGACAATTTCGGTCATTCTACTTATTTGTAGATCTTGATTTGTTGATCATTTTGGCTTTTAAAGTTTCTTTCTATCTATTATAGTTTTTAAGATATAAGGCAAAAACGCAAAAATTGGTAAAAATCGTCTCTAAAGAGCAATAACTCCAATAAGAGTCATCTGATGATTTCAGCCATGTTGACTTATTTGTAGATCTTGTCTTGATTATCATTTTTCCTAATGAAAATTTCTCTGTCTAGTATAGTTTTCAAAATAATAGACAAAAATGAAAAAAAATAAAATTTGACATTTAAGGGCTATAGCTCCTATAAGAATTCGTCTGACAATTTTAACATAAATGCACAGCAGGTAGATCTCAACATTTCTGCCTCTGTCAGATGTTTCTCTATTCATGGAGGTTTTTTCAAGATACAAATGTATTAGACAAAAGTTGCATTTCACCCCTATGTTCTATTTTTAGCCATGTCAGCCATCTTGGTCGACAAGCGGGGTCATTGGACACTTTTTTAAACTAGATACCCCAATAATGATTGTGGCCAAGTTTGGTCAAATTTGGCCTAGTATTTTCAGAGAAGATTTTTGTAAAAGTTAACAGAGGATGATGACGATAGACGCCAAGTGATGAGAAAAGCTCACTTGGCCTTTTGGCTAGGTGAGCTAAAAATAGCTTACAGTGAGAGTATTCCTTATTTCCAGTCCAAGCGCTGACATCATTTCTATCTCCTTCATGATAAATGTATTTATGTTAGGAAACTCTGGTACTTTGGTTGGTTCACCAAGTCGTACTGTCTCACCTGCTTTCTTAATCCTCTCGGTAACAAAATCCTGGAAAGAATAGCACCATTATTAAATTGTTTGTCTTTTATTATTATCCTTACTGAAATATTACTTGCAATTAATTGTTAGTAAATAACCTATTGTTGGATTATTACTGTAGATTCATCATTATTTGGGGATTCTGAAATTTAAATGTTCAAGGAATTACAAATTCATATAGTTTTTAGGCAGACTTTGACTAAATTACAAAATCAAATATCCATGATAATACAGTTTTTCTACAATCACCGACAATTGGTACCAACAAAAAATAAATGAATCTACAGTAGTCTTTTACTTTAAATCACAATGAAGCCATGCATAATAGATGCGTAAAAGATTTAAACTCAAATGCAAGTCAAAGATACTCATGCATATCATATATAATACTATGGATAGTTGGTTACTAACTTTTGTGGATTTCATAAGGATATGGGTAAACCATGAATTTCAGTGTTCAACTTCGTACAAATTTCCTAAAGACTTGTAAACCGTATTTGTACAAACCACAAAATTACAATTTTCCCTCAATCTATGAAAAAATGGTATTGAGGAATATAAATGAATCCACAGTACATTCCATGAAAATTAGATAGTAATAGTGGTCAATTTAATTCTATCTTTTACAGACAGGAAGGACCTGAAACAATTTCCATATAGACTTTTCTGTTTTATAGTTTTGGTGATTTGTAATAACATGTCATTTGGATCAGTAGTTGATTATAAATTCTAAAAATATTATTTAGTGTAATTGCAATATGAAACTACATGCAAATAAATTGCTTCGCCGAGCCCAGCTGGATACGACCGCAGAGGTCCAACCCTGAACAGTTGGGGCAAAAATGGACACAATATTCTCGCTTGATACAGGTCTGAATTTGGATTGTAATTCAATATTTGACACATAATAGGTTTCTGACACAGAATAACTGTAGTCAAAAAACTTAGAATTGGTTATGTGATTTGAATTTATATTCAATTTTTTGCTTATGTGCAATACACTATGCTGTTGCAAATTGACCTCCCTCCCCCCCCTTTTTAAAAAAAATAATAAAATTTGAAGGATTTTCTTTTTGATTTCTGAAATCTTGAGGAGAAAAAATTGTCCCCCCCACCCCCCCACCACCATTTTTTTTTTACCCCCTCCCCCAATTTTTTTTTAACCTACCTCCCCCCCCCCTTTTTCCAAAAAAAAATTCTTTCCCTCAGTCATGGTCCATAATAACCTATTTAAATACATTTTACATCATAAAAGTCTTAAATAGAAAATGACATACATAATCATAGCTAAAATTAATTTACCTTAATCAGCATTTTTTAAAATTATTACAATAGTAACTTCTAAAAATGAATTGACAGCTAATCACCTCAAGACAATACAAAAATTGTTTATACATAATTTAAAGCAGTGTAAGGGAGGTAATTCAAAGTTGTGTTTGAATTACCTCCCTTACACTGTAATTTGTACTTAAGTAATAGTCCATTAACCAGGACACCCTTGTTTTTTCTCACTTTTTTGCCCCTAATTCCTTAACGGTTTGAGCCATAACCCCCCAAAGCCAATCCTAATCAGCCCATTGTGGTACTGAAACTTGTGGTATAATTTCAGATAGATCCATACACTGTTCCACAAGTTATTGTCATGAAACTAGAAAAATGCTTATTTGGGCCCCTTTTTGGCCCTTAATTCCTAAACTGTTAGGACCATAATCCCCAAAATCAATCCCAACCTTTCTTTTGTGGTTATAAACCTTATGTTTAAATTTCATAGATTTCTATTAACTAATACTAAAGTAATTGTCCAGAAACCAAATGTCTTCGGTCGATGACGATTGATACCAATATACAACCGCAAAATTTTTTGTGGTCATATAAAAAATGACCAATGCAAAATCTTAAACCTGAAAACAAATTTATCTTCTTGATGTTCTGATAAAAACCCTTCAAAACATCCTAATAATCAGGACTAGTATATGTATTATATAAAGTTGAAAGATCTAACATTAAAACAACAACCGATTACACTACACAATAATGAACAGATAAAGGGTATCTGAGGACTTGCTGACATCTCTCCTTAAATAATCTCTTTTACAGCCATATTACTTTTGAAATCTCTTTTTATGAACCACAAAATACTTGAATAAAAGGTGCGTGATACTGTACACAGAAAAAACTGTTTTGACTACAATTTATAAAGTGATTTATAGAGCTTATGAACATATGATGGTCAAGCCAATAATCATCCCTAGAATACAACATACAACTGTAAACATTACATTGTAATCAAAATACCATCATCATTTTCTTACAACATACAACTGTAAAGATTACATTATAATCAAAATAGCATCAACATTTTCTTTCAACAACAAAATTACAAGTTGATTCCAAGGGGACAAACAACAAAAGTTGAAGAAAGAGAGACAACACTATTGTAAAAAAAATGATGAACAGACAAAAAAAGTCCACAAACACTATTGTACACAGAAAACTAAAGATTGAGCAATACTAACCCGACCTTTAAAGGGAGATAAGCAAAAGGGCAAACAAAGAGTTGGAAGTTCCAGCTCCACTAGTGGCACCTGTTGTTCATTGCACATTACAAGGTCAGTCAGTAATAAATCACATTGTAATAAACAATGAAAGGAGGACTAGATTGTGGCTACAAGTTAATGGAATATATCATTGGTCATTTGTGACACATACTCCATAATGGGTAATCACATCATGATGGGCAAAAAGGCACCTAAAGGGTTGAAAATTTCTGCTCAACTGGTGGCACCTGTTATGCTGTGCATGGCAAATATTTGGCAGTCAGTCATTTTTTTCTTGATAAGATTGTGGCTCCAAAAAGTTAAGGGAATATTTAATATCCATGCTCATCTGTAACACAGATATTCCATAATGGCCAACCATATCATGAAAGGAAACCATAAAATGAGCACACTACATCCCATGTCCTGTATGATTACAAAGTAAGTCTCCTCATATTAAGAAATTCTTCCAAACGAAAAACACCAATCTCTACAGAGCAAAAATATGGTAGTATTTCTACAGAGAAAGTCTCAGATTATGAGAGCTCCATTGAGTTTACTTTCCAGATCAAAATTAACTATAATTTCCTGATATGTTTTTATTGAGTTGGACACATGTATAAAATGCTAGAAAAGACATTTATTTGGCATTCATACTCCATGTGATTCTTAAGAAAATACTGATTTTTTAAAATAAATATGTAAAGTAAAGTCCAATTGAGTTCAATAATCTACAAAAATAAATGATTTAAAAGTCCAGAATACACATGCAGCAGTTAATTTTACAATCCATCTTTTTCATACTTTTACACAAACTCTTGATGATTTTTACCAGATTTTTTTTAGTCAATGAATACAAAAATCACCCATTATGTTTCTAGGGTAAATATTCATTTCACCATCCATCCTTTACAAAGGAGATATATCTCAAGATCACAACAGACTTTTATAATACCATTATTGAAAATCGTATGATAGAACACATGACTGAGATGAAATTCTTTGATCATTCACTTTTTAACCTTTTCTTTACCTTGTTTATCAATTCTTTCATTAAACCTTATGGACAACTTTATAATTATTTGAGAAATTCTTCAGAATTGATCTCAGAGTTCAATTACTATATTGAGATAAAAATAAACAATGTAATTAAAAAATCTTTTAATTATCAATTTTTTAAGATTCAATTGAACTCAAATGAACTAAACATAGAACCACACCCACTATGAGTTGCACTCTTACCTTTGGTTGTACTTTCTGTGTGTCAAAAATATAATTGTATTGTCATTTTTCTTCTACTTTCACCTTTTCTTTCTTTTATAACTTACTTCTCTTATTTTTTATGCTATATTTTTCAATTAAATTTTTCAATTGAAAATTAACTTTTTTATTTTCATGAGCTGTGAGATTTTAAAACATTTCTTACATCAAATAGAAAAAGACATTTGAGGTTTCTAGTTGCTCATGTATGTTATAATCAATATGTTTATGGTAAATTCACACTTTGACAAAATTTTTGACTACAAGAAAACATATAAAAAAACCTAAATTATTAATTATTGGAATCAAAAGTAACAAAACATACTGAATAAATCTTAAGTAATTTAAATAATGTAATGACACAAAAGTTGATATCATACCTTTGTAAGTATTTTTGGTACTTTCTGTAGTAGACTGGTACATATTTCCCATAATTCCACGTCCTTCCTGAGTTTGAGAAGTGAGAAGCTTGCCGTGGAGAAGACACCCATGTTGACAACACAGGGATTGTTACTATACTTACTTATACCTGCTAAGGCTGGACCTAAAATAATAAGGAACAGTGAATCAATCATATGTTTTCTTTGTCAACTTGCCCCTCCTAAAATTAATTTTGAAGGATTTGAGATTAATTATATTAATTCCTGTTAAACCATTTTCATAAATACAAAAAATATATCTTTCTAAATATTTCATATACGAAAGTTGAACTTCTATCTCAGTTAATTACCAGCTTAAAATAGGTAAACTATAGTTTCATAATCTGCTATTTTGGGTAGAACTAATCTGCAACTGTAAAGTATCAAAAAGTTAAAAGTAGAAAAGAGAATGTATGTTTTACTATGACTAACCATCAAAGGGTGTAGGTGGTCTAGGGAACATCTTGTGTTGTAAACTTTTGTTGGATGGCATGGCATCAAAAACTTTGTTCAGTCTAGTGAATACATACTGGTCATCTCCCAGTAAAGTCTGTAAAACAAATAAAATATTACATTCTAGCTTACATTTCTAGTGTGTATATTTTTTTCTGGAATCATATAAACTTACTTTAGATTTAAGAAAAGTTGGAAAAATGTTTTTCTGTCATTTCTAACAAATATATTGTGAAAAAGGGAATGACAAAGAACTTATAGATGCTTATTTTGTCTATTCTTAAAGTTTCCAAGAAAATTAAACTTCATTAAAAAATATCATCAGAAGTACTAAAGTTTACATTATATTCATAATATTCTGAACTCATTACTAAATCATATACCTTTATGCAACTGTAATCAATATTTTAATAACTATTGTTAGCTTTATATTTAATTGAGACAGAGAAACATAGGTTTGAACATAAAACAAACAATCAACAATGTTACAAATGTGAGACATATATAGAAATATGTTAAGATCATTTTTATGACTTAATTAATACTTGTCAATTGTCTGTAAAAAAAGCATTGTAAAAAACAATTTTTCATTTATACCATTGTGTTAACTCTGTGGTTAGGTGCAAGGGGAGACAACCAGAAACCAGTCAAGATAATCATTATACTTCCTACAACTCTATATGATCATTTGTCCTTTTTCACGGGTAATTTAAGTATTTGCCAGAGGCATACTGAATCTTGCTTTTGTCTAATATTAATTTTTTTAAATTTGAAACAGAAGTATTCAATATATTCCTGCCCAATTTTCCAGGCTCTCATGTTTTAAATAATTATGAAATGTTGCTATGAAAAAGTTTTTGTCATTTTTTAAACAAATCTTTTGAAAAACCATAATAACAAAAAATTGTATGTATTTTTTACCTACTTTATTCAAGAAAGGTTTACAAGAAAATTAAAATACCAACATACAATCAAAAATTTAGATTGTGAGCATCACCATGTTTGTAACATGAGGTAAAAAAAGTTCTTAAAAAAACTAACACCAAAGTAACAGATATTCAAGTCATTTATATGAATTCTGACACTACAACAACAATTATCTTGACTACTATATTAAGGAGTTTTCACACAACACACAATGTGTAATAAAGTGTCATACCGGGCATCCTTCTTCCTGGTGATCATAGTGAAAAGATAAAAAAAAAGTGATATTATTTTAGAAGAATGTTAAACTGCTTGGACAATAGGATCTTAATTTGATTACATTGTTGTAGTGATTTTAAGTGGATGAACACTTGCATGACTGACTGATATAATCATATTCAAATGTCACTACATAACTGACTGATGGATTACACAATGACAAGCAAATGTCACTCCTTATCTGACTGAAGGATTGAATTCAAATATAACTCACTCTTAAAATAGATGAAGGACTAAAAAATGACAACAAAAAAAACCTTCCATCCCAAATTGACTGATTCTTAGGATTGAATTATGACAACCAAATGTCCTTCCTACACTGACTAAGAATTGAATAATGAAAAGCAAATGTCACTACTTAACTGACTGAGCGATTGAATAATGCAAAGCAAATGTCACTCCTTAACTGACATAAGGATTGAATACTACCAAGCAAATGTCACTCCTTATCTGACTAAAAGGATTGAATTATGAAAAGCAAATGTCACTCCTTAACTGACTGAAGGATTGAATATTGCCAAGGAAATGTAACTCCTTGTCTGACTGAAAGATTGACTATTGCCAATGAAATGTCACTCCTTAACTGACTGAAGGATTGAATAATAACAACGTCACAAGCAAATGCCACTCCTTAACTGACTGAAGGATTGAATAATGCCAAGGAAATGTCACTCCTTATCTGACTGAATGATTGAATAATGCCAAGGAAATATCACATCTTAACTGACTGAAGGATTGAATAATAACAACGTCACAAGCAAATGCCACTCCTTAACTGACTGAAGGATTGAATAATGCCAAGGAAATGTCACTCCTTATCTGACTGAATGATTGAATAATGCCAAGGAAATATCACATCTTAACTGACTGAAGGATTGAATAATAACAACGTCACAAGCAAATGCCACTCCTTAACTGACTGAAGGATTGAATAATGAAAAGCAAATGTCACTCCTTAACTGACTGAAGGATTGAATAATGACAAGCAAATGTCACTCCTTAACTGACTGAAAAATTGAATAATGACAAGCAAATGTCACTCCTTAACTGACTGAAGGATTGAATAATGACAAGCAAATGTCACTCCCTAACTAAACTAGGATTGAAGTATGCCTGGTAAATTTTACTCCTAAAATGACTGAATGATTGAATAATGATAACGATATGTTAATCCTAAAGTGACTGAATGTTTGAATAGTGATGATCAAATGTAACTCCTAAATTGACTGAATGATTGAATAATGATGACTATATGTTACTCCTAAATTGACTGAACGATTGAATAATGATGACCATATGTTATTCCTAAATTGACTGAACGATTGAATAATGATCAAATGTTACTCCTAAATTGACTGAAGGATTGATTAATGATGACCATATGTTACTTCCAAATTGACTGAATGATTGAATAATGATCAAATGTTACTCCTAAATTGACTGAAGGATTGAATAATGACAAGCAAATGTCACTCCCTAACTAAACTAGGATTGAAGTATGCCTGGTAAATTTTACTCCTAAAATGACTGAATGATTGAATAATGATAACGATATGTTAATCCTAAAGTGACTGAATGTTTGAATAGTGATGATCAAATGTAACTCCTAAATTGACTGAAGGATTGAATAATGATGACTATATGTTACTCCTAAATTGACTGAACGATTGAATAATGATGACCATATGTTATTCCTAAATTGACTGAACGATTGAATAATGATCAAATGTTACTCCTAAATTGACTGAAGGATTGATTAATGATGACCATATGTTACTTCCAAATTGACTGAATGATTGAATAATGATCAAATGTTACTCCTAAATTGATTGAAGGATTGAATAATGACAATCAAATGTCAATTCTAAACTAAATGAAGGATTGACATGCAAATGACACCCCTAAAAAAAATTTTTAATAACCCCTAGCAGTTTTTGGTAAGTTGAACATTAGATTTAACATAGGGAATAAATTTGGACAGAAACTTTTTAACATTTTAATAAATCATTTAAGGTAAAAAATCATTGTATAGAGAAATCAGAACAGAAATAAAAAGTTTTCAGGTCAGTGTTTCGTACTGTTAATTCTGACATTATATATTACAGAAATAGACAGAGTTAATTATAATTTTGAAGAAAAAGTTTTTACAATTAACACTAGAATGACCTGAAAACTTTTCATCTTCAGTCAACATAAAACTAAACTGATAAACTAATACTAACTAAAATTCACAAGTTTAAGTAAACCTTTAGGTATATTTTTTTTTTTAGTTCAGACAGAATTTCTATTGTTTTATACTATTAATGAACAGAACAGCTGCTCAAATTAAAAATGAAAATGTTAATTTACTATTGAAAATAAAGAATATTGGCCAAAAGCCCACAGCTATGAAATGTAAGAAATTTTTGAACACTATACTATGTAATTTTCATTTTTGTAGCTACCTGAAATTCTTTTGCCTTATTAGGTATCTGGCAAAAAAAGTTAACATTTTAGTCACATGATCAAAACTGTTCATTAATCTGGATTCTATCCAATAAACCTAAAAGACTATAATTCATATATTTCTTTTTTACATGAAGAACAAAAACTTTTTGAAATACAATTTTGATTGAGGAGTTTTTTCTTAAATCTTTATTCCTAGATTATTTTGCTTTCTTCAAAGGACTATTTTCTTTGATGGACTTGAAGTAGTAAGCAATGGTTTACTAAAAACACAATATGAATGAAGCAACTAATAATGACCATAATGTCATGAACTACATGATCCCTCATATGGTGGGAATGAACTACAAGCTGAAATAAAAATCAGTATATTTCATAGTATCTTAGCATGATATAAAAAATAAAAAATTATACAATTTCTTCGTTTCAGACTTTAAGTAACTTTTGTGAATAGATTCATCCAAAGACTTTATTGAAACTACAACTATAAATATCTCTTTGTTAAGGAAACATTTGTATAAAATTGGATCTCTGCATCTTTTATTTTTTTTTGGCTGGTCGTGGGGTGAATTTTTATCAAGTAATATACTTGTATATTATATTTACCATTCCTAACTTTTTTTAGTCAAATCATGTTTTGATAATTACTGTGAATATGCATAATTACCATGCTCAAGCAAATACAATCAAGTGATGGGTAAAACAGCCAGTTACATGCATTCCATTTGAATGGACAAAATACATTGTGCAAATGTGTTACCCAAGTTGAATTTTGTGTTTTTCATGCAGGGAAAACATGTTTTTAAATCTAAATAATATAAAGAGATGTTATAATGCCTTACCTCAACACTAGGATGAATATGGCAGCCTTCTGGTACATCAAGTGTGTGAGGACTTATATTATACTCCAGTGCTTGTATTAGTGTGTTCAATCTGACATTAGGGTTAAAAAATGCTGCAGGGTGCTTGTATTTTACTAAAATAAAGAAAAATAATAAAAATTACAGTACAAAAAAATCCCCAGAAATAGAACATTGAATGAACATTAATTTCAGTACATTGTACACCTTAATGATTAAATTAAAATATAAATGAACCATTTATAACTTTTGATGTTACCATAGTTTAACACCATTATAAAACAAACAGCAATAGAAACTGTAGAATTGTTTAATCAGCTAAGTAGTTTGAATAACTGATGCCTGACCTATATAATTGCATAAGTCTTATCTTAAGTAGCTTCCAGTAGTAAGGGAGCACATTTTGACCCAGGCTTCAAAATATGTGCAATCTATTGGTTCCTTGTTATATTTTGTGGTCATTTTGTGGTGCATGGACTTTTCTTATTATGTGTATTGCTTTTAAGACCTGGGATGGTTTGGATAGACCTAGGAGAGAGTTTGTGTGCATCAAAAATGCCATCACATTTGTGCCAGTACCAAGTCATGATTTCTGGACCATGTGTTGTTTGTTGTTGCTCATCTTTGTTTGTGATTTACTTGTGTAGTTAATAATAGGTTTATTCTCATAGACATTTACCTCATACCTCATATTATTCATATTTAAACTTACATGTTACTTTCTATTCTACTTCAAAATCTATCAAACTAAATGAAAACTGTTGTCAAATAACATTTGAAAACTCTCACTGAACTTTACAATTTTAAAAACGGCCTATATTATTTGCTTTATTTAGTAATTAAACTTACATCTCCTTTCTTCAAAATCTTTCTTGACAGCATTAGGTGATAACCAATAGTCTACTAAGGCACTAACAGCTTGTTGGTCATAGGAATCGGTAATGTGACTTCCATATATTATCTGCAAATATAACAAAATCAATTTCATGCTAATTATCTCCCCTTATTTACAAGATCTTGTTATGTAACAAAGTATAGGTATATTGTAATGGAAACAAGATCCTTTCCTGGAATTAAAGTTCAAACTAAATGAGTTTTAGGTCTCAGTTTTCTTAAAGAAACTTTTTCTATTAGTTTTTCCTATTTTTTCATTCTCATACATTTCATAATTCAGATTTGACCAAATTTTGATTCAAAACATAAACATTTTATCATCATAGCACTGAAAAATCCTGCTGGACACTACATCATGTTAATACTGTAACCCGAATAATTCAGTCGTTATATTCCGCTGATCTACGAAGGCTACATTAACGCCTGAACGTCTTCCTCGATAAAGACCGTCAACCGGAAAATTCACACCGCTATGCAATATGGGAATTTTGATTTAAGTTGGCAGCTAAAGAAGGAGGAGTTTCGGATGTTAATTGATGTTAAATGATGTAAACTGATGTTAATTGATGTTAATTAATTATTATCGGATTTGTGTTAATTGAACACACGTGTTTAGTAAGACAATTACAAGACAGTTGCGCAGACTCATTATCCTGATCGCTGCCGATTGGCTCTCTCTCACAGAGAGCAGACGACGCGGCCAATGATCATAAAGAGTTCAAGCCCTCGTGTGGGAGAAAATCGGACACGGAAAGGGCTTGAATAATTCGAGTTAGTTAATACTGTAAAATAAGAAACAAAAGCACCATTTATTTAGTATGATTCCTTAAACACTTTTGATATCAACACAGACTGGGAGACTTACCTCACTCATCATGTATCTTAGGCCTGTCCATGATGTTGGTCTAGACATCTGTGAACCATCCGGAGCGATACAACTTAATGGATCCTTAAACTCAGATACCAGGATAGACAGTGACTCCTGAAATCATATACTCAAAATATATTCTTTTTATATTTTTCACTAGATATTAAAATTACATATACATAGAATTACAATGAAAACTAGACATCATTGAGATGGGAGCCATCTCTGTGGGTCCCGCTGACCTTGAACTTTGACCTAGGAAGTTGTACAAACATTATGACACACCCTCTGGTGTTGGTTAATATACATGTCAAGTATAAAATATGAAATTATAACGAATCTCTAGATTTGTTACAGACGGACAGACTGATCACCATAGGGCGACCCGCCACTAGGAGAGGCCCTAATTACAAAAAAAAAACCTTCAAACTAAAATGGAGTTAAAGATAATGGATGGTTCTTCAAACAAGAGGGAGTTTCTTTGCTACAATCTCATTGAAGGGTGGCAACCTAGAGATGAGATGTAACTGAGAAACATCCTTGAGTTTGAAAGACCATTTGCTATCGCTATTTTCCTAGGCAACATCAATGACATCATACTTTCTCTTTCTACTGGACTGGGAAAATCCAATATCACTCAGGCAGCGTGAATTGGAAAATTATCACAAAATAAAAGAAGAATATGTCAGGTTTCGAATGCCCCCAATCAAGCTTACTTATAATATGTGAAATTACCTTTGGGGACGGACAGACGGTCAAGGGTAACACTTAATGCCCCCTTCGCCTAGTGGTGGGGGCATAAAAAGATCAAAGGAAAATTTTAGAAAAAAACAATAATTGTTATAACTGCTAATTAATTAACATCAGGTTATTATTTAAAGCTTTCAAAACATTAAGCTCTGGAATGCAACATAAACAAGAATGTGTCCATAGTACACGGATGCCCCACTCACACTATCATATACTATGGTCAGTGGACCGTGAAATTGGGGTCAAAACTCTTATTTGGCATTAAAATTAGAAAGATCATATCATAGGGAACATGTGTACTAAGTTTCAAGTTGATTGGACTTCAACTTCATCAAAAACTACCTTGACCAAAAACTTTAACCTGAAGCGGGACAGACAGACGGATGGATGGACAGACGGACGAACGGACCCACAGACCGAAAACATAATGCCCCTCTACTATCGTAGGTGGGGCATAAAAATTATTAAGGGGGACAACTTAGAGCCAACAAAGTCATAAAACTAATCCTATCTATGATGTAACATAAAGTATTCAAGAATTTGTTGAAATGTCAAATTACAGAATGAAAACTGATTTAAGAGATCCTAATGTTACAAAAAAGTTAATTACCATTAATTCTGTGTATCCTATTTTGGAGAAATCTTTGGGGCCATTCCATCCAGACATACCAAACCTGGCTCGGAGTTGTATGGCAGCATGGACATAACACAAGTTGTGTAACATTGGTGCCCATTCCTGTCTAGAGGACTGTTTCAATATATCCGAGTCAAAACAGTTAAATGATCTAATCAAACTGTCCTTCATTACCTAAAATCAGAAAAATTTATAAAAATATATCAATATTGGGAAAAATAAATTTAAATGTAAAAAAAATATATGTTGCATGCAATAGCTTATATTTTTGATGCTTTACTTTTTTTATAGATTGGACTAAAACTAATCCCATCAGACATCAACTGGAGTTTCTTTTTTGCAAAATATATTGTCATGGTGATGACCTTTATAACAGAGGTATGCAATAATTATTCTCAATGACTTTAAGTTGCTCAGACTTGAACCTTGATGCAATCAATTACTTGTGACTACTGTATGAAAAAAGGCCAAAAGGAACTTTTCTGTGTGAACTTCATTTACTCTCCGACATCATATCTAGAGGTAAATATCACCCTCTACAATTTTCAGATGCTCATATCTGAATTCTAACTTAAAACTTTACCCAAGTGAGTCAAACATGAAAATATGGTTAAGGTGACCTTATTTTCTTTATGAAATTTATTTTTATCAAAGATGTGCACATTGACAAAAATACTTCCCTTACATCTTGTTGGTTTTTAGATCTCTACCTCGTCATATAAAAAAGGTTACAAATTCAGACATGTAAATCAAGGTAATATTTTTTTTTATTATATTTTATCTGCTTTGCTTTCAAAATATCAATCCTCTGATCTGAACTTTCCTATCAAACTTCTGGGTTTTTTTTTATGATCAAGACTTACCCTTAAGAGTTGTACAGTTATTCATACATAATTATAGGTTAAGATAATTATTCAAGATATGCATTCTTCTATAAGCATACACTTAGTGTGTTGTTGATTTAAATATTTGATCCACTCACAACCCATCCAACTTTTAACATTGGTGTTACAAAATAATAATGCATGTTTATTCTGTACCTACCCTGGGTGAATCAATGACACATTTGACAGAATTCTCTAACATTCTGGTGGGTATACAGTCCAGTTTAATTACACTTACCCTGGGTAAATCAATGACACATTTGACAGAATTCTCTAACATTCTGGTGGGTATACAGTCCAGTTTAATTACACTTACCCTGGGTAAATCAATGACACATTTGACAGAATTCTCTAACATTCTGGTGGGTATACAGTCCAGTTTAATTACACTTACCCTGGGTAAATCAATGACACATTTGACAGAATTCTCTAACATTCTGGTGGGTATACAGTCCAGTTTAATTACACTTACCCTGGGTGAATCAATGACACATTTGACAGAATTCTCTAACATTCTGGTGGGTATACAGTCCAGTTTAATTACACTTACCCTGGGTGAATCAATGACACATTTGACAGAATTCTGTAACATTCTGGTGGGTATATAGTCTGGTTTAATCCTACAAGTTATCCATACTCTAAAGTTATGGTCAGGTTTAGGATTCTCGGTCATTACAGTCTCTAAACTCTTCAGTACATTAGGTGCATTGTGAGCATTGTTCAATAATACCCAAGATCCCTACAAAATAGAATAAATAAATAAAAGAACAGAGTTCCATTGTCCCCGTGTTGTACATATTTTATCTGTCCATGGACAATAACTAAAAAATGTTTTTATAAGTATCTTAGAAGGTTTTAAAGCTCTAACAATGCAATTTTCCATACAATTAATATTTCCAAGGGACATAGTATCTTTAAAAATTGTTGATGGCACTGATTTTCGAAATTGTCAGAGATTTTGCTGATATAAACCTTTGATATAAATTTAATATATATCTTGCAAGAATTGTACACATGAGTCCACTTAAAATGCAACTTCCATATTATCAATATTTCCAAGGGCATAACTCTTTTAAAAGTAATTCATCAGCACTGATTTTCGAGCTTGTCCAAGTCATTGCTAATCTAAACCTATGCTATAAAATTAATAAAAATCTGGCAAGAATTGTACATGTGAAAGCACTTACAATGCAATTTTCCCTATAATTAAAAATTTCAAGGGCATAATTCTTTTAAAGATAATTGATCTGCACTGTTTCAAACTTGTCCAAGACATTGCTAATTTAAACCTATGCTGTAAGATTCATAAAAATTGGCAAGAATTGTACGCATGAGAGCGCTAACAATGCAATTTTCCATATAACTAATATTTCCAAGGGGCATAACTCTTTTTGTTTAATTATTTCCCCTGATCAATTTATTTACATGAATAATTTCTGTACTTACCTCATTCATTCCTTTCTGTATGATACGCTTCACTGCTTTTTCTGTAGCAGCTGTGTTCTCTGTCAGTGTTTTTATCACAGGTTTGTTCTGTTTCTTGTTGGCATAGTCTATAAATACTTTGTATGCCATTTCTGTTTCAAATTGGTACAACAATAAGACAGGTGTGTTGGGTGAGCTCTGTCTGTGCATTGTAGTGAAGTCTATTCCTACATCTCCATAATACCTGATAATAGTTATACATCTAATTATTTTATCATTCTAGAAATCACAGCTAACAAAATATATATGTTTTGCAGAAATTTAACTACAAAGTGAAGACATCAAAACACATATACATAAATGTTAATTGAAAAAAAATATATTATACATATTCATAAGGTATTTAGCACAAAATTACAATGCATAGTGTAATAAATGTTAAGATTCTTTTTTATCTCAGTTTACAGACATTATTTACAGGAAAGTTAGAATTCAGGAAGGAAACATAACATTACAGTGAAAATTACCCAGACACAACATACATAAATGTTTACTACTGGTTACATCTTTAAACATTGACTAGCAATGTAACACACCTAATAAATCATATTATATTCTCAAAAAATTTTAACTTGTTTACTTAATTAGTAGGAGTTAGAAAATAACTGTTAAAACAGCAAAATAACAAATTGTTAAAGTAAATATTACAAGTCATTGGTATTTTATACCATTCTAGCTTTGGGTCCATTTATTTTAACATTTTTTACATGTTTGGAAAAAAGTCTATATCAAATGTTTAAATGTTCTACCTATATCAGTATTATTCATAAACAATTATCTGTTTTAAAAATTCTTTAAAATAAAATTCAGGACAAAACTTCCAACTGCAGGCATGACTGTTAAAAGTAGACAATGTCCAATGTTTTACATACTAGGTAATTTTGGCGTGTTTCAACTCTTAAGCTTAACTCCTCATCAGACACTGTCATCTTTGGAGATGATTGGAATTGGTGCACTCTACCTTTGTAGTGTTGCTATAAATCATTGCTACAAGCTTCTACCACACAATACAACAAAGCATTGGCTTTATAATTAGCATGTAATGTTCCTCAGCCTGGGCCTTATTAGAAGTTCTCAAAACACAGAACTGTATCCCTATCAGTAATTTTAACTTGTTGCATGCAAGTTGCAGCTAAAACACAAATGGAACAAATGGACGTAATTACCTGATTAAAATTACAGGCATATCTTTAAAAGTGATGATAAGAAATACAAACTGTACTGAACTCCAACATTTCAAAACACAAAAAAAGACCTATTCATTGTTGAATAAAGAGGAAATTATCAGACATTATAATTATAGTAAGTATGATATTCTTGTATAAATAGTTTTGAATGAACAGGACTATTGGCTCCAAACCTACGATTTATTTAAGGGTCATTCAAAGTTCCTTCAGCTGAAACGTTTGAGACATAGCAGTAAAACACAACACCAATAAAACTATCAAAATTAGTAAAATACAAATCAAAGTGTTTTCATCATCTTCACAACCAACCACCTGTCAACATAAATTACTTGATTGATAAGGTTTAAAGATATCAAATATTTTGCCCACTCTTGTTGCCAGTATATATCTTGGCCTATGGCTATATTAATATTGACCCAATCCATTAAAGCAGCACACATAATTTTGTACGCCCACTATGGAGTTATGTGTAATTATCACACAGCTACAGTGCATTGAATGCTTATGACATGCTGTCACACACTGCATGCTGCTTACCAACGTTCTGATGAATCTACATCCTGATGTCTATTGAAAACATAAAAGTCTACTTTAGCATAGAAGCCTTATAAAACAAATAGTAACTTTTCTTATTTGTATATCTAACGCATAATAGCATGCAAGGGTATCTGTGTAGAAATGTTTACACACTATTCTTTTACTTTATTGATAAGTTGGAGGGTATAATTTTGAGAAAACTAGGGATACAATCAACTTTAAGCAGAGAAAAACAGAGCAAAGGTTCTTTACCTTTGAAAGGAAGAAAGCACTTTAAAATTTCCATCAGGACAGGTGTTACTAAATTGCCAGTGTTCATTCATATATCATTTCTATTTGTTTGTGATTTCTTTATAAGTAGATTTACTTTGAACTTGAAGCACACAAAAAATCATTCTAAATCAACATATCCAGAAAAAATAGCCAGTATATAGACAATAATCAATTAATAAAACATTGTTCTCTGGCAGTTTGAGCCAATCTTTTCCAAATATTTTCAGTAGTTCATTTTGTCAGTCTAATTATAACAACTGAAATATTCATTATACTTTAAAGCATCAACATCTTGAAATTTACTATATAATTATAAAATTGACTAGCACTAATAAATAATGTTGAAGGTAAAACAAATGTAATATACACTATGCTAAAATATCCTCATACATAAAAGTAGATATATTTCCTAATAAAGATCATGATACATGCATTTTTTAAGAAAAAAAAACTGTCTGCTAAAGAAATACTTTATTGAAAGTTGGATATGACTTCTAAATAGAACTCTAATGTTTGTTGGCTTTTAGTTGATTTCCAAAAGTTTTTAAATTTACCAAGAGATTAATAATCCCACATGAACAAGAGAGGGAATGAAAGTGTTCAATAACCCTTTAATATTTTCATAATATAAAGCTAACTACTGTACATAATATAGCACTAAGCTGTCTAGATCCATTGTTTAATTAAGACATTACGTGAAAAGATAATGAGTGAATTTATTTAGTGTTGGTCTCCTATTTCTCAGATAAGCACTCCTAAAAATACAAATAAGGTTCATTGTAAAATTCCTAGTAATAACCAAAAAACTCATCTTCTCTTAAATGCTTGACTGTATGGAATATTAATAAACAAAAAAAATCTGTGATTGTCCTGAAGCCGTCATTTGTAGTAAAAAAAAAAAAAGACATAATCTACTCTTACATTATTCTTCTATATAGATCAAATAAAAAATCAAAAGTGAAAAATAAACAGTGAACATTATATCATATTGAGTGCACAAAAGTGTTAAAAGCAAAAAACATACAAACTTAGATACATATATACAATTTTTTGTAAATGATCTGATGTATATTGGTATCAATAACAGCTATTTAGTAAAAATCCATAGCTGGTGACAAATTCCTACTAAAATTTTGGTAATATCACATTTAAACAAATTATAAATCAATTGTTTTGCATGAGCAATTTCAGTTTCAACAGCTATACATTTTTGAATACCTTTCATTGTAATCAAATAATCATCTAATTTGCTTCAAGAAATATGTAGAAGGTAGAATTTTTCTGCCATAAAAGAAACTGAATATCACATGAAATTATAAAAGTCAACATAACAAAGCACAGTGTCTAGCTGCAAACTGGTTACATTCTGAGAAAAGAACATAAGTAAACTTTTTTAGGTTAAAACAATTTCATTTTAATTAGTATAAGGGTAATAATTCTACTCACTTCTTGCCTAATACTCTGTTGATAAACAGTGTGGATGCCTGCATGAGTCGATCACTACGAGCAGCTCTCATTACACACAACCATTGTAGGTTCTTACAATGTTCATCAAATTTGTCTGGTAATGGCTGAGTTTCTCCTGCCACAGTGATTTGGGGATCAGCAAAATTACGCCAAGGTGACTCACGACCGTCCTTTGGCATTTTATCAAACATGTCTTGGAACCATTCAAAGTGTGTGGCCAATACCTACAAAATGTCAGAATTTGTTTTCATCAAAATAAGGTATACAGCAAACTATTTCAGTAATCATAAACATTATTCAGATAGTGTAGACCATATAACAGAATACTATCATCCCATTTTATAAAGCTTGAATTAAAGATAAGACTATGTAATAAAACTGACCTCATTTCTTGTAGACATTATGGTAGTAGGTGTATATCTTTTTTCAATACAGAGTCAAACCAAGAAAAAAAATAACCTGAAAGTCTCTGATATAACTATAATTTCTTTTCTACACAACAAAAAGAACATGACTGAATTATCTGAGTTCTCACTCTTAACAATGTTTCACTTCTATTTAGGGATAATTTTGCTTACCAACAATTATATTTCTTAAAAAATCTGGAATTGTTAATTTATCATGATGAAAACATGTTTATTTCTATTCTATGTATCATGTCATAAGCAAGCAGTGATTTTGCTTATTTACTAGTAAAATGTTCTTGAACATATTCAACCCTTTACATTGGTAAAAAAATAATTCTGTTGAATAAATTCTCAAACCTGTAGATTGTGGAACTGTTCTTCATGCATCCAGGCAAATGTGTTTTTCTGTTGTAGAATTTTACTATCAGTAGGCTGTGTATATCCCAAGGCTGACATAACAACAGATCCATAGTTAGGAGAGATCAGGAATTCTCTTTCTCCTACTCCTACATTGCCTAAGGAATCTTCAACCTGTAAACAAAGCAATAAAATATAACCTGAGGTATATATAGACAGGAGAGATAAGGAACTATCTTTCTCCTTCTCCTACATTGCCTAAGGAATCTTCCATCTGTCAATAAAGCAATAAAATATAACCTGAGGTATACAGAGACAGGAGAGATAAGGAGTTCTCTATAGTCTCAAGATTACTTCAGATTTTTTCTGAACTATTCCTTATATATCACTGACTAGAGTAAAGTAGTCTACACATTTTATTAGACTCAAAATTCAACTAGACTCATTCAAAAAGAGCCTTCTCTACTAAAAATCTATATATTCTTACTTACCTCAATAGCTAAGAGAAGTGAAAACAGATGTCTGTCTCTCTCCATCAGTCCTCTGGCTACAAAGTTATGTGTGGTGTATGTGATTTTATCAATCATAGCCTGGTCTTGAGACCTATAAAATAATTCAACTACCTGTTAATACAATAGGAATTTGACATATATATCTTTTGGATATTGAATTTTCTTTTGTTCAAAAACAGCTACAGTAATCAACCCACAAACAGCAATGGCACTTCTCAAGTTATTTTCTTAACTTTGTTTCTTCTTCTTTATTTTTATCGACTTTGAAATGAAGGTCTAATGTTAACCACTTAAGGGTACAAGTATGTAAGAAAATCTTATGGTTCCAATAGTCTAATTAGATAAATGTTAAACAATGGTATGAACTGACTCAATGATATCTGGACTGGCCGACTTGCTCTCATTTCTATCTGAGAGAAACAATATTACTCATTGGCTTAATGACTGATTTTTTTACTGTGTGATGGTGTAATCAAACTGTAAATATCTGTGTTGAAAACTGACTTATATTTCTGAATGTGTACCTGGCTGAATGATTCAGTTTTGCTTGAAACTTTGTCTTAACATACTTAGTGTTATTGGTTAATTGCCTGCATGGTGACATAATGATGTAATCAAACAATTTGAATAACTAGCTAAATGACTGGCATAAACAAAAACAGTGTAAAGAACTGGTTAACTTACGGTTCTGACTGTGTAATGGCATAATCAAACAATGTAAGGAACTGGGTGAATGATATTTGATATAACGCATTGACTTCTCTCATATACTGAGCTACATCAAAGCACACAGCAGCTCTGACGGCTACATTCCTGTTGGTATCAGTGTTCTTTGTCAGTTCACCTTGTCTCTCCTCTACTCGACTTTGACTACAAAAATCAAACAATCAATTTCATATAAGCTTGTCTTTTTACATTTTAACCAAAATTATTTAGTTATTAGTATTAGGTCTTGCGATCACAATGCAGATTGGTTTTGAATAATGCAGTGAACTTAGGCAATTTGGTATGTTTGACATTGATCAACAGGAGATTTAATATAAATCTTTATCTCATAATTAAACTTCCTTAGATTTTTGGTCAAGGAGAACAGAAAATTAAACACAAATAAATTGTATACTAGTATTTGTAACAATGATAATTTTAGCTTCCTACCTGTCAACAGCTTCATCATACATCTTCTTTAGATCTGTCATTTTTTTTGTAGCTGGTAAATCATTCATCAACCTGACATCACTAGACAAGTTCTCCCTCAGACGAAACTCTAACCTCTCCATCTCTATCATATTCTCTTTTTTCTCCTAAAAAATAATATTGTATGAGATTAGTGAAAAGGCTAGAAGGTAGACAATTTTCCACCCACTACATCTTTATCATAATTTTGTTTTCTTTTTCTTGAATATGAACTGCCAAGGTTTTGTATATTGTAGTTTTCTCTCTTTTTCTGGTATAAAAATTTGGAGAAAAGTTTGTTGGTCAATTGTTATGTTTTTAGTATTACTTAATACACCGAGTTCATCAATGTGCATCTCTAAAAAAATACTTAGGCAAGCTTTTTCTTTAAGTTGAACATGTTAAAAGGACATTTTAGTTCTCAAGGACAATTTTACAATCAGAAGTTTTCCATGAGCAAAATTCATGTCACACTCTAATCCCTTATTAGGTCATTATTTGTTGATTGTGACAGTCAACTAAAATAATCCAAAATGAAAAACTAACTTAAACCATTCATGAATTCAGGAAAATTTCTTTGATGTGTTGCAGGTCAAGATGTATAATTTATCTTTCTGAATTTCAACTTACCACTCTAAGAGCTTGTCTTTCCTCTTCACTCCTTGATTTCTCCTTCTTGGCTTTAAATCTTTCCATTAGTTCTACCTCTAGACAATGTCTACTCTGTTGGAAGTACAATACTGTACAGTAGGCAGCTAGTGTCTGTGGTACATTGTGTGGTTCTACTGTAGTGTGGAGGAACAGTCGGAATTTAGGATCACACTCTACCTCATGGTCCTCAACCTGTGTATAAATAGAAAACATTTATCTTTGTGTGACTCTACTGTAGTGTGAAGGAACAGTCTGAACTTAGGATCACACTCTACCTCATGGTCCTCAACCTGTGTATAAATAGAAAACATTTATAATTGTGGGAATCTATTGTAGTGTGAAGGAACAGTCTGAACTTAGGATCACACTCTACCTCATGGTCCTCAACCTGTGTATAAATAGAAAACATTTATCTTTGTGTGACTCTACCGTAGTGTGAAGGAACAGTCTGAACTTAGGATCACACTCTACCTCATGGTCCTCAACCTGTGTATAAATAGAAAACATTTATCTTTGTGTGACTCTACTGTAGTGTGAAGGAACAGTCTGAACTTAGGATCACACTCTACCTCATGGTCCTCAACCTGTGTATAAATAGAAAACATTTATCTTTGTGTGACTCTACTGTAGTGCAAAGGAACAGTCTGAACTTAGGATCACACTCTACCTCATGGTCCTCAACCTGTGTAAAAATAGAAAACATTTATAATTGTGGGAATCTATTGTTGTGTGAAGGAACAGTCTGAACTTAGGATCACACTCTACCTCATGGTCCTCAACCTGTGTAAAAATAGAAAACATTTATCTTTGTGTGACTCTACTGTAGTGTGAAGGAACAGTCTGAACTTAGGAGCACACTCTACCTCATGGTCCTCAACCTGTGTAAAAATAGAAAACATTTATCTTTGTGGGAATCTACTGTAGTGTGGAGGAACAGTCGGAACTTAGGATCACACTCTACCTCATGGTCCTCAACCTGTGTAAAAATAGAAAACATTTATCTTTGTGGGAATCTACTGAAGTGTGGAGGAACAGTCGGAACTTAAGATCACACTTTACCTCATGGTCCTCAACCTGTGTAAAAATAGAAAAAAATTATCTTTGTGGGAATCTACTGTAGTGTGGAGGAACAGTCTGAACTTAAGATCATACTCTACCTCATGGTCCTCAACCTGTGTAAATCATTTCTCATGACTGGTCAAAAATATTAAATTACAAATTCCATAATATGTTAATGTTCTATTTGTATTTGAAAGTGGCCATCACAGATTTATATACTCTTGCTTAGTTTTGTAATAAATAATGCATGTGTTGTTGTGCTAAGGGTACACATATTTCAAAAGTATGGGAAAACAGGAAGTATGTGTTAAACAGATCAGAATAGCATACACACTTAACAATTCATCATTGTGTAGCTGCTGACCAAATATTAAGTCATTTTATTAGAAGTATGTATTAGGTGGCCTTCGGCTGTTTTCTGCTCTTTGGTCGGGTTGTTGTCTCTTTAACACATTCCCCATTTCCATTCTCAATTTTATTGGAGAAATGTCACAAAAATTTTAAAGTTCATTCAACATATAGAAAAGTTCAAAGTATTGTGAAACAGTAAGTAAGTATCTGAAAGATCCAAAACGTTCTCACACCTTACAACTCATAACTGTCGAGCTGCTGATCAAATATAAATAAAGTTGTTCTGTTTTAAAGTTTCTGAGAAAAGTATTACAGAAATGTTTGTTGGAAAGACTAAATGACAAGGTGACTGCAATATAGCCACTATAGTTGGGTATAGTAATGATTTATCAAAAAACTGCTTATTTCAAAAAGAGAAATATTCTAAAAAAATTTAACTTACTGTAATTTTGAATCTAGTTTTTCCATGGATGAACTGTGAACAGTTCTGTAATGCATCAATAAACCTCTTGTCATTGGACAGTTCTGCAAGGTCACAGTCTGTTATGAATAATGGACTACCATCTGCTAAACAATTCTCAAACTGGGATCTTATTTCCTGTAAGAGAAAGTATTATACATTTAAATTTTAACAATTAAATGTATTTATGTAAAGAGTAGTAACTGCATCACATTGTGCAAAATCAGTCACAATATTTAATTAAAATTACTGCTTCTACATACAATATTGTGTTTTGCCGCGATATAGCTTTTTTGCGCTGAAGGGGTATAAAGGAACCAACAATCATTCAATATAATATTGTTTAAAACAATGCTGGTCATATTTAATTTATATTTTGATACAAGTACAAAAGTTTTATTGAGTTTGAAATGTACAACCAATGTAATGCTTGAGGATAAAGGGTCAGCCATGACAAGTTATTCCTTTTTCCAAATTGGTGTGTACATAACAATAAGACAGCAAGCCAATGACGAAAATAACCAAAAGAGATTTGGAGGTAAATGCAACCTTCAAGCTCTCAATGATCCATGGTGTATAAAAGTTGTAAATTGATTTAAACAGAAATTAAAAGATCTATAGTCTAATTCATTTATCAGATCTAAATTGATACAGAGTTAAAGACCAAAGGCGAAAAAGGTATACAATGTATGTTTTACTTACACTGTATCGTACAACAACCAGTCCTTTATCTCTTTTATACTGATATAACCAATCCAATACTCTACTTGTAGGATCACAGATCAAAGGCCAGGCATTTACATAGTCTTCTTGCATCAAGAAAGCAGCATTCTCTAACATCAAGGGTGTGGTTGGTAACTGTTTTATCTCCAATTCCATCAGGTCAAGCTAAAAAAATGATTTTAAATTGAACTTTAAACTCAATGTTAATTTTTTTTTTTCATCATTTAGCATATAGATTTAGTTATGAATTGTTTGAAAAATTGTCTGATTTATCTTTTTAAATATATATGTTATGAAATTTCTATAAAAAAAAACCAATACTTTTAGTTCCTTGAGTAGAGAAAGATAGTATTTAGAAGTATTCTGCATACTTTTTTACAAAGGAAATCCACCAATGTCAACTCTTTAAACAACTTCCCGTTTGGCATTGGCATCCCATGATGTTCACAAACTTGCATGAAAAATTCTCCCATTCTTTTCCTACAAAAAATAAAGTTACAGAATTGTATGAAATGTGTTTGTATATGCAACAAGAACATGTTATCTCTAGAAGTTATCAAGTATTATTACTTTTATTTATGGTTACCAGTATATCCAAACATTTCTTTGAACTATTGTTTTGTGCTCATATTAACAATTCACTCACTAGACAAAGAGCAAAACAAGAAAGCACACATTGTCATGCTTAGTATACCACAATCTTAATTCAAAGAGTCAGAAAACAAGAATTTAGTATCTGACAGATCCAAAAAGTACAGGTGATACAACACATCAAAGTGAAGCTGCTGACCAAATGTGAATTTATTCTGTTCAGTAGTTTCTGAGAAAAGTGAGACAAAAATAAAAAATATTTAATTGACAAGATGATTGCAATATATATCCCCCACTCTAAACCCCAACCCCCACTTTTAGAGTGGGGGTATAATAATATCATGGTGTTCATAGAAATATGTATTCTTCTGATTGTATTATTTTATGCCTCAATCATAGCTTTAATTTTATGCATATATATATGACTATCTTTCAGATAAACTTAAGAAAATTTATAATTTATCAATTTTATTTTGATCCATCATACTTCATTCTAGTAACCTTTCACATCTATAGATTATCATAAATATCAAATTTGGATGTTATTTTGGTACCTTGTATCCATATTAGCAGAGCCACAGTAGACAAGAAAAGCAGCAGCAGTGATACAGTTGGCTAACAACAAATCGTTGCTGTCATTCTCTTTAACAAATTTTCTCCATTCTAGTTCCTGGCCATACATACTGTAATATATATAAACAACAATAAGATAAAATCATTATCAATCATTTAACTCATCTGCATAATTCTGTAAAACATAGAACTTATATTTAAATACTTTTCCTACAAAAAAGTTGATATTTTATCTATCTGTAAATGTTATTTTACTTTGCAGTGTGTATGTGGTTAGATCTGTCATGATTAAATTGTAATTGTAAAATCTCTAACTAAAATAATAATCAAATCAAGCATGGTAGTACATTTGTATTATAATTTGATGTATGATGATAGCTTTGGCTACAACTTTTTTTGACATGGTAGTTCAAAGTACTGTGGATTCATTTATTTTCATGGACATCAATTATTGTGGATTGAGAATATTTTGCAATTTCAAAGATATTTGATTTTGTGGTTTTTGCCAAAGCCTGCATGCAAGGCTATAGAAAATTTGTACTTCTTTGAACATTTAAATTCATGGTTTACCTAAACATACAAAATTCACTTAAATTTGTATCCCACGCATAATGAATCCAAAGTACTATATTTCAAAATGATTACCTGTCTATAAGGTCTGTAGCAGCTTTCAGTCTCTGGTTCATAGATGTTAATTCTGTTTCCAGATTATGTTTCTCTGTGACAGATTGATCAAACTGCTGTTGTAGATTATTGACATCATCCTGAAGTTTGGATAGATCGTCTGCTGTGTATTCCTGTTCAGGTTCTGGTGTTGCATCACGTTTGGTCTCTTCTTCTCCCTGCTGTACAATGAGAAAATGTTTGTCATTATTCAAGCGACACAGAAGAAAATCTTTTGTCTAGCAATGTCTTTACTGTAGTACTTTATGAAGTTTTAGTAAAATGAATGAAAGTAAGACTAAAGATTATGAAAATCTTTATATGAAAACCAGTTTTGTTTTCAGTTTTACATACAAAAAGTAAATGGAGATTATATTAGTAATCAAATTTGAGATAGAATTTGTATGGGGCCTAGAATTTTCATGTGATATATCTTATTATATAGGTATATTTGTTCATAACAGAAAATTAATATCAAGTCCCTTTTGTATTTTATCATCTATGTATAGGGCATTTAATGAGCTCAAACAATATAATTCATACTTATATAATGAATGTTCTGTGATATGAAAGAAACAAAACCTATAACCAATACATCAATTTCATATAATTCATTTAACAACACCTTTTCCTTTAATGATTTTATTTCAGATCATTACTTCTTACCATTAAATCCCATATCCATAATACTTTAAGTCAACTACATCCTTGTTTTTTATATCTACAGTCCATGTATAATTACATGCTAATTCACTACTTATTTGGAAAAGGGAGGTTATAACTACATCAAAATTTGGTACATTAAAAAATGTAGGTACACAAAAATGGGTTCCAGTTATACAGTTAATAATAGAGAATCTAAATCAAGAAAATTCCTTTTTTTTTTCCACAAAAAAGCTAACTTTATATTAAAAAGATAACAAAATAACACCAGTCCAACAAATCAAAACATTGATACCTTCAATGAAGCAAACATGCTCTGTAAAATATGTAAAACAGTTACTAAACTCAAGTAATTTCCAAAAACTTATCAATGAAATTATATTTAAAACATAACAGGTGTACTTGGTATTTAGACAAGTTAAAATCACTGGTGTTCAAAATTGAAGTATTGTTTTGTTCATAAACTTTGAAGAATTTTGTTTGGTGCTCTTAGGTTTGTAAGTACATTTGTAGTTCTTATTTTTCTGAAACTGTGTCCATATTTAAGAAGTAAACTTTCTTCAAGAGGACTTTTTTTTTTAAGAAAGTGTAATTTCCTAAATACAAATTAAAGGAGGTCAATTTAGGCCTACATTTATTTCAAATAGAGATTCATTTTAAGTAATTACTGTCTGATCTAACAGTTGTCTATAAGTAATTCAAATACACATTTAATAGGCATTCCTATAAGTAAACTAATACATAATTTAAATTATAAAACAAAACATAAACAGAAGACTCAATGTCAAGAAATCTACAAACACGGACAAATCATGCAGATAATCTGAGATACAACATAAGAGATTAACATGAACAGTGTTTGAAACAGTCAATTGTTGCTGATCTCATGAAGACAAATTAGTATTACCATTGACATTGTAGACATTACTGGCAAGATGAATAAATATTATAACTGTTTACAATGCTTTCTTCATTCCAAATCAAACTATTATAAACCACTGATACGAAGGTAGATTTCTGTTATTTCCAAAAAACATTCAGAAGAAAGAATGATTGTTAATAGTTTTATTTTTCATACAAGATCTAAGAGCTTGTCCATTAAAACATGAAAACCAGGATATGAATCCCCACTCAGTGAGTTTTTTCTTACAAATATTTCCTATAGATTTTATAAAGTTGTTTTAGACACATGATGTGGATTAATTTTTTTTTTGTAGGTACCAATTTTTGTGCATTTAGAAAAAGCTGACTGTTTAATTTTGAGGTTATGCAAAAGTCTGCTTACAAGCCTATAGAAAATTTGTACTTTGTTGAACATTTAAATCCGTGGATCACCTTTACCAACAAAATCCACATAAATTGTTATCCCACCAATAATAATGAATCCACAGAAGTCTAACACATGGTTTTCATGAGTGATATGGAAGAGCCCTGTGTATCAACATTATATTTGTCCTATTTCAAACACTGATATAACATTCTTCCTACAACAAACCTTTCTTTTTCTACTAAGTTTCAGCTTTTTGGAGATCTGTGTTAAAAGTTAGTTATCAACAATTAATTCAATAAACACACACCATGTGTTGAAATCAGTTAGTTGTTTTCAATTCGATTGTGATAAAACAGCTTCATTGAAAACATTTCACTTGCACAAGAAAGAAAATCAGTATATCACAGGAGAAGGACTTCATGCTAAGTCCTATAAACTTCATGCCTTAGTTTCTTTATAAGAGAAAGCATCATGCTGTCACTGAAGTCCATTAAACATTAAATTGGTTAAAAAAAAACAATGTCCACTTATCAAACTATATATATCTACCTCCTTCATAAGTAATTTTTTTAATCTTCTCTAAATATCAAATAGACTGGTGAATTATTGAGGATGAACTTATAATGAAATACTTGTAGCCACCATGTAAATAATTCTCTGAACAGGAACGGGTCATTTTAAATTTTGTCATATGACAAACTTTTTATATATACATATACATTTTGTACATAATCAGATAAGAACATTCAATTTTCTTTAGACAGCTGATGGTCCCATAAAAAGTTTATAAATTTCTACAATGTAATGATGAATTTATTAAACTTAAAATCCTCCACAGACAATAAAGGTGACAAAATCACAATGTCTTGCTGTCAGAACCTCTAAACAGGGGAGGCAATATAGGTTATTAAAAACAAACATATAACTCTGCCAGTGTGTCCTTCACCAGATCAAACAGACTTGTTAGAACAAATAATATGACATTTTATGCATGTATAGTATTAGAGAAATTTTCAATGATGAATGTACTGAAGTCAATCTTTCCAGAATGACTGAACAAGATATATACATGTAAACATGAATGCAATATTTATTATTCAGCAAGATATACAACATAACATATACTTTGTATTACCTCTCTTTGCTTCCCTAATTCCTGAATAATTAATTGTGGATGTTATATACTGTCCAAAGTATATTCAAAGGTATTTTTATGCCATCTGTACTCAGAACAAAATACATATAATAGAGATTGACAAGTCTATAGAAATAGACGATATTTTTATGCCATCTGTACTCAGAACAAAATACATATAATTGAGATTGACAAGTCTATAGAAATAGTCGGTATTTTTATGCCATTTGTACTCAGAACAAAATACATGTAATAGAGATTAACAAGTCAATAGAAATAGACAGCCTATCAAAATTTAGGTTTTTGTGTAATTATAATAGTATCAGGAGAAAAAAGTATCTTGGAGTTTATGCCTCATCCCAGTTCACAAATAAAAGTTATTTTTGTATAACACCATAAAATCACAAACAGATTTAGAACGAATGAAAAACATGCAATGATTTACAGTGAAACTGAAAAAAAAATATTGTGCTTTAAAGCAGTGAGATTGTAATAACATTGCTTTCATTTAAATTACTATAGTTCTCACCTCTTCTTCCTTTTCTTTCTGCAGTCTCTCATTTTCTTCTATTTCTCTCTCTAGTCCATGAAGATTCTCCAAGGCTGCCTTAAGTGGACCACATAGTCTAGAGAACTCTACAATAGCTATGGTATACTGGACCAGAGTAGCACAGTCCTCACTGGAATATTTGGCTGCAGCTATAGTTATACCTTTTGTGTTGTCTGGTGAAGGAGACCTTTTCCTAGCAGTAAACTGAACATCTACAAATATCACAGATACATTTATAGTAGGTCTACATTTGATATAATATGACAGAAATATATACCTAGTTGATCTCAATCTCATTAACATTAGTTCTCCACACTTACTCATACTTTTGTTTGGTTATTTATATGTCATGTAAAAATGAAGACCAAGTGCAGAGAATTAATTTAAATCACATTGAGTTGATCTGTCACAAACTTTCATGTCAATATTTAAGCAGTTTAATATAAAAACAGTAAAAAATCAATGATGCATGTAACAGAGTATAAGAAATGGGAAAATTTCCATTCAATAAAAGAGGACAGATTGTGACTGATTTGAGTTGGGTGGTTCTAACATTGCAGAAACTTGCAATCTGCATATTATTGTGCCCTCCCTTTTGATATTTACATCTATCAATACAAATGTCTTACCTTGAGCATGATCAAGTAATGTTCCTTCCCCAGTCACACCAAGGTTACCATCCTTGTTTGCAGATAGGTAACTTTCAACAGCTAAGATGAAAAAACAAGCATGTATAACATTCATCTTAAAAGGCAAACAAAATGTGTGAAAAAACTCATATACCACCCACCAACCTCCCATATAATGAGACTAAGTTTTTAGTAACTGTAAATGTATAGAGCAAAAAAGCAATCACATGTAAGGTTATAAAGTTATAATATGAAAACTCCTTTCCTACACAAATTTCAGTGTTAGTAGCTTTGACCTTGAACTTATGCCTACTGACTTCAAAATCAATAGGAATCTTCCTCTCATTGTATTTGACCACATATTCAAGTAAGGTTGCAATCCAATATAAAGTATTTTATTAAACCTTGGAAATAATTTTTTCTTCACAAACTACACTTTAGTTTTAGTAGTTATGACCTTGACATTTGGAAGTGACTTCAAAATAAATAGGGATCTTCCTGTTATTATATGTGACTATAAATTCAAGTAAGGTTGCAAGCTATATAAAAGTGTTTGATTTAGAACCTAAAAACCAAGATGACTGTGGGACTGATGAGTCAAAAGCTATATACCCTCGCTACTTCTTAGCATAGAATTATAGAATAGATTAAACCAAATACAGTATATAAAATATGGAATCTGACAGTTTGGAATTATCTAATCTAATATAAGTCACTTTAAAGTGAATGATCAGCTAGAAATGAAATATATCTTTGAACTTTTGATATTTTGAGCATACAAAATGGGATGGTTACCAGCTTCTGTTCGACCACAAGCTGTATTATATTCTTGGTTGCTGTCTCACTGACAATTTGCTCTACATGTTTTGTTATACCTACCTCTCAGCACATCATCCATCAGACCATCTTCCCAGGGTACATTGTGTAACATGTCAACAAACTTCTGAGAATCATTCATTGTCATCTGGATATTCTTCCACTGAGCTCGGTCAAATCCTCCATCTTTTTTACCTTTAAAAATTATCAAATTAAAACATTACAACTGATTAAGGTATTATACATTTCTGAGAGAGAAAAACATGATATTGGTTTACCTGGTTTAAAGAAGCTACAGTTTGTTGGTCTCACATATAAAATTTAACAGAGAACATAATTAATTATTTGCTATACCTGTCTTCTTATATATTCCAGAATTTTAAAAAGTGTCTTTTAACCTGAAGCCCCTCAACCTCGAAACTTCTGTGAAAATTCAAATCATATTACAAATGCCAAACGTTGTACTTAAAAGAATTTAATAGCATATTTTATGTATGTATTAGCTTGTCATTTGAATTATTAGCAATATTAACTGTGACTCTACCGGGTAAATTAATTGTATATAAAGATGTTAATTTAGATTTGTGATGATATATAACTGTAACAAATTGAGTGCTATAATGTATTTTGCCTCCTATCAAAATGATTTTTTTATCCATAAAACAACTGCTTTTTAAATCTTTAAACAATTAATAACTATGCAAGAATTACTCACACATCTTTAATTGCGAGGACAGACTTTTCACATGGAAATTACCATGAGGATATAATATAGACTGCTTTGATTGCCTACTACATGTACATATGAATCAAATATCATCTCCAAATGTTTTACAGGGAAAATATGGTATTTTGCCATTACTAAGGGATTGACTGCAGTCAATGAAAAAAGGTCTATCAATTTAATAATACTTCTCATTTTGAAAATATATGTATTGGTTTTTGATGCACTTTCAGTACAAGCTGCAGAAAAAAAATGTTTATTCATGATCAGTCCCTATGGATCAGGATATTAACAAAAACTTCTCCATGTTAATTTTAAACTACAAATTACAAATGGTGATATTATATACAATTTTGTGTATTATGGGTTGTGTAGTATTACCTGATCTCTGTCCATCTGTATAGAGAGTAAAACAAAGTCAGAAGATAGAAACACACATTGTGACAGAAAGATGACACAATAGGTACACACTGTAATTCATTGATCCAATCAATGTTTGACTTTCAAAATGTCAATGGTATGATCAATACATAAAATATTACCCTAACTAAGATTCTGTTGAAACTATTATGGAATGTAGACATGGTAGAGTTCAACTTTCCTGATCTGTGCAGAAATAATTTGTTTTGGGGTTTTGAATTTGTGTTCTGAATTTCTGACCTTTGAACAACATAATCCAAATCAGGGGAAATATGTATTTCACTGAGTATGAAGTCTATGGTCTTCATTAGCTTGTTACCTAATATATACAAGTACTGTTCTAAGTAGCTAAAATGTTTTTGGGGATTTTGTTTTCAATGATAAAATGTTTATGCTTTTACCTTTTATAATAATCATAAGATTTAGATTTTTTATACTTTTATATATGCATAACTTTGTTACTAATAGAAAGAAAAAAAAAATGCATACACAATTTTGGTCCTTCACATTGAAAAGCTAAAACAACATTTAAATCTTGATATTTTCATAAAAAAATATAATTCATTGTGTGTAGCTACATCAATCATCTGTAATAGCAGGTATTTGAAATCAATATATTCTTGTCCTCTTATGTAATAATTAAACCCCTTTTTTGATCAGGAATTTGATCTAAGGATGGAGATTACTATAACCAAGATATCTATAGCTGTGGTAAACCAAACAGGAAATCTGGAGGACAAACAAATACTTCTAATATTGATAACTGATATCAAAGGCAAATGTGTTGGCTATATTTATTTGGAAATGTGCAAAGAGAAAACAAAAGAAAATATATTATAGCAGTTCTATGAGATGATCTATATTTAAATTTTACACTAAAATAAGAGTAGAGAAATGATCAAGGGTTAGGAATTAACTATATATCATGTTACACTTCAGGTGTTTACCATACCTTCTTTGGGATCTAATGAAAAAATTATTAAAAATGTCATATATGTATTATAGATTAAAAGCGGGGTAGGGTAAATGCTAATTAAAGATCATTATTAGCAATTCCAAAATTTTCCCAATTATCATGGTGTCTATCAGTTTTATAGTCTTAGCATGCCTGATATAGCACACAACAACATGTAACACAAGTCCTGGTTACCAATCTAGTAAAAAGAGATAATTCCCTTTTATAAGATACTCCAATATTTTTTTTACAACAAACAGGATTATCATTTAGAACACAATCTAGGACACAAATCAACACCAATGGACCTTGATTTGGATAAACAATACAAAACTTGGGAAAACATACCCATACAACAACAAAAAATCATTCTTTTAACCCTTGACCTTAGAGATAAAAAAAAAAGAAAAAAAAAAAGCAGAAAACGACATAGAAATACAAATTTAACATTCAGCACTCCAAACTATATCCTACAAGTATGAATAAAATTAAACCAAAATATCAATTAAACTGAGACTATGGAAGGTGTTTTTTTTCCAATTAAAATTCTTTTTCTTTCTCATTCACTCCAAAAACTTACAAAAAGTATTATTATGTTATACTTACTAAAAATCTCTCAAAACAGAATTACTTGAAAATTCATCCTGCATTTTATCAAAGTTTAAACTGTCATTCAGATTTTTTTTTTGAATCCCAACCCTTCCAAAGCCTCATGATATGTTGAAAATAGAAACAGTGACAACAATTATTCACTCATTACCCCTTTTTAATGAACGTTGAGAAACTAATTTCCATTTAGAAACCCAGTCTGGAATACAACATTAAAATGTAGGAATAAAATACACGAATTCAGTATATAATACTGAGAAAATACACATATCCCTGCAAACCCTTGTGCTATCTGTTACTGGAAATATGTACCCTTATACAGTGCAAAATGGTAAAAGGCATCAGAACAAGTAAACAATATCACCATACCATGTAAAACTTTCTGCTAAACCAAATATACATACCAATGCATGTAATAATCTAAATAGTACACTTTCACCAGAAGATCAGTAAAATGTTCCCACGTGTGGAAAAGTCACTTACCTAATAAATACTTTTCTACACAGATAAATTATTGAAATCAATGCTTACATTTCATAATATTTATGTTTAGATAAAGGTTCCGTGTTGGAACTTTTGTTTTTATTCTAACTTCTTATTATCTTAACTTTAACAAATACTATAAAAAAAGTATAACAAAAATACCGAACTCCAAGGCAAATTCAAATAGGGGAAGTCCATAAAAACTGACAAAATAAAACACTATCAATCAACAGAACAAGTGAAAAACAACTGCCATATTCCCGACTTGGTACATGCATTTTCCGAAGAATGTCAATGAGAAACTCCAGCATACTGATCACTTGTTCTTTGATGTAGCATGTTTTAAGTTACCTGTCTGATTAAATTTTTTAAACAGGAAAGCTCTTTGTTGGACTTGCAAAGAATCTATGAAGCAATTGACAAAAAGGGAAAGGAGTTGAAGAATAAATATAAATTGGGTACATGCAATTCAGATAAAACATATTGCACTTCCTGTTAAGAGATAACTTTGTAAAAAATATCTAGATAAATATTGCATTAAGATTTTGATATATAGAAATTAGAATATGTTTTATATATACCTTTTTTGACCCCTAGCATTTTTGTACTACTAGAACTAGAAGACATTCTGCTGGACATTTCATCCTTTCCTGTAGATTCCTTAGGCTCATACAATCTCTGTGAGGGTAGTCTCTTACCAACCAACATCATAACCATCTCCATTACTTGTCCAACCAAAAGGGGTGGATTGGAAAACTGACGAATTCTTTCTATACAGCCACGGTCAACTTTGGTCTTCCAGTGAAGTACCTAGAATAATGAATATGACTATCTATATATCAATGCTAAGTTTGATGTGCTAAACATGAAATTCAGGATAACTCATAAAAAAATGGATATTAATATTTCTAATTCTACATGACTAAAATTTGCCATAAAGACAATTCTTCTGATCAACCATTCTGTTATCTATTGTGCATTTGATTATTCTTCAAGCTTTCTAAATGTCAGTGTCATTTTAAAAGCTAAGTTATTTAAACTAATCAATTATGTGCTGCTAGCACTTTTCCATTTCACTAAAAGACCTCATCTACAGTAGTAAATGAATTGTAATGTTTTGTTTTTATCAAGTCATCAGTAGTTTGGTGTACCTTGAACTCTGTCTATACATTGTACTCCCTTGTCTGGTGTACACTAAGTTCTGTCAATCCAGGTGTACACTAAGTTCTGTCAATCCAGGTGTACACTTAGTTCTGTCAATCCAGGTGTACACTAAGTTCTGTCAATCCAGGTGTATACTAAGTTCTGTCAATTCACCCTTGTTGTCTGTTGTACACTAAGGTCTGTCAATACACCAAGTTCTGTCCATACACCCTTGTTGTTTGGTGTACTTCAGGTTTTGTCTAAATTAACACACTTGCTGTTTACTTTACTTAAAAGTCTGTCTATATTGACTCACCTGTTGTTTGGCATACTCAAGGTTCTGTCTACATTCATCCACAGATTTCTTAGCTTTGACATGGTCTTCTTTAGCTTTAACTTGTCTATCCTGTAACTTTAGTTCCATCATCTTATCAAACTTCCTGTCATATTCATCATATTCTTCTGTTGAAACAAAAAATTCTAATTTCAAGTTACTGTGGAATCATTATTATTTGTTGGGACTGATGAACCACAAATCTTAATGTTAAAGAAGTATAAATTTATCATAGGTTTGAATGCAAACTTCAAAACCATGAAATCAAGTATTTTAGAAAATACATTTTTTTCTTCAATCCATGAAAATTGGTACCCATTAACATAAATGAATCCCCAGCATATGATCCAAGGTTTCTAGTTTTGTCTTCTCATGTTAGATATAATAACATCCAACAAGTTACTTAAACTAGCTGTTCACTAGTCTACAATTCATCTAAATGACATTATGAGCTTCTTATGGAACATATTGTTACATTGATAAAGACATTTTATGGTGGATATTTATACCTGTTATTGGTCTTTTAACCTTTATAGTGTTTATCATGCTTAATATTATGAGTAACTCATTTATTATAATATTGTTGTTACATCAATAAATTCAGTTTCATTATTTCTGTTCTATGTCAATAAGTTTCTCCATGACAATTATTATGGCACTGTGAAAGAGCTACATGCACTTTAAAAATAATAGCTGCTGCATGTAAATTCCAAGTTGCATTGTAGTATAGATCATTTTAGGATTTCTAGTAGTGTACTTGGATTTTCATTTCAACAGCTTCTTTGAATGTCCTTAAAAATTTCTAACAAATCTATCAATACAAATCTCAATTGGTTTCATGCCACTCCAAGTTTATGAGGAAAATGTATTGTATTTACCTTGTTCCAAAAGTTCATCTTCCTCTTCTTCTTCAGCATACATTTCTGTAAGGTGAAGGTGAGCATCTAATGATTTACTTAGTCCTATTTTTGCTTTGAGTTTCTCCAAGGCTGTGGCTTTTACAGTTAGTTTATATAGTAAATCCTCAGTTTTTTTAGTTGCATCTTGAAATTTGCCACTAATTGTCTTAATGGCCTTCCTCATTACTTTGGCATCTGATCTGGTTTGGTCTAATGTAGACAACACTTTCCTACAATGTTTTAACAGTTATGGAAACCATACAGATATTATAATCTTTTACTAAAAAATATTTTGACTCAAGACTGGAAATCTACAAATATAATATTTGTACTTATTTTTGTGAAACACTTAAAATAATCTATTTCTTCAAAGACAGAAAAGGATACTAAAATCAAATAAAAGAAAAGCTTATCCAATACCTTTGAAAGGTGAATTATTAAATCATTCACGTGTATCAATTTCAGTAAAATATGTGCATAATTTTAATTTTATATAGTGTTTTTTCTTATTGTTTTACAACTTTTCATTCAAATTTCTATTTACTTACTTTAGTTGTTCTACATCCTGTGTTCTAACTTTTGATTTATTGTTATACAAACATCTAAAACATTCCATGAATCTTCTGAAAGTCGTAGGTCCTACATATACTTCATTCTTAGCTCTGTCATCGTCCTTTCTGTGACGGTTCCTAAAAATTAGATATTCATTTTCAATTCATTCTGTGTTATTCCACTGATTTCTAATGCAGGTTTTAAAATTTCAAACTAAGCACATAGCATAGCAAAAAATACTGCAGTTACTATTTTGCCGACATCATTGATGATTTTTTCATGATGGTCTAAATCTGAATTCATACAATATTTAGTTTTTTTGTGGTTTCAATGACCTTGAACTTTTCAACTGATTTGGCCATTTGTTTTGATTCAAGTGCCATTGTGGCATCTTATGTCAACAAAACTCACATCTGGCATACAAAGTTATAAGCCTGGTATCTTGGATGGCTTTTTTTTATGAAATGTCGTTTTACTGGTAAAATTATGTTGATCCTATATTTAGGATAGTTTGGATCAAACAGATAATCATATATATGGTAACTGATGTCATTTAAAATTTACTAATTGAAAAAAAAATGTCTGGTTTTCTCATTTGAATTGTTTTACATTTAATCATGTGGGGGCCATTAAAAGCTTATTATACAGTATAGGTTTTGCTCATTGTTGAAGGCTGTACACTGACCATTAAATTTAGTTGCTAAAATCTACGTCATTTGGTCTCTTGTGGATAGCTGTCTCATTGGCAATCATACATCTTCTTATTTTGATATTAAACATTATATACTTTGTAATTGAACACATTTTCATTCATCAGTATCCCATGGCAGACTCATTGACTTACTTGATTCTTTCATGAAGAATGGTCTTTGAGTATGGCAGATTGGGTACTTTGACAGCCTCTACCTTAAACTGCTCTTTCTTCTTCTCAAGAACCTTGATCTTGTTAATTGTGATCTCAGGACTTAAGTCTCCAGCCCATGGAAGCTGGCGACAATCTCTCAGCACAAAACTATGGATGTTAGCCAGACAAGTTGTTATACTCTCACTAAAACAAAGCAAAACATATATGGTTATACAAAGGTACAATTTTGTTTTACATGATTCCAGTTTTTTGTCAAAGCTTGACATTTGGATTCCATAGTCTAGTTCATCTTGAAGATAAAAAAAAAGACACAGTTTAAACGATTCTGCAATGTTCTGAACGTTATTCAACTCTCTGTGATGCAATTGTAAGCATTGCCAATTTGGCATTATTTTTATATATATATATTGATTTTAAAACCAGTTACTGCAATTGAATAATTGTCCAGGGTTTACATATTTTATGCTTTCAAATGTCAAATGATGTTTAATAACCTGAGAGTTATTTAAATGGTAATTGACTTATGTCATGTTGGTGACTAAATAACAAAATGATTGATCTTTGTAATTCTTTATGTTAGAGTTCTGAACAATCACAATCAGGCAAATATGGCCCTTTCCAAACCTGTGTTTTTACACCATCATTATTTTGTACTATTCTGTGATAATGTTGACTATCAATTCTTACACAAGTATTGTTTACCTCAGATTTTCAAACTCTTCTGTCAGTTGGAACCTAGTTATAAAGTATGAGGCCTCCCCTAATAATGATTCCTGTGGCCAGTCACACATCCAATCTATGGCACAACCACTCAACAGTCCTGGGAATTCTCTGCAATATAATAATAACAAAAATCAATAGAAAAACCACTAAAAATTCGCTGAGATTTCAAAGCTATTTTTTATTCTATTTCGAAAGGTACACAATTTCAGCAAAATCACTCAACCAGAACAAAGCTTAAATTTGTAACTACTTATAATATGACTATATACAAAATGTTCAGTCTAGGTGGCCGAGTGGTCTAGAGCGATGGACACAGTGCAGGCGGTGTTGTCTCGATATCGCAATAGCATGAGTTCGAATCCCGGCAAGGGAAGAACAAAAATTTGCTTCCGCAAATTTGCAGATTTAACATTGTTGTGCTGATATTTAGAGTAGTTACAAAATAAAAAAAATATATATAGAAGCATTACAGAAAAAAGTGCAGAATAAACTTACAGACAAACTGATGGACGGAGTGCAAACCTAACGCTGCTAGAGGACTTATAACACTGTGGTGTTGTAACACCAACAAATAGTCCTACACAGAAGTATTATCATGACAGCTACTTTTTAAAAGTTAAATAATAATCTTTCTAAATGAAAAGCAGTATATGAATATATTGAACATTTTGTAATGCATTAACAGTTCTTCCTTCAGTTCCCAAGCCTATGTATTTATACATGAAAATCTACTAATCCTTCCTTCAAATTTATCTTTACAAATATTTACCTGTGTGCTGTTCCAAGGAGTATATGGCCAGGTTGTAAACACAGTATAATGTGTAGGTTACTTTTCACTCTGGCAACAAAGAATTTCATTGGATCTACAGACATACTTGGAAACTCTCTCTTCATAGCTGGGGCTATGGCCTGTCAAAAAACAATTCCCATGTACTTAAGACACAAAACAAATTTTTTAAAAAAGTGACCTTAAAAAGCAAAAGTAATTTTTTTTGACAACAATAGGTCAAATGATGCAAAATCTTGTATCATTTATCACAAAATCCCAAATAGCAATAAACTCTATTGGAACAGTCCCAAACACTCTGCATGTCTATGTTCAATTGAATTCAGTTAACTCTGTAAATATCTCCTACTGAGTAAACATGTGACACAAATAATTAACTTCTTCAGAATATAGTATCTATCAAATTTCTCATGTATAATGTTCTCTTTTTTTTTTTTTTAAATCTTAAACTACATCTAAAAAAATAATTTTTGCAAAGACTAAAAAGAACAAAGAATTTTTAAACTAAAGAATGTAAATAAAGTCTAGCAGAGGTCAGTCCACTAATACTATACCTGTAATAGTCCTTCCATTTCATCATTAGTAAATAGGTGTGGTACTTCTCCACTGATAAGAAGACTATTAATGGCATCCAAGTAAACAGGATCTTGCAAATCTCGTGCCTACAATGAAAATAATATCCTGAACTGCAAATGAATCCAAAAATATATGTAAATCTTGACTACCAATTCTTTACTGTAAATAGTTCTTTGAATTTCCACACTCAATTTATAAAAAGGTTTTACTTTTTAAATGTCTAAAGGTTTAACTGACAACCTGAAGAAGGACGGGGGAATGATCAATAATATAGAATCAAAAATAGATTCATAAATGAATAAGGTGATATTTTTATTAACAAGAAAAATGGATTATTAATACACAGCATGTTGACATGTATCATCGCACATGCATTACCTGTCCTTTATTGCCGATTGGGTATTTTATTTCAGCTTATATCCATTAATAACAACCAATGATATAAGGAATTCCCTACTGGCCACTCTTGACATGGGCCCCATATTGGCGTGGTCAGCGTATTATAGTTCATTGCGATAATGCGGTAACTGTAAGTTGCATTAATAAAGGTACATCAAAAAATGCTATTTTGATGTCCTTTTTGCGTGAGCTCTTTTGGTTATCAGCAACGTATAATTTTCACTTGATAGCTAAGCATGTTCCAGGCAAAACGAATATACTAGCAGACTGTATTTCACGGATGCATGATCTACCTTTCTGTGAACAATTTTTGCGGGATTATGTTCGACCGCCACTGTATTTACAGGATCTTGTTAGGCACATGTCTAGTAATGCCCTTCGTTTTCTTTTATTTAGGCTCACTGGTATCGAGGGAGGTGAGATCACTGGATAGTATTGTTGCTAACTTTAGATGTCATACTTATGCTGAATCTACCAAAAAGACATATTTAAACTATTTCAAGTCATACGCAGAATTTTGTAGAAGATTAAATATTACCCTTGTTCCATTAAGTCCTATGAATTTAGCCAGATATGTAGCCTATTTATCTTCAAGGTTACAATTTAATTCCATAACAAATTATTTGTCAATTGTGCGGTTGCTACATTTAGAATCAGGAGTTGCATCTCCGATAGATTCCTTTTTTATGGAGTCAGTACTCAAGGGTGCTAAACGTGTGTTAGGTGCTGCCATACATAGAAAATTGCCTATTACACCAAAAATTTTGAATGAGATATTTACTTTACTGTCAGTCAGCAGTAGTAAGGACTTGTGTTTTTGGGCAGCCTGCTTAGTGGCTTTTTTCTCCTTTTTAAGGAAGTCAAATTTGTTTGCCCCTTCAATTTCAGCTTTTGATCCTTTGCGACATTTTACTCGTGAGGAAATCCATTTTCACTCAGATGGTGTCTGTTTAAAAGTACGCAAAACCAAAACAATTCAATTTTCAGAGCGTATATTAGAAATTCCCCTTCCTAGAGTGAAGAATTCTCATTTATGTCCCTCTAAGGCGCTTCTTCTAAATTTTAAACAGGTGCCAGCAGTGTCAGCCCCCTCACCTGTCTTCCTGTATTTAGTACGAGGCAAGGTTACCCCTCTTACATATACAGCCTTTGTAAAGATGCTAAAACAGAACTTATCTAGGTTGGGTTATGACAGCAGCAAATATTCGGGACATAGTTTTCGCAGAGGAGGGGCCTCCTTTGCCTTAGAATGTGGGGTTCCAGCGGATCTCATACAATCACAGGGTGATTGGAAATCTAATGCATACAAATCATACTTGGATCCTTCTTTTGCACACAGACAGGAAGTCATGAACAAATTTGCAGTTGCCCTGGGGAAATAATAAACCATTTAACCTACCTTCTACTGGTTACACCACACATGTTTGGGAAGTTTGGAATACCACAGATTATTAATTAATTAATTTGTGTATTGTTTTCAAACTGTACTGTTGTTTGTGTTTTATTAATATGAAATTTAAGCATTAAACTGTGGTTCTTTTCCCAAACATGTCTTTGTTTTACACTAGTAACCATCTGGATTCACAGGTTTCCTGACTGGATTCCGATCAGAGTTAGACATTAACATGCATCTGATCTGAGACTGGTCTAGATTCCAACAGCATATATACACATACATACTATACACATACACAGGGGGGAGGGAAATGGGTGGGGCCGTTTTCAAAGTGATGTGGATTAATGTGATATTTTTATTAACAAGAAAAATGGATTATTAATACACAGCATGTTGACATGTATCATCGCACATGCATTACCTGTCCTTTATTGCCGATTGGGTATTTTATTTCAGCTTATATCCATTAATAACAACCAATGATATAAGGAATTCCCTACTGGCCACTCTTGACATCTCGCTCTCTAATTGTTTTGTGAGATGTGGGAAGGGAACCAATCAGAACAAGACCCTTATTTCAAATTATCCAATCGGCAGAGATAATTAATTAATTATCATCCTTTTGTTTTAATTACTGCGCGCCTCATTTAGGCATTTTAGATAATACAACTGCATGAAGCAGACGCATTGCAATTTGGCATTAGCGAATTTAAAATCCCATCCTCACCCACCCTATTTTATTTTTAATTTTTTTTGTTGAGATGTTTAGGTTGCTTCATCAACTAATTATAGATATATAATTGATTTAATTTAACTGTATATTTTATAAATGTGTAGAGTAGATTATATTACAAGAACACACAGTTTTGGTTTCATATTATAAATGTAATATTCCCTTGAGTGGAATACCACAGATTATTAATTAATTAATTTGTGTATTGTTTTCAAACTGTACTGTTGTTTGTGTTTTATTAATATGAAATTTAAGCATTAAACTGTGGTTCTTTTCCCAAACATGTCTTTGTTTTACACTAGTAACCATCTGGATTCACAGGTTTCCTGACTGGATTCCGATCAGAGTTAGACATTAACATGCATCTGATCTGAGACTGGTCTAGATTCCAACAGCATATATACACATACATACTATACACATACACAGGGGGGAGGGAAATGGGTGGGGCCGTTTTCAAAGTGATGTGGATTAATATAGCAATTATCAGAAACAAAAGCATTTACAGAGATAATTTTAGACCTTTCGGTAAAATCTTCTGAACAAAAAAGTCACATGATTAACCAGACAAAACCTAGATGCACATAACAACAGAGAAAAGATATACACCAAATAACTATATAGCAGCTTCATTTAAAGACAATTTAATTTCCTAATCTACCATAGGTAACCGAAACCTCTTGTTTTCTCTCATATGTTTTCGCAATTAAAAATTCTGAATTATTGTTATTCATTGTTACTTTTGTTAACAGCTATTGGAATTTGATGTGACTATGAGAGAAACATTTTGTGATAATCTATACTCTGTGCAAACTAGCCAGCTATATGTACAGGAAAAATTAAATTTCAATGCTACAGAATACCTGTCCATGTGTGACCAATAACAATATATGTGCAAATTAAATAATATTCATTTATTCCCTTTTATCTATATGTTCTGATTTTTAGAGTAAAACCTACCTGGTTACTCTGGAAAAATAGTATGAAAATGCAATGTATTTGTGTGTAGCATGTTAGTCTATTTAAAACTAAAATTTGTGTTTTTTAGGACATGTCCATGTTTTTTTTCATACACAGGCCATATTATAAATTTTAGTTTAAATTCTGGATTTAAAAATGGGAGCTTCAAATATTTATCTTTTTACTTATTCAAAAATTTATTTTTTATTCTGATAACCAGAGAAAAAGTATGAGCTGTTGACTCATATCCAATTTTATTTACAATAATTTTTAAGTGTATAAATAAATCCAATTAGTGAATAAATCAATGATTCAAAACTTAAATTACATTTTTCCAGCTAATGGACTATTTTTGGACTAAAATTTGTAACAAATTCACAAAAAGATATCTAAAATACTATGCAACTCCAAGGTAATGATGATCCCTTGACTTCCCCTCCAAAAAAACACTGGGAGAGAGGTTACAGTGCATAGTATGATTGCTTTATAAACTTAACAAGCTTACAGTAAAAATGACGGTGAGTATTTTGTTCTCAGCTCCACTCAATCGTACAGCTGATCTCAGACCATCAAAGAAGTTACTTGTTTTGGAAGTGTCCATTTTATGTATAGGGATGTCAGCTACATGGAGAGCCAGTCTACACAAGGTTGTAAGGTGAGCTCCAACTGCTCCAATCAACAATAAATTCCCACTGAAAAACAAATATCAATTCAAATAACTTTCTTCTTATAAATTTAAGAATAATTTAAAGAGAATCAAAAAGACAATAATATGTTATTTTGGTCTAGTTTTTTAGTATTTTTGTTATACCTTTTTGATTTAATTAAGAGGATGATAAATTTTTTTGAGACAATATTATCTATAGATAAATTTGTAAAGTTCAATTGTTATTGTTGTTATAAAAGCAAAAGCATGAGAATATTTTTATATAATAAATGAACAGGTCTTCTTTAAATCTACAAAAAGTTATAGTTTATGATTTGATGCAACTGTGTTCTTCAATGCACTGACGTAGCAGGGTGCTGTCTTGTACTTCAGTGAGGTGGGAGTTTGTGCTCCCTGTTGACGGCCTAGCTGTGACTTTGAGAGGAAGAGCAGCAATAATAGTGCTGTGATTTTGCTATGTTTTTTTCCCAACTGCATTAAGACATTTTGTGCCAAAAATAAATATGCTATATACTTTCTTTTCAATAATAATTAACAGGAAAACCAATAAAACAGAGTTGTTTTTTTGTTTTTTGTTGGTTTTTTTTGGGGGTAGGGGCTTATAATAATTACAAACATATAAATCCTTACTTACCCATGATGGAAACTAAGTACTCTATGCATTCTAACAACATGGTCAATTATAAAATCTGACAGCATAATGTTCAGTGGTATATTTCCAAATTCTTCATTGTATCTTGTTAAGTGTGTATTAAGGCAGCTGTGTATGTCCCTCAAATTGTCAACAGGTTGAAGGGAAATCTACAATGAGAAAAAAACAATGTCAATCCTTTTATTACATTCAGGATTGTTTTTCAGAATAATGATAAATTTGTAAAGAGTTCCTGTGTCTCGCCTGCAACTGTTGCTGTCATTGTAAAAGTATAATGTTGCTAGTAACCAAGTCCATTTATGAGTAAAATATGGAAAAATAAATCAAATTTTTCTTCAGATGTTATTTCTTGATCACACAGAGGCTTCTGTCTAAGTTTTTGTAACAGTCCATGAAAGTTTAACAAAGTTATTGATGTCTTAAAAATTTAAGCCCAGACTGTTTGTGAATGTTAACTACAAAAAACTAAGTCCATCTATCAAATGCAATATTTGCTGATATTTTTAATGGTCTTCCTTTATAACTATACCTAAAAAGTATAGCATTTCCAAAGTCTTAAGAATATTGCATCTTGACCGATATTGTATTCTATACTATTTCCTTAAAGTTTGGTACACTACTCAGAGCAAAACGACATCAAGATGGCAGAAATTGACAATGCATCTGTACTGCAGGCATCAGAGCTGCAGGAATTGGAGGAAGTATCATCAATCTTGCTGAAATATCTGGTACTATATCCTAAAAGGGTAACTGCAGCAATATTAAGAAATTCTGTCCCTTGCAGTATATCCTATTCCACTTGACAGCTCATGCTATATGATATAATGCTCTGGACAATATTCCTAAATATAAGTGTAATAACCACATTTATTTATTTTTTTCAGCTAAGGTAAAAGAAACGGTTAAAAAAATATAAACTCATTATACTAAGTAATGGCAGGTCAATATTTCGACCAAATTGTTTTTATGAATGAACTTACTCTGACATTTTTCCCAGTAACTGAGGTAACAGGTCTGTTATACATTCTGGCATCTGTTGGGAAGGTCACAAAATGATCCATAAATGGTCCTTTTACTTCTGGGAAATTCTGCATAAAATATAAATACATGTATATTAAATATACCATACCACCATACCAATATATCTGCAATCTGCATATCATATACAGATTAGAAGGAAATCAAGATTTTTTTAAATGTGTTTTAGTTTTCTATATTTATGTTCTAATTCTAATTCCAAAGTTTTAAAATTGAATAATTCACTTCACATATACTTTCAATTTATTCCACGGTGTTTTCTAATAGTCCTCTCCCTAAGAAGAAACTATTATTTATTTTGTAACTACAACTGACCTCTGCAAGAATATTATTAATGGTTTGATCAAACCAATTCAGATCAGCTGTTCTGGCTATTCTGTCTCTCATAATTCTTGTCATCTCATGTTTCCATAACGATATCACAGGAATCAATGTCTCATCTGCTCGACTTTCTTCTGGTAGTCTCTTCAAACACTAAAAATTGATTGGATCTGATGATCATGTCATTTCTACATAAAATATTATCACTTAGTAACGAAATGTCACATTACAGTTCAGTAACAATTAACTGCAGTGTAATGATATAGTTTGGTCACTTTGGTACAGATTAGTTATTTGTGATGTCAATGTGAAGTTTTGAACATGTCAAAATACACATATCTAACATAAAATGGCCATTTTTCAGGTCTTTTGTAGAATTTAGTATGAGAAACAACCTCACAAAGACAACTTATATCTTAAAATATCTTTTGAATAAAACTGTTGCACATATCTAAATATCAAAGACAAAATCTCTAAATGAACCCTGTTCAGCAATTTTTATTTTTTTTCTTATGTAAAAGAAGTTTGAAAGTCTAAACCAAATATAGGTTAAAACAAAATTTTGAAATATGAACAATGAACATCTGAATGATGTTTCTTGATAGATTTGTAACACTATTTAAAATTCAAAAATTCAAGAGGCGAAAAGGCCTTTACATTTTATAAAGAATAGTATAAAACAGATCTAAAAAGAGCTGGTATGTATTGTGCCTTCACCAAAAAAACCTCCAAATTAATAATCACTTACCTGAAAGCAAGTTGTTATATCTTTAAGTGTATACAGGTAGTGTTTACGACCAGGCATTGCTGTTGACTTGAGAACATCTTGGACAGCCTTTAACATGTCACATGATGCCTTTACTAGATGGTTATGTAATTCTATATCTAATCCAGGTCTATCTCCATCTGTCATGTTCAGCTGAGATGAACAAAAAATCAAATTACATTGCAACACTTTGAAAAATTGAAATGTTTGCCTTAAATAGATACACAGGTTTAAATAAAGACTAGTTAAGGGCAATTACAGGGAAAAAATACATGGGGTTAGATTACACTCTTTTGATACCCCCACCAACCATAATTTTTATTTTCATTTGTAACAGAATTGCATTTGCCTCCATCCCTATTTCAAATAGAAAAAAAATATCATGTTGCGTCCAACCATCCTGTACATTTTTTGCTTGAATAGTGCTAACATATATCTTAGTTTAATTTGAAATGTTTTTACTTTTAAGTTAGCTAAAAAATAATGTTTTTAAATCTAATTACTGCATTAAAGATGATAATACCAAATGGTAGAAGTAATAAAAACAGTTAGAACATCCTGTTCAAGGTTATATATTTCTTAACACAAGATGCAATTAATTGAATTGAATTGTCATAAATTGTATGGAAGATGCAGGGAACCCTTTGAGTCACAACTCTTGTGGGTTGTCAATGAGATGACCTCGTTACTTACATCCAGTATTCCATGAACAATGTTCTTTAGAGCTTCACCTTCTGGGGCTGTCAGATGGAATACTGCAAAATGTCTCTGAAAACCAAACAAAAATAAAGCATTTGATTACACATTTAGGGTTAATTTGTTCTACATCATATATATTTTCTTATAACATACTGACATCTTACAGTAGAATCACATTACATGGTGCATCCAAATTCTGTGTATTATTTTTCAAAAATTATTTTTCTTATAATTGTACATGATAGTAGCTTACATTTATATGATACACAATGTCAGTAACTTACTTAATATGATACACAATGTCAGTAACTTATATTCATATGATACACAATGTCAGTAACTTACTTAATAAGATACACAATGTCAGTTACTTATATTCATATGATACACAATGTCAGTAACTTATATTTATGATTCACAATATGAGTGATACATAATGTCTGACTTACATACAAGTGAGAGTTTTAGCTAGCTATAAAACTTTAGGCTTAATCTACCATTTTCTACATAAGGAAATGCCTGTACCAAGTCAGGAATATGACAGTTGTTTTCCATTCGTTTGATGTGTTTGAGCTTTTGATTTTGCCATTTGATAAAGCCTTTCCATTTTGAATTTTCCTTGGAGTTCGGTATTTTTGTTATTTTACTTTTTAGTAACTTATATTACTGTAATATGATAAACAATGTCAGTAACTTATATTAATATGATAAACAATGTCAGTAGCTTATATTCATATTATACACAATGTCAGTCACTTATATTAGTTTGATAAACAATGTCAGTCACTTATATTAATATGATAAACAATGTCAGTAACTTATATTAATATGATCAACAATGTCAGTCACTAATATTCATATGACACACAATGTCAGTTTTTCAATACTTATACCAGTCTTTCTACCAATAACATATATATAAGTTATCATGAGTATTTTTAAATGGCATTGCACCCGTCACATTATATTCCTATGCTGATAAGGAGATAAGGAGTCTTTCAGTATACTTTTGTTATAACTTATTGTAGTGACACTTACCAGAAGTCTTTCGGATAACTGAGTACATGACACACCAGGGTTGTCACTCATTGACATTGCACCGATCACATTAAATCCCTCTACAGTCTTCCATTCAAATGGCTTCTCCAATGTACATAGAGTTTTGTCATCTAAAAGTTGTCTCAGTAACTGGAAAGAAAACATCATGTGTAATGATGCAAACTTTAATTCATAGGACACAATTTCTCAATGTTATAAAGTATGACATTTTTTTTAAAATGAATATTGAAATATAATTAGCTCAACCTCCAAATTAGGGGGCTTGGGATAAATATTTGTGTGAGATTAAATATAATGTAATTGAATTTGTGATGTAAAAATTTAAAAAAAATCAGAATACAAATTTTATGTATTGTATTTGACAAAGAAGATGTGAGGTAATTACCATTGAGGCAGCAACATAGGGTATTTTAAATAAATAAATAAGTTATGTCAGTTTTCTGTCCTATATTTACCTCATTACATTTCTGTACTTTGTAGTTGTCTGGTAAAGGCAGGTTAACATCATCAATGAACACCTTTAATTTCTTGTTCTCTTTGGCACCATATACAAATCCTATAATAACCATCAAATACAGTTTAATATCTATTTTTATGCGAAAGAGCAATACATACTCAAGATTGAAAAACAGAGTAAGAAGGCTCCTCTAAACAGTTAATAAGGTATGAATGTTTAAATGTTATACATAATTTCTGACCTGTAAGGTCTACAAAACAGGTAGAAATCTTTAATAATTAACTCACCTTGTCTGTGGTAAATATTCGACTCTATAAAGCTCTGTAACTGTTTGGCACTAGAGGCTCCAGAGAATACTAACTTCTTACATACAGAAATCTGTGGATCTATAAAATAAAGTTACAGAGATTCTGCTTAACAACCAAATCCTGAATCTAATGCCTGAATCTATTTTTTAAGTTATGTCATTTAAATTTATACATATGTCAACATAGCAGAAAATCAAATTATCATACAAGTTATGATATGCAGGTGGGCATTTATTAAAATATAAAATGAAACAAAATAAAAATAAAAACTCCATTTTCTAAATCATTTTTACATAAATCTATAAAAAAAATCTGTACACCTTTTCTGGATTTTAATGCACTTAAAATTTATAACCTTAACTAATATATTCTTTTAATTTTAAATATTTAAAAACACACACATTTTCTGAAGCATAAAAGTCATGCATATACAACAAAAACAAAGCACACTGCATATTTATTAATAAAAACTGCAAATCAATTTAGCTGATGCTACAAGATTAAACAGCTATAAAAGTCAGTTGACAAAATTTGTTGTAATGTCTAAGCTTATATAACTTTGCTGCATATATGATGTTTTCACTCTTAATAATCTAATAAAAAATTTAAATCTAGCAAAATAAAAATGAGTACAAATGTACATGTATGTATCTGGCAACAGCTATGTCATTTACCAGAAGAGGACTTGTAATGTTGAAGTCTTTCTATAACAACACAGGTTAGACAATAAAACAATTAGGTTACATCATTATACCACAATACATTAATTTACTACTTTCTCATTCCTACTTCCATAAAAGCAAGAAAGTCTAAGATCCAAAGCCATTCAGTTGTTCAATAACATAAACCCATGCAACTAAACTTAAATAAAAGATAAACAAGGAAAGTAAAAATTTTAAATCAGTTCATTTGTTCAATAGAAAACAGTTTCATTGAAGTTTTGGTCCGTAAAAATTGCTTGATGAACTTAAAATTGAAATTTCCATCTTTATGCATCTAAGTGTAATAATACCCTAGCACTTGATGTTTAAATCACGTACTTTGTTTGGAATTTTTTTTGTGCATTAAGTTTCAAGAAGGATAAATTTTATGAGTTTTATTGAAATTTAGACAGAAATAGAAGTTTTACTAAAACTAGATAAATCATTTACTATTAGAATAAATCAATGATCTGATTTATAAAAAACAAAGTTATAATAAAAGTCATAAACTAAAACCAATTATAAATAGTCAAATGTTGAAGTTCTGAGTTTAAATTCAGAACCAAGACATTGTGTAAACAATAAAAGTAGGAATGGAAAGAAAGCAAACAACAATTAACCACCATTTACCACTTACTGTTTTTGCTTAACAACATCAGTTGCTTTCCTTTTTCTAATTTAATGTATATAAAGTATATTATCTACTTTAAATTTCAAAAACTGCAACATTTTCAAGGAATTTTTCAAATAAAACTTTAAGCAGTCTTAATAAAATACCATAAGTGAAAAAATTCTGAATTTAATATTCTCTAAACACCTAATACCTCTAAACCTCACCAATCCCTACACAAAGAATTGCATTTAAGGCATTCATAGGCTACCTAGTATCTGAGAACAAAACTCTGATGTCAAATTTAACCAAAGTCATTGAAGCATGAAATCTAGGTTAGAGTGACTTAATTTTGGGAGATGCTAATTCCTTTAAATGCATTTCCATTCCAAGTTCTATTGTTTTACTGATGAAGTAAAAGTAGCCTTAGTCACTGAAGCATGAACTGTAAATATGAATAAAGGAGATGTGTTGGACAAACATCAATGAAATACAAAAGAAACATACTAAAGACAATAGTCTTCAACAACAGATAATTGTCTATAACATATCTCAAAATCGAAACTGTTTCAAGTTTTGATCAGTTTTGAGCGATTTTTTTTTCATTGCAGGTTATTCTATAATCTTAGATACATCTAGTAACACTAAGTTATATGACTGTGTCATTGCTTTTATACTGACTTTTTATCAACAAGAGTGCACACGCTGAAATGTCTCGCCTTCTTTACTAATCATTGATATTATGTTGATAGTTCTAAATTTAAAGCTTTACTACAACTATCACATAAACTTAACATGATCCAAGAAAATGAGGTCAAGGAAATATAAACCAAACAAGAAATACATGTACACCTTACAATCATTCAATACACTAAATATAGTTGACCTATTGCTTATATTTTCTAAGATACAGACTTAACCAAGAAAACTAAACATTGACTAATGAACCATGAAAATGAGGTCAAGGTCAGATGAACCATGCCAGGTAGACATGTACAGCTTGCAATCCTTCCATACAACAAATATAGTTGACCTATTGCTTATAGTAATACAAAAACAGACCAAAACACAAAAACTTAACACTGAGCAATGAACCGTGAAAATGAGGTCAAGGCAAAATAAAACCATCCAGACTGACATGTACATCATTAAATATTTCCATACACCAAATATAGTTGACCTATTAGAAAAATAGACCAAAACTCAAAAATTTAACATTGACCACTGAACCATGAAAATGAGGGTCAAGGTCAGAAGACACCTGCCAGCTAGACATGTACACCTTACAATCATTCCATACACCAAATATAGTAGACCTATTGCATACAGTATAAGAAAAACAGACCAAAACACAAAAACTTAACTATAACCACTGAACCATGAAAATGAGGTCAAGGTCAGATGACACCTGCCAGTTGGACATGTACACCTTACAGACCTTCCATACACCGAATATGCTAGACCTATTGCTTCTAGTATCTGAGATATGGACTTGACCACCAAAACTTAACCTTGTTCACTGATCCATGAAATGAGGTCAAGGTAAAGTGAAAACTGTCTGACGGGCATGAGGACCTTGTAAGGTACGCACATACCAAATATAGTTATCCTATTACTCATTATAAGAGAGAAACTAACATTACAAAAAATCTTAACTTTTTTTTTCAAGTAGTCACTGAACCATGAAAATGAGGTCATGGACAATGAACATGTGACAGAAGGAAACTTCGTAACATAAGGCATCTATATACAAAGTATGAAGCATCCAGGTCTTCCACCTTCTAAAATACAAAGCTTTTAAGAAGTTAGCTAACGCTGCCAACGCCGCCGGATCACTATCCCTATGTCGAGCTTTCTGCGACAAAAGTTGCAGGCTCGACAAAAATTGAAAACCAGGAAACCATGAAGTCGTGTGTGACCAAATCTTTGGTCTGATGACCAGTCCCTTCAAAACGCAACTGAACATTAATTTGTATGGCTGTAAATATACAATTTTGGAGTTCTAGCTGTAGATGTGCATGAATAATCAGATTTAGAAATGAATGCTTAGGATCCTCTATTAGTCTCCTTCAATTTAACTGAGGTAAAATAAAAGTAACACATTTTTGGCTCTACTCATAGTCAGTATTAAATGAGCAGTTAAGGGTCAACAAATCAACAGGATTTTTTATTACATTTATGATACTTGATTATCTGTGGTAATTGGATATTTGAATGATTTGGGTTAAGAGCAATTAACAGTAAAATAAGCAATGTGAACCCTGTATTGCTCCTTGAGTAGTAAGATTAAATTTGTGTATGTGAAATGACTGCAACAGGTATGTAAGGAGCCAGCATGGATTGTGAAGTTCAAATGAAGGGTAAGCAAATTCAGCTTTGTTAAATTAAGATTAAATTCATATGAGAAAGCTGCAACTGAGATATGATAAATGTAAGGAGATTTGGCATGATTTCATGTAAGACAACTATCCACTATGGACTATATTGCAAAAAAACTCATATGACTAGGTTGAGGCATTTTTTATGTAAATAGGTATTACAAAAAGCTACTATATGGTTTAGGCATGCTGTTATATGTGTAGTTAATTCTTGTGTCACATGCATAAATATTCTAAAACATGCAGTTAGATATTTTACATGAAAATTGGGCCAATTCTAAACAGGAAAACTTGAGATTTTTTCTGGTTATTTATTCTACTTTACATGTATTGTAACAAAAACTATGCATTAAATCTAAACCCTTTTCACATGGAGCCTATACCATCCACCCCAAAAATCTTTCAAGAATACTTAGGTCAAATGAAATGAATGCTAATTTTTCCTGTTATCTTAAACCTTTTCCCACTATTTGATAACCTTAAATGATTTCTTTAAAATTCCAAGCATTTTTGTTATAATCAACAAAAAATAAAAAATAAACTCTTTTATTACTTCCCATATATTGGTGACAAAAAAAATATGAAAAATTTGAACTAACTTATCATGCTTATTGTGACTTTAGTGAAAACCCTTTTTTGATTGCCTTCATCACAAACAGAAAACAGCAACTTTAAAATTCCCATGCTATACATCAGATATCTATATAAATAAGAAATTACAAACCTTGCAGGTCCATGAAGTCATTGATAAGAGTTGTCTTTCCTGATCCATGTGGCCCCACTAATAAAACATTCAGTCCTGAAGCTGAGGCAAAATCTATCAAGATTTTTGTTCTGATCTACATAAAATATAATTTGTTTTAGTATGTTTGACACATTTCTTTTGTCATAAGGTATCACATTGCTTTTATCATAGGAATCACAATTTTTTTTATCATAAAGTATCATATATTTCATTTGAGTCAAATTTCTATAAAGCAAGTAGCTGAAGCATTTAAAAATGTATTAGTTCTAAGACATAGAGCAATTATCAAACAACCATTATACCAAAATTGACATAGCTATTAATAAATTTTTCTGCAACCAGTTTAACAATGAACTGTGAGTTTAATATCTTTTACAATTAAACTGGTCTAAAGCTTGATAATTTTTTAAACTGTTATCTACATATCATTCACCAATAGATTCTCCAACCCTTATTTGGTAATCACATATTTTGAGACCTAGTGGTCCAATTCCCAAGGCCAATTTTCTAGACTACTTACTGTATTGATGGAGTCAACAAAGACTTCTCCAAGCATATCTTGTTGGTCAGAGTACACTGATTCACTGACTTTGGATGCCCATGGGTCCCAGTCTCCTGATTCATCTACATAGTAATCAAATACACAGATCTGTCTGTCATCATCTGGTAAGCTAAAGACAGAAACCAATAACAATAGTAGTACATTCATATAATAGGAATACAAAAGGATATTCCGTAGTCTGTTATGTGACGTAATGGTCTGTCGGTTTGAGAAAGACTCTTTGCATTTATGAACAAATAATTATAACCCTTGTTAATAAGCAATTTCTAATTCTGTTAAGGAAGATCATGAAACAAAGTAAGATTATTAAATGCTTTGCTGTGCTATTAATCTAAAATATTTTATTCTGAAAAGATAAGGAAAATACATAAAAATCATGTAAAAATACTTTTTCTTCAATAAAGATAACAGAAAAAATGATGATTACGTATTAGAAAGCATTTTGAGCTTTTCACTGAAAATTTTCCTATCATGACTGTCCAGGAGTCCACCGAAAGTCCAGATAAGACAGAACAGGAAGAGTCTTTCCACATGGTCTTCACTGGTCTCTCTATTGTCAGCTAACATGGCTGATAGTAGTCCCAGGCAGGATTTAAAGAGTCCAACAAGTGATAGCTTTACCAAAGGTCTGAAAAATTCAATTCAAACATACTTATTTTCATGATTTCTATATTTTGCTGTAAATTTTTGAACATCGAAGTCTTGATTTTTGTCAACTGTTATCAAAAATATGTTGTCTTTTCATTGATGTTCACAAGAATTTCAAATGTAATGTTTTATTTTTATTATTTTATTTTTTTCAATTTCTCTCTCTGTATCATAAACTGTGTAATATAAATGAATTTGTCAAACCAGCAACATCTATATATAACATCAAATACTATTCATAGCAAAAGTGAAATCTAAAATGTTTTTATTCTCATACACTCAAATATTTTGAACGAATAGTCAAAGGTAATACTCACTTAGCTTCATTTAACACAAACTGAGATATTGGATCCAGTGTTTTCTGGAAAGCTCTTTGTAGTACCTGAAATGGTGAAATATTTATTGAGAAAATATTTAAATCACACAGTGCAATACTTGTATAAAGTTATCAAATTAAATAAAACCACTGCAATCATGTTTCATACTGGGTTATTATCCATATAATCTATTTCATTTCATTTAAAGGGAATGCATTAAGAACGGTCATGTTAAAAGAGGGAATTGTATAATTCAAATGCATGTAAAATATTCATTCCATCTAGAGTGGTGCCCTATTATGTTAATCAAACCATGCACATATATAGACATATACATTCAGTCATGCTGTGCACTGTACAGACATATACATTCTTATAGATAAGCTTGTTAAAAGATATTTCATGCAGTTTTCAAGTTTTGATGATGCCATTCAGACAAAAACATTTTCTAAACAGCACAATTTTCTGGTAGTATTCACACTTATCAAAATATACGAGGTTTATAATTTGGTATGCCAGCTGCTTGTTTTGTCTACATAGGACTCATCAGTGGTGCTTGAATCAAAACAGTTGCAAGCTTAAAACTATTCAAACTCAAATTTTTAGTGAAAAAAACAAACATTTTAACTCTGATAATCAAATTACCAAAATGAACCTAAACCTTGTGAGAAGCACACAAAATGTTGAAAGAAAAAGGATAAATTTCTTAAATCAACTCAAGTTTTGCCTATGAAACCATGCAGTGCAAGGTACAACACATAAATACACACCCCAAAACACACCCTATGACATGTTCCTATTCATTTGTAATAACAAACAAAACAAAAAATCCCACATAAATGAAGAATGCCTCAGACCAATTACAACACACATCCATATACCACAAAACTGATTTTACCCCTTCAACAGTTCTGGGCAAAGATTGGTCCGTTTCTCCTTGTTCAACATTTACAGGTCGCTGGTAACAGTGAAAATAAATTGATATATATAATTTAAAATTCTAGATTAAATGAGATCAATTTCACTTGCAAAATATGACAATGATACTCAAAGCTGTTAGCAAAAACAAGGTTAGCAATTCACTTTTCTAAAATTAAAAATGACTTCTCAAAACCTAGACAGTATAATCTAAGTTGTAAAATACCATGATATCAATTGGAATTTCCATAACACTGGCTTTTGCTGGACTTACATTAAATTGCTATGTGATAAATATTTTAGAATGTGTGTATGTATTGATATGAATGGATAAATTGTTGAAGGCATGGTTTCCTACAATTGCTTAAATTCACTTCATTTGAACTTTGGTGGATAGTTATCTCATTGGCAATCATGCCACATCTCCATTTTATAGGTTGCACTTTGTAAATACAGCTGTTTCACAAACCACGCCTCTTTTGGGGAGATATATAATATTCATAGATATTTTGTTTTGTTTACGTACTGGTTCCCAGATATGATCTCTATGCTTCAACTCATAGAGACATAACTTGGGAATGCTACCAGTATAAATACACATGAATAGCAGCCAAATTGAATTCTGAGGAAGACCCGAAGTGAAGGGAGGGGTAGTACAGAATTTTAGTATAAGTTTAAACTCTTAGAAGTTCGAAGCATATAAATGTTGAAAATATGCCGCACAGCCCTATGTTTTGACCTTTGAAAAAAAAAGTAGTGCATATGAACTTTTCATTCTAAGATATAATTTTTTACGAAACTTCATAGTAAAAGTGGCACAGTCTTAGTCGTAAAAGAAGTTCCTATGGGAAATTGCATTGTCTATATTTACAGAAGTGCAACCTATAAGGGTAGAACTTCGTGCCCATCCATATTTGTGTACAGAGCCTTAAAAAAAAAGGATTCTTAATTAGCCTGAAGTTAGTTTCTACACATAATTACATTAAACACTTGGTTCACTTGAATATTTGTCAAACTTTAATATGCAGTTAACCAAGTACCATTTGATTAATAAGTTTCAAACTCTTTTGACCAATGAACTGTAGTATATGAATAAATGACTGATGAAACGAAGCTATAGCTGATCTTTTGAAATGCTTGCTTCTTAAAATCATGATGATGTAGTTGGCAAAAATTTTAAAGCACTGTTAAGTTTTATTCAATAACAAATTTTGTTGTATTCTGGTGATAACAATTGCTCATCTAATGTTTGAATAATGATTAACTATATTATTTGTTTTTACTACTTAAAACTTGAAAATATGGAGTTGTGTAAATTTGCATAAATCAAGCATGGTGAAACAAATATCTAAATCATTACATCAAGAGATTGAAAAAAAAACAACCTCTCATCCCTAATTATATTTTCAATCAATTAAACCATTACAAACAGAATGGCTGTTATGTTAGATTCTAAAAACTACATAAACATGTCATGCAGCAATTTTGGCAATACATCTTCAAAATCCTAAATGAGCGCTCAAAATGTTCATTATTTAGCATATATAGTCTACATGTAATTGAGCGCAATATTTACACACCAAACTTACTTCTTTTGCAACACTCTGCAAAATAGGTTTTATTTTATGTGTTTTTTTTCCATAAAAACAAGAGAACACTGCTACATATTTTTACTTCATAATCATCAATTTTACTCATCATTTTTAATTTTTACAATTTTTATTTTCCATTCTATTTATCATTCTGTTTATTACTTTAGATTCATTTATATTCTTGGATACCAATTTTTGTGGATTGAGGAAAAATTGTATCTTTGTGGATATTTGATTTTGTGGTTCATTAAAATGTGCTATATAGTATATAAAAGACCATACACCCGTGACTCTTTTCAACTGTTTTTTTTTGCAAAACCAGAATACTATTTTTACATATATGCAAAACCAGTGTCACTTTTTTTAACCCATAAACTAATTTTTACCACAGAAACACAACACAAATAATACTAACAATAAGAGAACACATCTAATAAACTTTGTGTTTTTTTGGCTATAAAGATTAAATACTGTAAATTCATGATTATTTGTGGGGTACCAATTATCGTGGATTTCGTAAACCACAAAATAAATGTTCAACGAAGTATAAATTTTCTATAAGCTATCATGCAGACTCTGGCAAATCCACAAAATCAGATATTCACAAAACATACAATTTTTCCTCCATCCATAAAAAATTGATACCCACAAAAATAAATGAATTCGTATGTTCGGATGGTTATTTTCCCAGCAAAATGAAATCATTACACATGTTGCTCTTGAAATCATTTTTTAATGGAACAGCTGGACTCAAATTCTATCAATCTCACAGGAGTCATTTTGAAATCAACAGATGTAGAGGCTTGAAACAGCTAGTTAAAATACCTGAATAAATTCAATTAGTAGCTACAACATAAGTATATTTTTTCCTCTTATTGACTTAATATATTTTGGAATAATTTGAAGAGCAATTTTAAAAAACATAATGGATTGCATTTAAAGTCACATTGATTCTTTACTTTGAAAAAATAATGTAGCTTTCACTGAAAAAAAGTAAATCCTTGAATCTAGAGCAACCACCAAAAGTTAGCATTACTAAATTATCTTATATCGTGTCAGACATTAATATAGACAAAATCACAAACAGCAATGATGATAGCGATGAATCGAATAAAGGAAGCCTTAAACATTTCAAAATCTGTGTCCAGTCAAATATTTCAATGACTATCTATTAGACATCTAGAAAGATTGTGAAAAGTGTGATGGAATGTTTACTCAATGTGTAATGTGGTGATTTTCCCCCGACCAACACTATAAAAATACAATCAAAATATTAACAAACTAAAACATACCTGTATCTGTTTATAAAACATTAAAAAAAAAATGTTGTTATCTCCAAACTTGAAATTAAAAGGTAGGGGAATTCTGATAGCTCTCTTTTTTTTCTTTTTTTTTCTCTCTCATTTCCTTGTTAGTTTTTGTCATGTTTCCAACTGATTTTGTATAGATCAATATGTCAAACAAGGTCTATATCTAAATTCTAAAAACAATTCAATTTAAGAAAGAACAGAAGAAAAATACACTAAAATTACATGTATTAAAACTTTCACCAAACTTAAATGTATCTACTTTAATACCCTCTTTTTCTCCCCTATATCAAGAAATGTTGCTATCTGTTTATCACATCAAACCAGAATAGAGTATTTACATATTTATCTATCTACAAAGTTTATAAATATATATATACAGTTAATAACCTTAGAGATCAAACTTTTAATATAAACTTACATGTATTTCTTGTGGAGATCTACTCTCTAACCAAGCATCAGCTATAGGCTTCCAACCGACAACATTATTGCCTAGATATACAATTCCCTGAAATACAAAAAATAACATTGTTAAATTTCAATAGTCCTATCAACACCCATTTCAAGTCAAGACACAGTTTTGGTATTATTCAAAAGACTGTTGCCAAGTCAATAATGAGTAGCCATTGTAATTGAACAATTGGACCCAGTATTTGGAGCAGAAATTGCATCTATTCCTGAAAGTTTTGGGTAAATCATTAGGTTGATTGTAATTTTAAGGAGGTTTGTTTGTGAGTTGCAAAATAACACAATTCCAAGATAGTCCTTATACACTGAAATAAAAAATCAAACAAAATGCAAACATATACATTGCATACATTAGTATAAAAGTCAAGTATGATGATAATGTTCAATACAACTTGATAAAATGTTATGAAAAATTAAACATCATGACATAATCAGTTTTTTCAACAGGTTGATTTTAATAAATGATCTGTTATTTTGTATTTGAAAGAATTAACATTTTAAATATTTCTTAACAGTATTGGCAAATTATTCCACAAGAATGGTCCAGAATACATAAAAGATTTCTTGAACAATTCTATTTTTGGTTTAGGAAGAAAAAAATATGTTTGCATGTAGGTTCTTTTTATGGAAGAACTATATGGAATAATGGTTTGAGACTGTTAGTAATATACATAATGTTCTTATTTTGCAACTATGGTATCATGTTTGAGATGACATCAATAATCTTGAGTTACTTTGATTCATTTTGTCAAGAGGATAAATTAGTAAAAAACTTACAGATTTGGAAATAGTAGATGGTGAGGCAGATGACAGGTTGTCTGTCTCAAATACAACAATGATGTTCTCTGACAAAAATAACTTGTCTCCATTCTTCAGATGAATTACCTACAAAAACAAGTAAAAAACTAATACATCGAAGCATTTTTATTAAAAAAAAGAACACAATTTATAACAGTATTAAATATGTCCAATTTTCTTATTCAATTTAGAGCGAATCCAACAAAACCACAATCTACTCTAAAATGAATCAGAATTCATTCTGTGTCAATTATATTTTATAAATGATGTGTATAACATACCTTTTCTTCACTCAGTACAGAGTTAAAGTTGTCTGACCATCCAGGATTTAATGGTCCATCTAAACACAACCAGGTGGTACTTTGATTCTGAAAAAATAAAATGGGTTTTATCAATTTCAATAATCTAAAACAAATTATAATTTAATTACTTAAAACTGTTAAAAAAAATTCAAAAAATCAGAGAAAATACTTCAAATAAATATTTATTTTCATTCACAAAGTTACAAATGGAGACAATTTAATTTACTTCTCAATGGCCCTATTTATCAAATGCCTAGGGTAATTTGGAAAAGCTTACAATAATGATAACAAAATACCATCAAAAATTTGACTGTATTCTAAAAAATATATATTTATCATTTCATCATCATTTCTATTTTCTAAAGGAAAAATATGTAGTCTTTAATAAAAAAATACAATGGCTGTGTTCAAGTAAGTATCAGACAGTATAATACATAAATAAATATAATGATAAATTTTATATTCGAACAATATTGTTACACAGACTGATATCATCATAAGAAAAATAATCATTGTGTTAGCCAAATAGAAAGTGATTAAACATACCCTATTAGCTTTTCTACATGATGATGTGACTATTCCATCCACCCAATCATGGTTGTCCTTTAGGTAACCAAACATAATGGAGTATTCATCTACAACCATGGGGTTAATTCTGATGATTTTGTGTTGTGATTCTGCTGGGTTTGAGGTACGACTGATATGAGACTGGCGTGACTGTCCACCTCTGACCTGTGTACTGAGGGCATCGACTAGGGTCTGTATACAGCTGGTCTTACCACTGCCTGGTGGTCCAGCAACAATCACTCCTACAAAACATACGTATTGTCTATAAGTATATTTATTTATCAAAGTTGATGTGTAGTACATAAGTTATTCCTTAAAAGCCACATATTTTGTATGTGAAGAACTTTTACAGAATTTTATATTAAAAAAACAGCACCTGGTTCTATACAGATATAAAACCTTCATCAAAAACATTTTCTACAATAAGCTTTCAGACCAATGGAAAATAACAAATACAATGTACTGAAAATAAGAGCCAATTAGGCTTAAAATTCAGCCAAAACAAGATTAATTAAAATATGCTTAGAGAAAAGATCCATCTAATCACTTTCTTCAATTTTTAATTGCAGTGTGTGTATACAAGTCTATATGTGTGTATTAATTACCAGTAAATGAAAGACTCTGTACTGTTATGCTTATAAGCAGAACACTATTGCTGTACCTACCATGATAAACTTGAGATATTTCATACAGTTGTTTACATCTACTGATCCACGGATCATGGGCAGATAACCCTTTATCTACAGCCTTGTGTTTCAGGGCTAGTTCTATATCTATTCCACGAGATCGGGCAGAATGAGTGTTCTTCAACTGTGGGGCATCTGGTAGTCCAGTGAAAACATCATCTAGTATATTCTTAAATACTTTGTTGTTCTGTAAGAAGAGGTAAAATTTGATTTAAAAAGGTCTGAGTCAATTTCAAATTTCAATCTATTGTCATAAGAACATAAACATTGATTGATTTAGTTATTTATAGAATTCAAAACAAAAGATGATATACAAGTTAAATCTTAAAACATATAATACATGTCAGAATTCTGTAAGTCTGAATATTCAAACTTGGGTGAAAAAAAAAATATATAAAACTTAACGTGCTGTAAAACAGTTTTAAAATGTATAGTAAATATATACACAATATATATACATTTACCAAAACACCAAATTATTGATCTCAAAATCATGAATTATTGATATTTTAGGAAACCAATCTATGTAATAGTTTACCTCATCTGTCATCCTAGGACAGATAACTTCCCTAATGGTCTGACATACTAAAGAATGTTCCATCTTAGCAGCCAGGGTCATAGGGTTAGGTGTTCCCATCTTCCTCTGTGTTGCTGTCATTGCACCTCCGAACTTCATTGAACTTGGTGCCACTAAAATGGATCAAATATAGAAATTTTATAACATGTAAATTTATCAACAATGGACAATGAATAATTCACAGACTTTACTGCAGATTTATTTGTATTTGTAGAATACTTATTTTGTGGATTTAAGCAAAAAAAACCATATTTATTTGCAGTTATATTGTAACAATAATAAATCACAATATTATAGAACTAGGTTTACTCAAAATAACAAACTTTTCTCAATGCTTTTGAAATGGGTTTTACTTATTGTTGAAGGCCATACAGTGACTTGCAATTGTTCATATCTTTGTTCTTTGGTCTATGAATAGTCATCTCACTGGCATTCATACCGTATCTCCATATTTTAATATTACAGTAAATTCAGAAATTATTGCGAGGTTTTTATTATTGCAAATAATGCGACAAGGTGAGTATTTCAATAATTATAACTTGCATTCAGATATCTGATACCAACATTAGTATGCAGATTTTCCTGAAATAGCAATAAATAGTCTCGGATTTTTGTCCATTCTTCAAAAATCGCAATAATAAATGCACGCAATAATTTCTGAATTTACAGTATATGAAAATATTTTATCAGCTTTGTTCAAAATTCTATTTTATTTTAATAAATGTATAAAAGTTTTACTGTAAAATGTATAAAAATTTGTTTAAGGAATAAAAGAAGATGTGAGGTTTACATACATGAGACAACAACCTAAAAATACAAATGACCAAAAGATATTTATTTATTAAAGTATAACAAAGCACTTACTTGTAACACTCATTTGTTGGCTCATTGGGTTTCCAGCTTTAATCTGTGCCACATTATCAGAAGCTTGAGACTCTGATCGTGAAGTTTCTTCTCGTCTGGCATCTATCTTGTCTTGATACTTATCATCCTTGACTAGTCTCTTCTTAATAGCAGCTTTCTTCAGTACACCAGCCCATGTAGCTATACCAAACAGGTGGTGAACTTCTGGTGGCCTATATACAAACAAATTCCATATCATTAGAGATTATTGAGGGACAAAGAAATTTAAGATTTCTTCGATGGTTTTAAATGAATTTATTACATTGGTTGCAATGAATTACCATGATTTCTCAGTGAAATAAAAACCAATAATTTCACATGGGAAATAAATCTGATAATACACTCCTCTGATGTCATACAACAATGGGTGTTGTTGATGACTATATATCAAAACAATTGAGAATGGATAGAAACAGATCTAGTTCTTTTAATTTCTACTTTCCATGGTCAATGAGATAAAAAGAATAACTGATTCAAGAATTAAAATATCGCAAAATTTTTAATTTGTGACCTTACAGCACTGATAATTAATTCATGCTCTACCCACATTCGTGAATTAATGTGTTGTTCAGACACTCATTGAATATTTTTCAACATTTGAATTCTTGGATTAGTTATTCTATAAGTAATAACTGTTATTAAGATATATGAATATATTTCATCCCAGGAATAAACAAGCAATGTACAGAACAAACATATCTATACTGACTTTGATTAGTGGTTATTGTATTAATCATGGTTCAACTGTTTGGCTACAATAGGAAAAATACATGTTTTCAAGGTTTATTTTTGGCTTGTAACTGTTCACATCCCGCACCTGGGGCCAGCTGAACCGGCCTCCCAGTGCGGGATTTTCTCGCTGTGTTGAAGACCCATTGGTGGCCTTGGGCTGTTTTCTGCTCTTTGGTCGGGTTGTTGTCTCTTTGACATATTCCCCATTTCCATTCTCAATTTTACATACAATTAGATACACCAAGGGCTTTTCATACATTTCATTGCAAAGTGTTAATTAAATATCATCATTTATTCTAAGATGACCTTTTATTAGATTTGTGGGGTTACAACTGAATCATTTTGTTTGCAACAACTCAAAAACTTAAATAACTCTTGATAAAATAAAATTAAATTAAAATTGACCATTGATGAGAAAATTTGTTCACACATGAAAAAGTTAAGAATTTTTATTTTTGTATATCTTTTCATAATAAAAAGTCAGTCAAATTCATTTTTTTGTTTTAAAGTTTATACTGATGGTAATTGTACTTACAGTTGATTAATAGTTAGATCTGAAAGGGTCTTTAGCCTGACTCCAAGTATGTTTGGTACTTTGAATCCATGGGAAGCACATTTTGCCTTCAACACTAAACAGTAATCTGGTTTGACTAGGGATACAGTTCTAAATATGGCTGAGACATAGTTTGGCATTCTACATGATGGATGTCTAACACTTGCATTAGACGTCATGTGTAGAGCTAAACCTTTCTTCAGGTTTATCTGGAGAAAAAAAGTAAAATAAGTTATTATTTTTCTTAAAATTTACTTTTTAAGGTACCACATTTTCAAATAAAGAGCTGTGCCATGAGCGCATGATATGCCTGTAACCGTTTTAGCTCATCTTTATGCTTTAAATGAATATTTATGATCAACAAGAAAGCTCAAATAGAACCCCCCCCCCCAAAAAAAAAGAAAAAAAAAGCACACACAGTGGTACCCATTGACACAAAACATGAATAAATTGCGACTATCAAGGCTACCTCAAGTTTAACTAAGTTTGCGTCCAAAGTGAGAACAGATTTCAATGATTTTTCAATGAATAAAGTTCCATAACTCTGCAATGTCATATCAGAAATTTATAAAAAAAAAACAAAAGGGAGCTTATTTCAATAGATATAAACACTTCACCAAAGTTTCATGAAAATTGGTGAAAGCATTTTCGAGTTATTGTCCAAAGTGTTGATGACAGACCGACAGAGGTATACCATAATAAGTCCCGTAAACAGGCATATAAAAAGCCTTTTAAATTTCATTCTTTCAAGAAATTTGATAAAAATTATATCAGAGTAAAACTCCATGACATCATAATTTCATTATACAAAATACATTTAATACAGGTAATTTTTTCCCTATTTCCTTGATAAATAATAGTTGAGTTGATTAGAGGCTTTTTGTGGTGTTTTTGCTTCTTTGATTGCTTTTGTTTTGTCTGTGAACATATAGTTTAAGTTTTGATTTCACAAGCTTACCTCTTGTCCATTGCTCAATGAGGCATAGCTGTGTCTTGATTTGAGGGCTGACAATACAGATGTAACAAAATCCAATACAATAGACATGGACAAGTTATTAAGGTTCTGTGATTCATCAAAACAGGCCCAGCATCCATCCTGCAAGAAATAAACATTATTTTTGTCAAGCCGTTCAAATCAAACTACCTGAACAAAACTTTACCTCCTTATGATACAAACATAATAAAATATAGTATAAATCATCTCAATTTCACTATCTTTTAGACAACAAGAGCTTTAATCTAAAAGTGCCAACATATGTGCGAAAAAGTTACTATAGAAAATATCTTTGATGTGATGCCAATATACTTTTATAACTTAGATGGCTGGCAATTTGTATCCCCAAAGGAGCAATCATAACAAAACTTTGCAACATTTAGTCTATATAAACATGCATTCATGTCTATATGGTTCCTGGCAGCAATTGGTCTGATTTTAGTCATACTGTTCAAATTTGTTTAGACTTGCTTAATTTTAGATCAAAATTGACATTTTGGTCAGGTTGGTAAAAGAGACAGTTTTACAATAGCAGGTTAGAGAGGTTCAAGAATATGTGTATACTTACCATAGCAGTTCCTTGTACAATCTTTCCCATACCACTTGTATCACTCTCTGGGGAACACTGTACTAACATCAAGAATTTACCAAAAAGGTTGGCAAGTCCCTGAAAATAAATATGAAACTAACTTTAACTCTAAGAAGTATTATTCTCATTGTCAACTCAAACCTGACCTCAACATGATAAAAAAAAAGGAATCTTTGACAAAAGTTTTCTGTACTATAGAATGTGAGAATATTATTTCAACTTTCCTGTACAATCCTACAAAAAAATGTTTAAGATTTTGTATAGTGCCAAGACTATTCAATCCTGTTTTGTTTAAATTAAACTTGAGGATGGGCTATTTTGACTTGCATTTGAAAGCATATTAACAATGCATATGTAAATTGTTATCATACAAACCAATAAAGTTTTCTTTGTAGGACAAACAATACAAATTTCCTATTTGTTTGACTTGCTTAAAAGTGAGGCTATGTGAAAAATATTATGACATAATTAACATACAAAAGATATGTTTCCTTTTGATGCAAAATGGGATTGGGTATGAAGTTTTACTTTTTCCTTCATCAAAAAAAAATGACAATATAATGCATAATAGAGATACCTCTATAGATATGCAAATACTTAATTTTTCCTTTAACATGTTTGATTTAGTTCAAATATAAGCTTCTGTATATCATATACTGACCTTTACAGTTTCTGTCTTGCCAACACCACCAGGGCCAACAATATGACTGCCCTGTACATTGTTAATGGCCTGTGACATTGTGAGGAAGCATCTCTCTGTGACTGGTGTGAGGGCCACTCCTGGTTCTGCACCATAGAATTCGTTAGAGTAATGATAGGATGAGTCCAGAATCCAGATCAGTGGTTCATATTCCTCTTCTGTAATATATTAATATTATTATTTTTTTTAATTTCTGTCAATTTTTTACTACAAAAATTTGGACTCTCCCTTTTTGTACTTTAAAAAGTTGCATATAACAGATAAAAATGGCTTTTCAAACTGAACACAACAATAAAATGGATGGAAATGAAGTAAAATATCATGATAATTCACGATATACAAATTTGTTCTGTGAACAAATAAAATTAAAAACAAAATGTACAGTAATTCAAGAATTTCTTTAAGTTGAAAATGTGTTAATCATTTATTACTCAATATATCTTATTTTTATTCTTTGTTTTTAATTTTTTTTTAAATTAATAAGATAATAATAAAATAGAAAATAACACAAAAGAATAATATGGTTAAAAATGGATTTATATACAAATTAATTGACAAGTAAATTAGGTGCCATCTACTCATCTGGAAGAAAAACATGATGTATTGATATTAATGTAGAAATCAGAATAAAAAGGTATTCACAAAATATTCAAAGCCCCCATTTCCCTGTTTACAGTTTCTGTCAGCATAATTATAATAGTTTTCAAGATAATGGGAAACTAGAGGCTCTCAAGAGCCTGTGTTGCTCACCTGTATCTGTGGTTTTGGAAATCATGTAAAATAAGGTTAAAATCATAATGAATAGTATTAGATACACCAATAATGATTGAGACCAAGTTTGGTTTAATTTGGCCCAGTAGTTAAATTAAAAGCAGGTCATCCCATTGTAATCTTACAATAGTTACTGAAGACCCCTTATCATTATTTAAATTAGTTTTCAAATTGTGACCATTTGAAATTGTTTTCTTACAATTTTCCCATAGACTTCTAGTAAACACCTATGTTCTATTTTTAGCCATGGTGGCCATGTTGGTTGGATGGCAGGGTCATCAAATACATTTCTTAATCAAGATACCCTATTGAAAATTGTGGCTAAGTTTAATTTTATTTGGCCCAGTAGATTAAGTGGAGAAGATTTTTGTAAAAGATCACAAAAAATTCACGAAAAATTGTGAAAAATTGACTTTAAAGGGCAATAACTCCTGAAGGGGTCACTTGACAATTTTGATCAAGTTGATTTATTTATAGAGCTTACTTTTCTGAACATTTTTTTCTGTTTACAGTTTATATCTATCTATTATAATATTCAAGATAATAACCAAATACTGCAAAATTTCCTTAACATTACCAATTCAGGGGCAACAACCCAACAACTGGTTGTCTGATGCATCTGAAAATTACAGGGCAGATAGATCTTGACCTGATGAACATTTTTACCCCATGTCTGATTGCCTCTTAAAACTTTAGTTTCAGAGGTATAAGCCAAACTATTTTACCCCCATGTTCTATTTTTAGCCATGGCGGCCATCTTGGTGGATGGGCGGGGTCATCGGATATATTTTTTTTTAAAACTAGATACTCTGAGGATGATTTAGGCTAAGTTTGGTTTAATTTGGCCCAGTAGTTTCAGAGGAGAAGATTTTTGTAAAAGATAACAAAAATTTACAAAAAATTGTGAAAAATTGACTTTAAAGGGCAATAACTCCTTAAAGGGTCAATTGACAATTTTGATCATGTTGACTTATTTGTAGAGCTTACTTTGCTGAACATTTTTGCTGTTTACAGTTTATCTCTATCTATTATAATATTCAAGATAATAACCAATAAAATGCTTCGCTGAGCGCAGCCTGGTACAACCGCAGAGGTCGAACCTTGAACAGTTGGGGCAAATTTGAACACAATATTCAAGCTTGATACTGTCTGAATTTGGATTGTGATCACATTTTTGACATAATATAGGTTTCTGACACAAAATAAATGTGGTCAAAGATCTTACAAATCTATTGCGCAATACTGTGCAATTGAAGGTTTCTTCTTTCTTCTTGAAACTTTTCAAAAATTTGAAATTTGAAAAATTTTGAAAAAAAATATGAATCCCTTAAAAAATTTGGAAAAAATGTCCCCCCCCCAAAATTTTTGAATTCCTCCTTAGAGCAATTACACCCAAACTCGATCCCAGTCTTTCCTTTGTAGTATGGAACGTTGTAGTACAATTTCAGAGAGATCCATTCACTTAAACACAAGTTGTTGTCTGGAAACTAGAAAAATGATTGTTTTTGGCCCTTTTATGGCCCCTTATTCCTCCATGTTTGGGGCAATTACCCCCACACTCAATCCCAGACTTCCCTTTGTAATATGGAACCTTGTGGTACAATGTCAGAGTGATCCATACACTCACACACAAGTTATTGTCCGGAAACTACAATAAAATGCTCTGCTGGGCGCAGCTTGATACGACCGCAGAGGTCGAACCCTGAACAGGTGGGGGAAGTATGGACACAACATTCAACCTTGATACAGCACTGAATTTGGATTGTGATTATATATTTGACACAGCATAGGTTTCTGACACAGAATGAATGTGGTCTAAGAACTTAAAAATTTTAATTCACCTATACAAACCATATCATTATTATTTGCTTTTATATATAAATCAGAAATAACCAATTTAAAATGGAAAATTTTAAAGAAAAAAAATCCCTCCCCAAAATTTTTTGAACCCCCTTATGATTCATCACCCCCAAACTCAATCCCAGCCTTCCCTTTGTGGTATGGTACCTTGCAGTACAATTTCAGAGAGATCCATACACTTGAACACAAGTTATTGTCCTGAAACTAAAAAAATGCTTGTTTTTTGCCCCTTTTTGGCCCCTAATTCCTATAATTTTGAGGCAATTACCCCCAAACTCAATTCCAGCTTTCCCTTTGTGGTATGGTACCTTGCAGTACAATTTCAGAGAGATCCATACACTTGAAAACAAGTTAGTGTCTGGAAACTAGAAAAATGCTAATTTTTGGCCCCAAATTCCTAAACATTTAGGGCAATTACCCCCAAACTCAAACCCAGCTTTCCCTTTGTGATATGGAACCTTGTAGTACAATTTCAAAAAGATCCATACACTTACACACAATTTATTGTCCTGAAACTAGAAAAATGCTTGTTTTTTGCCCCTTTTTGGCCCCTAATTCCTACAATTTTGAGGCAATTACCCCCAAACTCAATTCCAGCTTTCCCTTTGTGGTATGGTACCTTGCAGTACAATTTCAGAGAGATCCATACACTTGAACACAAGTAATTGTCTGGAAACTAGAAAAATGCTTATTTTTGGCCTCTTTTTGGCCCCTTATTCCTAAACGTTTTGGGCAATTACCCCCAAACTCAATTCAATTCCAGCTTTCCCTTTGTGATATGGAACCTTGTAGTACAATTTCAGAAAGATCCATACACTTACACACAAGTTATTGTCCTGAAACTAGAAAAATGCTTGTTTTTTTTTCCCTTTTTTGGTCCCTATTCCTAAAATTTTGAGGCAATTACCCCCAAAATCAATCCCAGGATTCCCTTTGTGATATGGAACCTTGTGGTACAATGTCAGAGAGATCCATACACTAACACACAAGTTATGTCTGGAAGTTACAAAAATGCTTATTTTTGGCCCCTTTTTGGCCCCTAATTCCTTAACTGTTGGTACCATTACCCCCAAAATCAATCCCAACCTTCCTTTTGTGGTATTGAACCTTATGGTAAAATTTCATAGAGATCCATTCACTTAAACTAAAGTAAGAGTGCGAAAACCAATGTGTCTTCGGACGACGATGACGACGCCGGACGACGATGCCAACGTCATACCAATATACGAATAAAAACTGCAAAATTTCCTTAAAATAACCAATTCAGGGGCAGCAACCCAAGATCGGGTTTTCTGATGCCTCTGAAAATTTCAGGGCAGATAGATCTTGACCTGATGAACATTTTAACTCCATGTCAGATTTGCTCTAAATGCTTTAGTTTCTGAGATATAAGCCAAAAACTGCATTTTACCCCCATGTTCTATTTTTAGCCATGGCAGCCATCTTGGTTGATGGGTGGGGTCATCAGATACATTTTTCAAACTAGATACCCTAAGGATGAGTTAATGGACGACGATGGACGCCAAGTGATGAGAAAAGCTCACTTGGCCCTTTTGGGCCAGGTGAGCTAAAAACACTATAATTGTAAGATTCTTCTTTTTTAAAATGGAAATAACTTCGGTAAGGATTGATTGAAATTTTCATCATATGGGTATATTTGTAGATCTTGTATTGCTGGTAATTTTTCTTTTGTTACAGTTTCTGTTGACTAATAGTTTTCAAGATAGATGACAAAATTCCTAAAATGTGTAAAAAATCGTCATTTAGGGCTAGATCTTTGAAAATTTTGGTACAACTAGAAAATAGGTTTATCTTGACATTTAGAAGATTTCTGTACCGTATCTATTATTATTTCATCATAAAAATGTATTCAACAATTACCTTTATTTTACACTTATATTATATTTTTAATCTTGATACTCTACGGATCATTTATGTGAAGTTTTTGAAATTAGTAAAGCAGTTTTAATTTGCAGGAGAAGATCTTTGAAAAATTTAACAGACTACAGACACCAAATGTAAGCAAAAGCTACAACTGGCTTTCAGTCAAACATCTGTAAGTTCAAATTGTGTAGAATAAAAGTGTATGTGATGCAATAAAATAACTATACTATTGTGTGTTGTGTATTGAAGCTAGAAAATGAAGTAATAAGAATGAGGAGTAAAAAATAATCAGCATATAAAATTCTGACCATGAAACACTTGATCAAAATATCCTGCCTATAAAATTTGGATCAGCAAGGAGAAAATTATAATTTGTTTCATTTAAATAGAAAAAAAAATCAATCATATATGGAGATTTAAAAAACCAATTTTCTATAGGTACTGAAATTCAGAATTCTAAAATATAAAATATAAGATTGCAGAAAGCAAAACATATAGTTGCAGCCGTGCAGTGTCTGCAGAAACATTACATAACTAAAAAACCATGATACTGCAATGATTCTATAAATATTACACTTATTAAATCTATTGAGTAACAAACTACCAAGCAGAATAAACAAAAATAGTACAATTCCAACCACCTAGTGTGGAATTCTTACTTATATGCAAATCTGTCAAACTTGTTTGACTAGCGGTATCCTCTCCCATAGTAGATTTAAGATCATCAGCCTCAGTAGCTAGAAGTCAATGTTAATTAGAACAGTAAAGTGATCTACTACTACTTATGTGATCTTATTATTCAGTATAAATATTTCTATAAATACTCAAAGTACATGCCAAATAACCAAGCAAAAATATCTCAATAAAACAAATAATGCATGCCATGATGGCAACTGGTGTTAAAACTTAAAGATAAAAACAAGAACTTTATTAATTTTTGGGTCAATGGGAAGGTCCTTCATTCTGTCAATACTAATATTTTGGCATTGCACAATATCACGTTTTTTCCAACTGTTTATGATGTCTTTACACTAAATCCATTGGATGTGTACTGATTGATATTTTAATCTTTGATGCATATTTTTTTAATTTTGTTTTTGGCTTTGGACTAGCTTTCATTAACTGTGAGTACTCCCAGATCGGTTTCTTTTAGTTGGATTTTTTTTTTGTTGTGTTTTGTATCGATCTAATGAGTCAAGTCTTTTTCAACTGAATTTTATAGTTTGTTTTATTTTGTGCTGTTACACCACTGTCCCAGTTAAGAGGAGGGTTGGGTGTCCACAAAAATGCTTAACCCTGCCACATTCTATATGTGCCTGTCCCAAGTCAGGAGCCTGTAATTCGGTGGTTTGTTGTTATATATATCCTATTAATTTTTTTAAGTACATTGTTTGGTATATAAATCAAGCTGTTAGTTTTCTTGTTTGAATCGTTTTACATTTGTAATTTTGGAGTTTTGCTCAATGATGAAGGTTGTACTGTGACCTATAGTTGCTAACTTCTATGTCATTTGGTCTCTGGTAGAAAGTTGTCTCATTGGCTTTTCATTTTTATTTAGTTTGAAGTGTTTAAAATGGTTTAAATATCTCTCTCCAAAAATTCCTTTATTATTCATTGTTCAAACATGGAAAGCATTTTATTTCAAATTACAGGTGTGTGACATCTACCTCAAACTGTCAACTTATGCATTTCAGAACCTGAGACTCTTTTCACAAAACATATTACGATAAAAATTGATCATAAGTTAAACTGAAATAATCATGACTTACAAGTATTTTTTATTCATAAAATGTTTTGTGAAAAGAGCTGCTGCTTATTTCTGCTGTAATACTTTATGTGTATAATACCTGATTTTCAACAAAAATGAAGTTTTTCATTCATGATCGAATCACAATAATAAGCCTTTTCACCCAGATGTTCATGCAAGTATATATCTACTGTGAAAAGATCATTATATATGTATATATTTCTAGCATTAGTATATAAAACTATGTGAGCATGATAATACATGTAAATGAATTATCAACTTACCGACAGGGTGATAGTAACACCTCACACTCCTCCTCCATTCAAAATCAGTTGATTCTCGTAACTTTCTATTGCACATATTCTCTAAAACATCTCTTAAATACAGGGATTGCTGTAAAAAGATACATCTCAATTTAAAAGATATCCTATTAAGATATAGAAAAGCTGCATCTATTCAGACTTTATTACTATCCTAGTGCAAATATTCTTATACCAGTGTACTGCAAGAAACATATACTAAATCATTGTATGGTGTTTAAATATACACATAAACCAAAGAAGTATACAGAAAATCAACTTGCAATAACAGTGTTCCAGCTTGAATCTCAGGGCAGAAGGGTGCTAGTTGTCTGAAAGGGCACTTTAGCGTTATAACCCAGATTTTAAGGGCAATGTTGGACAGTGTATAAATTACCTTGAATATTGCTAGGCTCAGCTGGAGAACATTAGTTGTATTTAAACCATATTCAGAAATTAATGTGTTCTTGATGTTGGTTCCAGTAAGAATTTTTTTTCATCAAATTATCATACCATGAAGCAAAGCATATCATTCTGATGTTAATCTAAACAAACTTGTACATTTGGTATGGAAAATAATCATCAGAAATTTCAATGTTTTATAACTTATACCAAAATAAAGAAGTAGTTTTGAAAGATGGAGTTATACATGCAAAATTGAATGTTGAATGTAATTAAATTATCTACATTTAAATTACTTGTTCAAACATATAGTATATATGTTATTGAGAGTTATTTATTATCTTTTAAATTGTTACAAAAAAGTATTTTTAAGTGCACACCAAAGTGCTCCTCAGTAAGGAGTTTTATAAATATAACAGGTGAGACAGGAGAGGATCATATTTATATTGATGCAATAATATATTGCAGAAAGTATAAACAGTTACCTTTTTTCTCCATCATTGTTAAAAATAAATTTGTTGAGTGCTCCATGTCAGGAGGATTATAAAATACAAGAAGTATTAAAAACAGGAAGTGAATCTTGTTATGTTCAAAGTACAAATTTCTTTGATTCCTCTTTAAATTTCATACTCATGGTTATGAAACAAAACATTTTTTACCAATTAAGTCAAAACTATGTATGCATTTAAAATTGTTTAAGATTTTATTTTTTATGTTATGCCTTCTGAAATAAATTTTTTCAGGTGTACATGCTGTACATAAACATTACAAATGGATAACATGTGGACATTTCATTCTGTATTAAATATCTAGTATTTGTTCAATTATCTTAAATCCACTAATTAGCAGTAAACAATCATTAACAAAGGTGATAAAACTGCCAAAGCATTAGGTATTTAACTTAATCCCATTGTCAGTTAATTAGTGTTACACAATCAGGTAACAATTTTACTGGAAACGCCGGTAGGCATAAAATTTTGAAATTTTATTTTTTTGAAAAGGCAGTGGGGTGCATTCTTTTACTTTTGAGGGCAGAAGGGCGGGGGTAAGGGCACCAAGGGCGGGCCGCCCTTCTATTTAGGGCAGGCGGGAACACTGAATAATATAACAGAGTTCACGAAAAGCGATGGTCCAAAGGTTTTGACCACCAAAATTTTCAAAGGACTGGCACAATATTGGTATTTTGACATAGAAATAATAGTGAGGATCAACAGATTTTCTTCAAGAACCACCAGGGAAAAAAAGATTTCGAGAACTTTGATATGATACTTGAATCTTGAAGTACTTCATTCAAATTTTCTGATATGAGATTAGTCAGGCCTAAACTGTTTCTAGTAATTAGAAATATATTGTCAACTTTCATTAACAATTATATTACTAATAATTTTTAAATGATTACAACTATTTATTAAGTATCATTTTTTTTGTTATACCATGATATATTATTCACAGTATATCCTGATAGTGTCTCTATTGCTGTATATAGGGAAATTTGTGCAAAAGTTTAATTTTGGCTATGTTCATGGTATGCAATTAAACACATTAAATTAACCATACACAAACATTTCACTGTCCATCCACATGCATGGTACAAGGAATTATCACAAAAACAATCAACACAGCAAAGATTTAAATCCCTATTCAAAGTTCCACACCAATAACAGAACATGACTGATTTATGGTATGACCATACGACCTTCAAAAGCATCTTGAGAACAACACACAACTGTTTGTCATTTATGTAAGAGAAAACTTACAGCAACCATACACTCCAGTCTAGATTTATGTACAGGTAACATTGGTTCCTCAATGGTCCTCCAGGCTCCTCTCATCAGAACTGATGTCAGTTTAGAGGTATGGATGGAGTATCGTTTCAGGGCACCATGTAGAGCTTTACGATCATACTTGATTTCAGAAATTCCAATCTCACATTCTTTGGTCCAGAAATATAACATTCCAATCTTACATACTTGTGCTGGATACTATAACAGCAAATATAAAAACTTGTTAAAGTTAAGACAAGGTATTTACTGGTAATAATGTGTTTCCCTGGAATACCAAGTTAATTTCAAGAAAAATAAATTTTCAAATATAGGTTTTTAGCCAATAAACACATAATGTAAACCAAATTTATTTCTGTGAATATTTTATTTCATTTTGAGTCTTTGATAGAAGACTTCCTAAATATTTATTTTCACAACTTTATTGCCTTAATGATGTATTCGATAAAGAAATGATCAAAGTTTGACATATAAGTGACGATTTATATTAATAAGATATTCCTATTTGTGAATGTCACTAAAATAAATCACTTACAAAAATTAGTTTGTTGAATCAGTTCTTAATAAAAAAACATAAATGTTTTATAAACAAGAAAATGCAACGTTTTACCCAATCAGAATATTGCGTCTATTTCCTTAATGAAAAATTCAATAACCAATCATTTAACACAAAAGTTCTGACCTTTGATGCCCATTCATCCATGACAGTCCCTTGATTACAGTCCTGAATTATACTGTTATTCATTTCTTTTATTGTCTTTGCAGCTGATTCACTTAATCCCAGAAGCCAGACTTCTACACCATCAGCTAATTTCACCTAAAATTCAAATAATTATTACAATTTTAATTTGAAATTAGTAAGGATATATTATTGGAGGTTATTGACTTCCTGGATAGAGGCAAACTGCCAATTAAACAAAAAAAAAAAGATATTTTGTTTCCATTTTCTTACTGTTAACAGGAACAATGTTGAAAACACCCTCTTAAAATTTGATATCAACTCTTCCACTAATATCACAAAAAAAGTAATTATCAAATCAAATCAAAGTATGCAAAAAAAAAATCTTTCTATTCGTTGTTTTGAAGATATCGCTCTTTACATAACTTTTTGCAGGGTGAGGGCCACAAAATTACAGCTTATTCCACAAATCCACATTTTTGTTCAATTTATATACCATACTTTGACAGGTTAACTTAATGATAGAAATTCAATTATTCAAGCATTTTCTTTCAACTTAGAACGAATTATTGTACTGTTTTGCAGATTAAAGGTGCATTGTGAACTAGAAATTGAACTTAAAAAACTGAAATGGAGCAAAATGGGTCTGGGAAAGATTGCCCTGCTTTTCATTGGAAATCCAACTTTGGGACTTGCAAGAACAAGATACAAACCTTATCTTTCAGTGCAATAGTTTCTCCCTCAGAACTTGATATAGCTGTAGCCTCATATAGTATAACGTCTTCTATAATACCTTCTGATGGTAGATAGGATGGACCATGCTGCATCACACTTGGATTCAAACTCTGAAAAATTTAATGAATACATCATTATACTCACTATTTATGTAGATTCAATTGTTTGAACAATTTTCAAAATCTATTTCTAAAATTAAAATTTTTACTTTTATTACATTATTTGACAGAGTTTCACATTATGATTATATTTCATTTTATTTTTATAGTTTAACATTTGTATAGTATTATAAGAAATCAATAATAAACCAGTTACTTCATCCTGTATAAAAGTAAGGGATATCCACAAACTTGACATTTGTTCAATATGTCAGCATGCTGCTAAATTTGAAAACTTGAACTGGAAATACTATTTGTTTTTATAAGAATTCAAAGATTCACACTGACATAAAAACTCTCCTTTGTTGTGGTCTTACTGACAATACATCATGATTATTCATTTAAAATCAACGTTATAATGTTTGCCATTTAATGCAAACATTAGAAAAATTGAAAGCTGTCTAACTCATAGATTACCCAGGCTTATACAGGTACTATAAATGATAATGTAGTCTTAATATCCAATTTGAAATTACAAACAGTAAGGGAATGCTATAATTCTCAACACAAAAACTTGCATTAGGAAACAAACATGCATTTTAAAATATTATATTCATAACTGGAAAGGAAATAATTGTTTTTGTCTTAAACAAGATAGGAGTAAAAAATGGTACATTTCTGTCCCAAAAACATACTTTTATTTTTTTGGACAACAGTCCAATTAATCTTTGATGGCAGGGAAAATAAAAATTATTTCCTTGCATGAAACAGAGAAAAAATAAAAGAAAACACATTGCACAAAAACTTTGCAATCAACAACAAAGAAAACTAGTAACAAAAACTTTGGAGAATTGTGTAGTATAATACCGTGACATTCCAAATACTTTTCTTAGAAGTCGTACTAGAACTTCCAAGATTATAAACTTTGCTGTTTCTTGATTTCTTATTCTTACTCTGCTTAAAAAATTAAATAAAAGTTTAAAATTGTAACATCTATACTCAAATGCACAATCGAATATGTTTCCCAATCGGGATTACTATTTATATACTTTGTTATATTTTATTCAATCAGGGTCTTTCTAACAAACTTTCAAAACTCAATTTTGCAACAAAAAAAAATGTTTTTACTGTTCTTATAAACATTCAAATGAAGCAATTTTTACTTTCTACAAGTTTTCCATATGTATCTTTCTTAATCAAGCCATTCACAGATATCAATATTTCTGAACAAATCTATGTTCAAGATGTTGTATTATTACGTGATGGTACTTATTTTCCTTGTAATATTCATCAAATCTCATCATAACCTTTAAATTCTACTAAAAATGCATGAAATATTTCTCACTTGACATTGAACATTCAACAATCAAGCACCCATTTCTTTAAACAGTGTACTATCTAGACCATTAATATAAACTGTATTTACATTCAATGTATTCTTGGTCCATATTTATTGTGAATGCAGCTTTTAATCAAGTAACTTTAAGAATATAGAAACATTTCTAACTCAATTTGATTTTCAGATCCTTCAGCTAATTATTGCTTTTTCATTTAGCAAAAAAGCAAAAGCCATCAATTCAAAACATCAATTCAGAACAAAATTTTAAGCAGAGAATACAAAAAAGTATGTATAAAAGCTGAAGAATATTACTTGTAAAACTGAACATATTAATTATACAAGTTTATTAGTTTCTCTTTGAAAAATATTATGGGTTGATATTTAAAAAAACATATTGCAAGTCACAAAAGGGAAATACATTCTTGCAATCTCATCTATTTCACTGTCCTGTTTTTCTCTTATGTATACTATGACCAGAATTTGACCTCTTGCACTGAACAAGTTTTTGTTCATACTAACTAAGCATTGTACCATCTAAAATGAAGGTAAAATGGATGCAAATCTAAAGCTCTTTTTCCTAAAAAGCTTATGTCTACCATAACATCCTATGACCTTGAAAATGAAATTCAAAAGGGGTTATGACCTCCCCACATGCCATAAGAATTGCAGTAATTTTGATAAAGACTGGATGCAATCTACAAAGTTTTTTGTGCCTTTAATCTTTTTTATATTGTGATATTGTTGCATTGATTCCAGAGGTCTGACGGTACTCTGACCTTTAAAAATATAAAAGGAATATTCTTGTTATTGTGAAACCATGTAATAATTTTATGAAATAACATAAAAGAAAAGCTCCTGTTGTTTAATTTACATCAATACACTATGATATAGTACTCTCCAAAACTCTTCAAAGAGGGATGAAACAAGATCTATAATTATCAAGTTATTCATTAAAAGAATGCCAAAAAACAAGTTACAATTTTGTAGGTTTTGGCCAATTCATTAATGTGCTAGCATCTAATCTTTCTTTTTTCTGACACAGCAATCAAACCATGTGCATGCATTTTGTTATTTTAACACTGTTTATCTACCCTTAATCCCTGAAAACAATAAAATAAAATATCATTTAATTGTGCAATAATTCATTTTCAACCTTGAAACCTGTGTGAATCACGACTGCAATTTTGTGAAATCATGCTTTTTCAAATACAACATTCACATGTATAATTTTGGTATAACCAGCATAAACCCTTTTGACAACAAACATTCATTTTATCACATGTGCATAAAGTTCCATATATCATCAATACAAACTGTAAACAAAAAAATAATAAAATTGAATACAACATCTCTATACCTTCTTAGTTTCTGATGTGGTTGGAGCCGAAACTTCATCCTTGCTCTAATCATAAACATTATTAAAATAAAGTAATGAATTTTTGTTTATCTCTCACAATATTCAAATAGCTTTCTTCTACTTTGAAGAATGCAAAATACTATCAATAAATTTTCAAAACCGTAATGGTAAAATGACTTTTTTAGCCAAATATCACAAACAAGCTCTTTCATTCAACAAAAACAAACCATGACGAAATTGTCCAAAAAAGCTAAAGAATGCCACATCCTAAAATTATTTTGTTTCTAACATTTGATGAAGAAAATAACAAGTTTACTGCTAACATTATAAAGTAAGTCAAGTTTTCTACAAAGGAGAACAAGAAATGAGGACAACTAAGGCTCATATAATCCATTATACTTTTATTCTGCTACCATAATTAAGACAGAACCTACTTCAGGCATGACAGACAGAAGTCTTTTTGTTATATATTAGTATAAAAATAATAGCCTTAACATTAATACTACATGTCAATATAAAAAATCACTATGAAGTCCTCATTTCATTTCTCCTTGAAATCAGAAATAACATTCTACTTTTACTTGTTCATTTCTTTAAAAAATGAACAAACTTACATAATGTTCTGTTAGTCTCTTATCTATCTTTGGTGGTGTGGTGCTCCTAAGACTAGGAGACAACATGGATTTACCACCAGCTCGAGAGCTTGCACTGGTCCTGTGTCCATCAGCTGCTTTGCCAAATCCTATTTCATCAGTTGGAAGCTCATCCTCAGGTGGGTTTGCTTCCTCTAATTTGACATCTGATATTGAACTGAACAGTGATCTGTTGAAGATGCATAAATTTTCAAAATATAATTAAATTTTCTAACAAATCAGTACATTCCTTCATGAATTTATAGCAATTGTGCATTTCTATGCAACTCAAAACTTGAATACGAAGTTCTAATTTAATATTTAAAATATTTAAGTTGCCTCAAGTAGTAGTTAACATGAGGTTTGATTGCCTGAATATTGGCTTGACAAGTATCAGATAATGTCATCTAGGAAAAGCTCTCTTCTGATTATTTGGATGGATTATGAACTTACCTAAGGTGTGGTCTGACTGATTCCATGTCTGCTGGACGACTGAGGATTGACAATAGAATAGGATCAGAGACAAAGTAAAATCTAGGGAATGCCCTCCTCTTGTTGTCTAGATATACCATCAGTGATTTAAAACATATCTCTAATTCATCATAGATAATTTTATAATGGAGAACCTTGGATCCTTCTCCTCCACCATGGCAACACTGTAAAAAAATACAATTTTTACAAATCTACTAATGTGTTTTACAGGCTTTCTAAAATTCTTTACTGTATTTCTACTGAAAATTATTATCAATTGTGAATCTAATCTATTCACAACTTTTTTTTTACTTAGCAATGATTTACAGCTTGACATATTGTATAGATGCCTGTCTATTTTTGAACACTGTATGATGACCTCTAAATGCTTTTTTAGTTAATTGTGTTGTTAGGTTGCTGTCTCATTGATTTAACAAACATTTCATGTTAGTTTTATCTTTTTTGTATAAGCATCCTTAAATAACTGTTGACAACGACCTGAATGTTTTAAAACATCCTAGTAACACTATTTCATCAGATCAGGTTAACAAATCTATGTTTAAGCTAGGTTACTTGAAGAGAATTTAGACATTTAAACCGAGTTCAACTTATCATTCATACCTGAAGAACATTCCTTGTATCAAATGCCTTCTTCATCAGTTTCATCCAAGTTTTATCTACTCTGGTAAACCTTTTAGCTTCCTGAGGCAGTTCCTAAACAAAAAGAGAAAACTGTCTATAACACTGCTTGTCAACAATGTACTGCAATTTAGATTTATTTATAATAGTTCATTAGTTTTTCCTTTTCATCACAATTTCTGATTTGAAATAATGGAAAATTTTAATTTATGAAAACTTACAACAATAGCCAATTTACCATAACGTGCAACAAAATAAGGCAAACCTTATGAAATTCAAGAAAAAAATCACAAATATTTGTTAATTTCTGTAAAGCAGTAAAGATTTACTAATAGTATGGATTGAACTTATTGTCTAAATTACTAAATGCTACTTTAACATCACATCCAAAGACAACAAGATGTACATAGATTTTTTTTCTTGTGATATTTTACCATAACATGTAAAGAATTTTACTTTAATCAAGTTATAGAGGTATTGATGTAAACATTCATACTAATCAAAACAGGTATTTAATTCATCAATAAAGTAAACAAACCCTGGCAGCAGCAACATTGGTGAAGACAGCTTCCAAATACTGCCATAAATCTTGTACTTCTAACCACAATTCTAAGACTTCAGCCACTTCCTTTAGTTTGACTGCCAGAGATGCTGTTTCTGTTCTCAGTGGAGCTATATATTTAGATGTTAACATGTTAGCTAGTAAAGCCTGAGAGTCTTCTAACTGTTCTAATAGTCTCTCAGTAAAGGCTTTGTCTAAGTACATGGGTCCACGTTTCTTGTAATGTTCAAATGCTAACACTTGTTCGGTCCATTCTTCCTCTGTTACTTTCATTTTGATCTCTAATTCCAATTCTCTGGCTGCACCATGACAGATTTCTTCTATTTCTGTTTTGTGTCTGGAAAATTTCAATCAAATCATATTATAACAAACAAAATATTCAAAGACATCATTAATTATATTGATTTCATGCTATATCTTATTGTATTTATTCTTATCCTAAGAGGAAGACAATGCCAATGGGGATGATGAAAAAAAAGTTACAGATTTTCCTTCAATCACAGGTGAGATATTGTAAGAAAAATATTCATTTTAATTCATAATTTTTCTGTTTCCAAAACATGAGATGCAATTACAGCATAAACTGATCTCTAGATATGTTTGTTTTTTTTTCAAGTTGTAGGGTTGCCGTCTGCTTGGCATATACCTTACATCTCCATTTATTCATAGAGGATGTTTTGTGTTTGCATTAACACACAAGTTTCTTAACTGAATGTACATTTTCAGAATGAATCAACTCTTAATTACATGTTATTTCATAAGAATCTGTACTATTGATTGGCTGAAAGCAATCACGATACATTCCAAAATCAAATTGTATTTCTCAATAAAATTCAACATTCATGACTACACTTTATGGCATAGTTGTAGCATATAAATGTAATTATAAGAATTGAATGCTTCTTTTTGCAATTTTATTGAGTTGTAAAAGTGCGTACAATTTAGTATGAAGTGCTTCCACTTAAATCAAAGATACCAGGCTTATAATTGTAGGATGGTTAATACTTTACACCCCAAATACATAAAAATAAACCTCTTAATTTTCAAAACTTACTTGATTAATTCTATCTCTAAAAGATGTTTTAATTTGAAAACATTGGCTTCTAATGGGAATGAACTGTGTGTGACAAACATAACTCTGGACCAATGACGATTCCTTATTTCCTGAAAGTACAAAAAAAACTGTTCTTTACTACGAACCCTAGTATGTCATATAAGTCAAAATTACATTTTGACCTGAGTATAGTTTAACCTAACATAATTTATAACTAACAATTAAAAGGAGTAAATAAGCCCAACATGCTTCAAATTTTGAATTCAAAAATGTTTTTTTTACAATTGTTCATTGGATCTATGAACACTGCTTAAATTCACATTATTGCATATCGTTTAAATTAAAATATAATTCCATTGTAAAGAGGCCCAAATAAGGATCCAATCCAACATTCTAATTTCAGGGAGTCAAAATAATTTTTTCATTCAGTTCGATATACATGTTAAATGATGAGAATGTTCTTTTGTATTATTCCATTGTTGTTTTTTTTTCATTATCAAGATACATCATATAGTAACTTCACAAAGGACACAATATAAATTTTCATTCCTCCAACAATTGGTTGAATCAAATTACTTATCACAACAACCAAAAAGTTGTCAAATTCTATTTTCCATTACTTAACTTTCAGTATTTTGTATTTGATAAAAAAAACCATAATATGTACAAGATAGTAGTGGTTTTAATACTAGTAACAGAAATCCCTACATTTTATCCTACCACTGCAAACATTAAGATTAAGGATTCTAACAGCTAAGTAAGTTGAACATAAACACTCTACACAGAACTTTTAAACAACTTGACAAGTCCACAATATCTGTTATTTCAACATAAATCAAAACAAAACATTCTTAATTTTCAGCTTAACTTGTAAAACGTATATTAAGCAGACGATAATTACAATATCATGTTTTAACATCGATGAAACATTTTTAGTTATGATTCATTGGTCAATTCCATGTTAAGTTTCAAATTGAAATATCAGTGTATGATGAATGTCTAAATTTTTTGTGCACCTCTGCTAGTCTTCCATTCAATTCTTTTTTATTGCTGCTTGTCCTAAATAATCATGAACGTAGTTGCCTGTAGACTTCTTTACTTATCCTTCTGTTTTTTTGTATTCCTCCTATTTGTCAAAATGCATCACTCTCTTCCCCTTTCACATACTAATCATTTTATGATAATGAAGCAGATAATTTTAGAACTGTTTGAAGCAATTGAAGATCAAAAATCAAGTAGACCCATAGTTACAACAAACCAATCAAACACACCCATACTTACAGCTATATCATATTTCTCATCTCTCTGTTTAAGGTACACATATTTTAAGATGGTGCATATAAATATAGTGGTATAAGCAAAAACTATCACAACTGCAAAATGTGTGTGCATATGAAGTCTATGTTATTTCATTTACCATAAAATGTATTAATAATCATTTCTGTATTAAATTCAGAACTGGCAAATTAAAAAAGTGAATATGTTAAGATGTATTATGTGACACTTTTCACAATGTGTAAACATTTGAAATGTATGTATGTTTGATGAACAAATGATGATTTATTTATTTTACCTTAGAATTAAGTGCCTTGAGAAGAGGGAATACTTCTAAGTAAGTCTGTAGAGATGTCTTCAGGTCATTATAGGCATCTTTATCCTTCAGTTTACTGGGTAAAGCCAGACATTCATCCCAGTATCCTTCCACCTAAAACATACAATTTTTATTTGACATCATAGCAGGCCTGTAGCCAGGATGTCTCTGAGGAGGGATATTAGAAGTCATGATGCTATAAATTTAATAGTCAAACTTCAATCTGAAGCTCAACTTTAAGTCTTTTATTGTATTTTTTGTTTTCATGGGGGTTAGAACGAAACCCCATGGCTACATTGTGCACAATGAAACAATTTTCCTAATAATTAATTTAATTTTAGTTTAAAAACCTTGTTTAAAAACCTTTGAGTAAAACTGTATAGTAGCGCCTTCATATTAGCAGCTTCAAGAAAATACTAATTCATATTAAAACTAAGTAAAACTAATAAACTTCATACTATATTCTTACCTCAATATGAGCAGCTTCCAGATCCACATCAGCCCATAATGTATCTTTAAACCTATTGTCAAATCTAATGAACTTCTGAAACAGTCCATATAACTGGTTCAACAGATGTAATTCTTCTCCTGTCTTATCAAGTTCAATAAAAGGTTTACATATAATACCAAATAGTTTAGACACAGAGTCCAGAGTCTTTCTCTTCAGGTCAAATAATACATAACTCTGTTGGAAGAAATCAAGACGAGAAACAGCCTCTGATGGGGGTATTCCTGGAACCATCGGACCTTGTCCATCAAAGTCATTTCTGAACCGTAACACTTCTACATTGAAAGACTGAAAATAAATAATTAAAATATTTCATAAATAAGAATCAAAGCAATTTTTGGGTATATTCAATGAGACAGTTACTAGACAACAACCAAAAATAAAACTAAAGGTTATTATTAATCTTCAACTACAGACAAGGGTCCATACAATATGAACATACTAAATCGCCACAAGGCTAGACATGTTGTGAATAAAACCATAACTGCTACTCTCCAATAATGCTAGGAATATTATTTTCAATTACATGTTTCAATATTCAATTTATTTGATAATGCTTATGAAAGTTTCACTGTAAAATAGTTATTTTCATGTCCAAGATCTTACACGGCTGCCTTATAACAAATTGAGAAATGTGAACGACAATAAAATCAGAAACATAAATACCTTCAAATCGGTTTCAATAAAAAAGAAAAAAAAATGCTACAACATAAAGCAAACATCAATCAATGTACTCAGTACAGCAACTTATAACAAGTCTTCAATAATGAAAGAAGACATTTATGTTCCGAGTCCTTATTATGATGCAGGATATATTGAATTTACCTTGACTTGTTTATCCAGTTCTTGTTCAAATGTTCCTCTCTTCTCTATCAACAATTTATGTCGTACTTCCTCTGCTAATTCCATCAATTCTTGCCACTTGTCCCGTAACTGATCTACCTCCTCAACCTCATTACGAGGTAACCTCAGCTCAAATTCTCTGTAATAATAGTTAGTACTATGTACTCTTTTGAAGTAAATTTTTAGAACTTGAGCAAAAGTCCAGAGAAATTCGGTCTCTACATATGTGTTCTCTCCAGTAAAACAATAAGAAAACCTTCAGAATTTAATCTGGGAAAATCAAGTGAGACATTGTTAATCTGAAACCTTCAGAAAAAAACAGTTAAATATCCCAAAACTAATAGTATGACTGACCAATACAGTGATTAATAACTCTAATAGTAAACTTTTATGTAAGTACACAGTTATTTAGATGTTAAAGGATACACAAATTGTAACTTACCTTAGTTTGGCATACATAGTTTCTATAGGCAAATAAATTCCATCTATTTTGTTTTCCATATCTCTGAGTTCTTCCAGTAAATGTAAGGCACTATTTAATTGGTCCAGTGTAATCACATCTAACTCTAGTCTATTACGTACATTAGACCTGTACAATACAGCACTATCTAGTTTTTTCTTGGCTTCTTCATGTAAAACAGAAGCAAAATGACTCTTCCATTGCATGGCAAATCCATGTAAGGCATCTTTAATGGGGTCTGTTTTCAGACAAATAGGACCAACAGGAAGGATTTCAGGTATAGCGAGAACCTTCTTTTCTATGTACAGGTATCTCTCTACCTCTCTTTTAATGGCAAACATGCCAGGGTCTGATTGCATGAACTCCTTGAAGTTGCCATGTAAATCATCTTTCCAGAGAAAATCATAGTAACTAAAGTGGAAGATATGTTTGTTGATCACTGGTTCTACATCTGTAAAGAAATAAATTCTTATATGATCTATAATTATATTAGGATTTCTTAGTTTAATTGAAATTAAATTTAATGAATTAAATTAAATGATTATTCTATTTAATCATTTACCTCAATTTTAATGAAATTAGGTGAAACTTAAGTAATAAATTGAACTTCTTCTATGAGATGTGTCATGTGTGTCAAAAATTGATTTAATTCTGGTTCTTTTACCTACCTTCTACATATATGTGTTAGCTGTGTCAACATTTGATTTAATTCTGGTTCCTTTTAACAACATTCTACCATATGTGTGATCTGTGTAAACATTTTATTTATTTCTAACTCCTTTTACTTACCATGTACTATATGTGTGAGCTGTGTCAACATTTGATTTACTTCTGCATCTGAAGTAATTCTGTCATGGAAGTCATAAACTCTGTCTTTCTCTACCCAAGTTACATCTATAATAGAATATTAAAATTATCAATGTGTACCTTTTTAAGAATTTATAAATGGCATTATGTGTATTATAATACACAGATGTTATTCTTCCGGTTTACATATAATATATGGGCACCTGTTTATTGTTGATGATCAAGAGGAGACTTGCAAATGTCAAATTTTTTTTAAAGAAGATGTGATAGGACTGCAAATGAGACAACTTTCCATAAAGATTTATTCTACACATCTTCATACCTACAGGTGAACCACCTTTACCTCTTTTCAGTAACTATGAGAATTCTTCCAGTGGTGTGTGACAATCATGGTTATAATACAAACAGAATGTTGATGTCTGGTTTAAGTGACAAGCTTCATTATAATAGGTTACCTCTACATGATTCTACTACAGCTGAGGCCACATCATTAATGGCTGTCTGTGCAGTGTCTAGTGTTGGTTGTACTGCTATTACTGGAATATTAAAACCAACTTCTATCTCAAACCTGAAAAGACAAGTGTTTTAAAATTCTGTTTTATTAAGGCAAAATTACCTGTTACACAGCAAAATGTTGGAATTATAATTGATAGAAAGCTGTTTCATTGTTGCTGATGTGTAGTAATTTATAGCACATGATATTGAAAGTAGCATTAATTTACTAAAACAGACATTGTCAACCATTGATAGCACAGATTTTTTTTATACATATGTCATTGTTTATAATGTTATCTTGGTCATCTATATCAAAAGGCACAAAACATCAGTCCGGAACTTGAAAAACATGGTGAGTTCAAAACACATGTCAGAGGGCTGTCAATCATAAACTTTGGTTTAGGATTATTTTTAGAGCGACAATACCATGCAATACAAAAAAGCTACTATATGTTACAATAACTTACATTAATTCCACTGCTACAAAAATAATGTACTTACTGCAGATAGGTTAGATCATTTGTTTTCTCTGTAGTCCAGGTCATATTGGATAATGCTGACATACTGGTATTCGGTCTTTCTGTCATAGCAGATGACACCCTGCTCATAGCAGAAGCTGCTCTACTGGTACGACGAGGACTAGTATTCGGTGAGTATGTAGGATTAGACAATACACTGGCAGCTCTTAGTTCTTCTTCTGAACAACTTGTAGAATCCACTAAAGCTGACAGAGATCTCTTAGTGGCAGTGAGTACAGCTTCATACACTTGCTCTTTGTAAAAGGCTTAAATATATAGCAAATTAAAATTATTGCTTAATGATATCTATGGGTCTTAACAGAAACTGCGTTTATTTGATTGATTTTGAAAATAATTACGATGTCAAAGTAAAAGTTTGAGTTACATGACTTTAATGACCTTCATTTTTTTTTATTTATTATGAAAAACAAGCATGGGTATACACAAATAATTCTATGAAGGAATATATTATCATAAAAGAAATGAAACAAATCAATTTGTACAATTCTAAAAGACAATCAAATTGACAAACCTGTACATATATATAGTCTGCTTTACTAAGCTATTCCATGGTCAAAAAAATTATGTCATCAATAAATTACATGTTAAGCCTGTAACCTATCAATAATATTACAACATACATATAAGATTAGAAATGTATTTCTCTTCCTCTGCAGCTCTCTGTCTTTCTTTCATGGCTTCACTGTCATCTACCATTAATGCTAGTTTCTTTGCCTTTGGGTTATGATGTTCCAACTACAAGGGAGATAAATCAGATTGATTTACAGTAACAACTTATTTTTTAACAGTACCACTTATTGTATATTTAAATATGATACATTTGATAAGTCATATTTTTGCACTATGTAGCAGCTGTCTAAGTAGATTAAAAATTCTGTAACTGACTTTAAAACATGCAAATGAAATTGATAAATTAATTTCAGCTGATAACAATCTATGTAAATAAATATTGCTGTTATGAGGACAGAACAACCATATCAATATTTTTACTTGGATAAAAAAAATATCTAGTTTTTTCTCCAATATAACGTCCCATAAAGTCAGTTATGATGAAAGAAGAATGTATTATTTCATTTTATCTTATACAATGCAGAAATTACTTTTCAACACTATATTTATCTTAAATCAAAGAAAAAAAAACAGTACATATCACCATGCAACTGTATAAAATGTTAAAAATATGAATATTCTAAAATATTATAAAAGAAATTGTCTAATCTACAATGATTCAATACAGTATACCCATTAAGACACCAGTGGACACATAGAAATGTCTCACCTGCAAAATTTGATTTAATGCTATAATATTGTATAGATATTAGTAATCTAATGTTGACACCAGGTACAATTTTTGAAATTTAATATTTTAAATCAGAAAATTTCTATCTAGAATGTTAATCATTATTTCTATGCCCAAGTTTAAACTATTTAGTAAAGTCTTAAAAATTTGTATGAAATAAGTATGTTTCAGTAGAAAATGTTATTTTATTTGACTTTCAGTTTTAAGCCCAGACTAATTTTGACACTCACATGTGCATGACATTGACTTTCCTTCAAAATGAACAGCTACACAGAAAACAAAGAAATATGTTACAGAATATAAGGTTTGTTAAAAAAAAAATAATCTGTGATGTGAGCAATTAATTTTGACATAGATCTGTCCTTTGCTAATGAAACAGATTTTAACGTGAAATCTTGAAAATTTTATGTCATGTGAACCATACAAAGATAACTAAACTAAGAAAAATTCCAGATTTTTTTTTTGGTAATATCATAATTTAATTTTCCTCTTGTTTGGTCCTATTCTTAGTGCAGGGTCCTGAAATATGAATATCATGTAAAGTCTCTTAAACTTTTTCATAAAAGGATCGATCAGGGTTATTTTTAAGGGGGGTCCCAAACATAGTTTTGATTGAGACTATGTCCAGGATTTTATCAGAGCCATTTACTTTGTATTCATTTATTGACAAATTGTTAGTAACTAAAAAGAGGCGTTACAGGTACAGAGAAGTATATATACACTAACTGATGATATATTTGACTAAAACTGTGTATATATGTGATATATTTCAGTAAAAATGATCCCACCATTTCTGACAAGGTCTTATGTGCTACACTATGACGTTTCTGAAGCTTGGCTTTATCTGATACATTTTTCATGGAAATAAAGCCTTTTGAAGCTGAATATATGTATTCCTGTAAAATGTAAAATTTTGTGTTAACGCTGGTAACTGAAATTAGACATGTGCTTTAATGTAAATGCAACAAAATATTGGACAAAGGAGTATATTTTATGCTATGAATGGGTGTTATATATCAACAAAAACTTGTGGAAACAATACTACAGGAAAAAGTGCTGATTCCTACCTTTCTAGTAGCCAGTAGATTAGCCACAGCCAGTAAACCATTCATTACTCTCTGTACCAGCTTCTGTAGTTCTTCCACTTTCTCTTGTACTCTGTCTAACATTACATCTCTAAACTCATGTGGTGGCTATAACAAATAAAACATCCAATGATCATTTATTGTATCATTATTCAAATATGATATGAAGTCCTGTTCCTTGAAATTATTGTAGACCTAATATTCTGTACAAATTATCTCTTGTAACCAAATGAAGAAACAATTTTTAACTTCAGTTCTTGAGTTGTTTTTTTTTCTTCTCCTACAAGATGATGTCTAAATAATAGATCTTAAGAGATAGACAATAATAGAAAATAATAACTTTTAACAATTCCAAATATATAGTTCAAATATTAGTTAAAATCAAGATATCTAAAAGAAGTAATAAAATTTTACCGAAAGCCAAGATATCTTAAGGAATAATAGAATCTCAACAAGTGCATTTGTGAAAAAGGCTGGTCCACAAAATTTGCAATTATTTATAGAAAAAGCCCTAATTCAATAGAAATATTATTGACAGTAGCCATTCAGACCTTAATATCAAAGTCAAGTTAAAAATAAGATAGACTTACCCATGGTCTGGTGATAGCTTCCTCATAATCAAACAGATAGAAATTCTTGATAGCTTCTAGTGATCCAGCAACATCATTCTCCATTATGTCCTGAACTTTTGTACTTCTCTCCTTCAATCGGTTTGTAGCAGAATGGATCTGATGTAAAAATGCATCTGAAAATAGATAACAATACAGAAATTTAAACATAAGTGTATGTATTCAGTCTTTTGTAAACATATTTAATACTTATGACACATTCTATGAGAAAATTCCTAGTATTGAAAACATTGAATGGTAACACAACTGATGCACTAGCTGTTCTTTTCGATAATATATGTCCCTTATAAAATTATTTCGACTACAAGATACTATAAAAAAAAAGTGTAAGAGTAATTCCAAAATATGCACAACACTAACATGATGCAATGTTATCTCCTGTTATGAACTAGTCAGGATATCAGAAAAGTTCAAATTCATCAGTAACTAATTATGATAATATTTTTTTATTTAGAAATTTTTATACATTCAGTTTGTAAAATATATGTCCAAAGAATAAAGGTAAATTTACCTATATTCATGCTATTCCACGCTAGAGTTGTCAGTCCAGGTTGTAACTGCTCCTCTACATACTTAGTATGTGGAGTGAATAAATTCTGGAGAGATTCAGGAATACACTTGCATGTTTCCTTGTATTCATGTAAAACTAGTTCTAAATGACTTTTGTAACTTTTGAAGCGTGACTCTTGCTGCATAATGGCAGTAGCTGAGTCTGGAATCTGAATACCTAGTCTTGTTAACCATTTAGCCTCATGGATCAGCTCCAGTACTCTGAAAAATATTTAATAATCAAATCTATTAATAGCTTATAACATACTGGGATACACAGACTTATTCTTTTATAAATCTTCAACATATACATTTTTCAGGTGAAAATACAAGAATTTTTTTTTTTTAGACAATTCAAGATTTATTCTGTTACAATGTTGGCTACATGGTAGATAACTTATGCAGAGATCCTGGAATACACTTGCAAATTTGATTGTGTTAACAAAAGACAAACTTCTAAATGACTCTTGTAACTTTTGAAGTACAACTTACTATAGAAAACCCCTGTTATTATTGGCAAGGATTTTTCTTTTCTCATGTACTTTTACCTACCTTTCATCAGTATTAACAAGGATTTCTCCTGTGTTTGGATGATTTATAAACAATGTAGCCCTAAGTCCTGCCTTGGCATGTTCAATTCTGTTCTTCCACTGAGCAAACCATAAACTTTCAAATGTCACTAAAGCAGTTGCAAGTCTGTTGTATATTTTGACTATTCTACTAAAGTCTCCTAATTGATTGATTGCTCTGTTATCACGGAACACTTTCATTGGATCCTCAATTCTCTTCAAAAGTTGACGGGACCAGTGGATAGCTCCAGCTGCTGGTGGAGCATTCCTTACCATCTGTGGACTTTCCTGAACAAAATTATAATAAATCATAAGTTCAGTAATTTATTTACTATGGGTAATTTCAGTATTTTAAAAATTAGAGTGATGTCATTTTTTCTACAGAGTGAATAAATAGTGGAGATATTCTAAAAATGGTTCAGATGCTTATAATAAATTTATTTCTTTCACTCCATCATTGTAACCTATACTGCATAAGTTAACATGATATAATAGGTTCTTATTTTTTGTTTATGTTTTTTTTTCCAATCATATTGTGCATATATTGTTGTTGTAAAATGATGCCCTTTATGGGTTCTTGATTAGAATAATAAAATTCTTATTCTTATTCTATAAGTATATAAACTTTACCTTGTGTGTTTCATAAATTCTTTGAACCTCCTCCAGATCAGTTTCATACCAGTTAAATATCTCTACAAACTTCTCTGCTATAGTGGTTCTTATCCCAGGCCTACCCTGTACTGGTCCAAATCTGAAAAAAAAAACATTGGTAATAGGCTTATGAAACTAAATCTGCAATTTTTAAATCATTAGTAAATCATGTGTTTCTGGAATTACTGTCAATAGATATATATAAAAACTTGTACAGAATTATTGGAAGGGTCCAATTAAGGAATAACAGTAATGAAGTTGAAGAGTTGTCTTCGTCAATTGGCAATTTGACTGCATCAAATCTTAAACTACAGTACTGTTCTTCCTAGTTAAATGCATTACAAAAAGAAATAGTACATTAGAGCTTGTAAAAATATATATATTTTAAGATAAATAAAATTCAAAGAATCTTCATGAATGATTTTAGAGCATAAACATCATGGCAAAACATGCCATCATACAAATGAAAAATTAACAAACTGATGGTGATTTTGTTACTTGTAGGATTCAGATTTGGATAATATCTCATTTAAATGGTGTTTTTGAGGTAGGCATTGTTTTATTTTCTATTATGTTGTATTAATGAAACATTTGTGGATTCTGAAAATTCAATATGGCAGCTTTACATGTCAATTGTAGATTTAACAGTAAATTCTAGCCATGAAAAAAAACTCTTGTTACATCAAGATTGCATTAGAATGTTACATCATGCTTTTCTTCTTGTTAACAACACCTGACAATGTTTTATTCTGTCGCTTTAAAGCTGTATTTTTTTCAAGAAATAACTTATAAAATTAACTCTGATAACCTTACCTTGTAATAATATCAAGTCCTTGTTGTGTTTTCATTTTTCTCATGAAGATAACATTAAGGTATGCTGAGAGTAATTTTTCTTGTTCCTGAACTATCTCAGCAAAGTTATTGTAGTACATATCAAATCTATCTCTATCCTGTAAAAGTAAAAGAAATATATATATAAAAAATTAATTCTTCCTAAAACAGGTCAAAATCTTCAAAACAGGTCCTAGTTTTGTAATATATCAATTTTTTTTAATTGTTATTGTCAATCAGTTTGTTAACTATTAACTGGCAGGATTTAATTGAGAAAATATATATTATTTGTCATTGTTATATATCTACAATGGAAGGTTGTTGAAAAAACGGTACAGTTCATTTTTAACTATGGGACAGAAGCTGATTTTATGGATTTAATGCAAAGAGATGTCTTTACTTAAATATTTAAAGATTTAGTCATTTAAATTGGAGGAATATTTCCACACAATAAAATATCCATCTTTTTTCTAAAGCCATGAAATCGAATCAAAGAAATGGTCCAATTGTATACAATTACCAATAAATGTCCTTAAAATGTATTAAAAAGTTCCTAAAACATTTTCGTTTTTTTAATATAATGTTAAATACTTTTAAAATGTTGAAAATGAGTTCAACAAAAAGTACCATGAAAACTTTTTTTTCAGTTCAAAGATATATAACTAGAAAACAAATATCATAAAACAAGAATTCAAAAGAAAATAGAACAAGAAACAATACAAAAGTTTAAATCAACAGTCAACTGACATAAAAAATATAAAGAATACAAAAACTCTTGAATTCAAAGTAATATATTACAAGGAACAGACTTAAAATATTCCTGTTTGCCATATCAAATATCTTCACTTAGATGTAAGAGTTCCTTGGTTGTGTAAATATTTTTCCTTAAATTTTTTGAAAAACTTAATGCAAAAAAAAAATGTCTGGTTGGTAGTTTTTTTAATTTCAATTCAGTAAGCAAACATACAAAGTTCTAGATTTGTTCCTCTTACAAGCTTAGATTTCAAGAGAAAATCCATAAACATTCTGTAAAATATTACTCTGAATTCTGTATAAAAACAATAAATCAATCGATACCGAATGTTCCTCTATTTCCTCCTGGTCATCACCATAGTTATTACTCTGTCGTCTTTTCTTAAAGAACTTAGTGATACTGTCACCATAGAAATGCTACCAAAAAGCACCCATTAAATAAATGTTGCTTCTTTAAGATAAAAAATAATTTCTTTTTTTCTTCATGTGTTTTACCTTTAAAGTTCAAGATTTATCTGAAATGTCGGTCTTAAAAATTAAAGATAAAGATATCTCAAATGAAGCCATGTTTTAATCTTTATTGTAAAAATTTCAAGGAATCCATGTTCCTTTTCAGTAAACAAACCTCCCTACATGTTCTCACCTTTGATTCTACATCTAACATGGTTTTGGTGGTTACATTATCTGACATAGCTTTAGTCATCTGATCAAGATGATCTAAAATAACTGCTGAAACGCCAGGACCATCATCCTCCTCATCCTCTGGGTAATATTTCCCTAAAAAAAGAATATCTCAATTAGTTTTTATAACAAGATAAAATGCAGTTCATTTTGGTTAAAACAGCTAAAAACTTAATCCTTCAAGTTTCAAGTTCTCATTTTGTCCGAAAACTCCTACAGTCATTATTGTTGGTATTTGGTCCACTTACTCTTTTCTTTAATGGTTGCCACAATAAGACCAGATCACTTACATTTCTTCATGTTACATGTTACTGCAGATAACAATATCAATATTTGTATTTCAATACTTATATAATGTTAACAGTATCAGAAGCCACAATAGACTAATAAAAAATAACCAACAATCAATTCAAGGCATATTCCATTGATATCTGTCTAGAAGTTTGAAAGAAGATTTTGAAAATTTATAAAAAGGACAACAGATTTAAAGAAAAAGGAATAGCTAACACTGTGCCATAAGTAGGCACATATCAGAATAGTCAATAATGGAGTATTCCACAAGAAACAGCAATAAGTTCACATACTTAATACAGCCAACTGTTCTTCATTAAGTCCTTGATTGTTATCTTTATCTTTAGAATCAAACACTTCATCATTCCTCGCTGTTATTCCTTCTTCTTTCCTTTCATCTGTCTTTGATCCTTCAGAGTTAGGGGTATCTTCATCCTCAGCTATGGTCCCTAGACTCCTCTCAGGTGAGTTCTCTGCATTCATTGCTTCTTCTTGTTCTGCAGCTTCTCTCTCTGAAATCAATCATTAAATAATTTTTTCTATCTAATATTTTATTTTAAAGTTTCTAACACCATATACTACATTCCCCTTGTAAACAAAGCTTTTTTAAATCTTCTTTTTATTTCAATTTACTGTAAAACAGTTCAAATCAAAATACTAACTTCACCAAGAAAAAAAATATGCAGGTAAATGTTACCAATGTTTATAATCATCTTTTTTTCATAAATTACTTACAAAGAAAAGAACAAGTGTGAATATAAGGAATATTCTTATTTCGTGAAATTGTAAATTGATGAAGTTTCACTTTTCATTTTATATAACTTTTTCAGTGGGAAAAATGTTAATGTTATCCAATATTTTGTTTTAATTAGATTTGTCATATATTTTTGAATACAACTTATGCATGAATAATAAAAAAAATATAAGATCATTCTCATGTATAAATGTTCCACTTATATGAGATTGTCAATTAAAGATGATAAAAGCAACATAAAAATTACCATGATCAAAAATATATATGTTCACATTACATTTCTTTGACTCAATACATCAGTTTTCAATTATTGTGATTTCTGTATCATCTGGTTTTAAAGAGAGACAACCAATTATCAGAGAATGTCATAAAATAAATGCAGAAAAAATATCAAACCTAATGCCTTTCTGGCTTCTTGTTGTCGCTTTCTATACTTGTATTCTTCTTTCTCTGTTTCATCTTCAAATACAAAATCATCTTTCCTCAGTCTAGGCATACCAGCTGTCAAAGTAACCATCCTGGAAAAATAACAAGGTCTCAAAACTTTTTAAAAATTAATAAAAACTTAATAAAACAATATAAATTTTATGTAAGTGTACATTATCTATAAGAATAGGAAATAGCAACTGTGTACAAAATGTGACATGTCAAGGTTTTGAATATTAAATTTTCATGAAGCAGAGGATGAATTTCAAGGGAAAGTTTAAGCAGATTACAAAACAAAAGAAGTTCTTTTTTATATTCATACAAATGTCATGCAATCTGCCTCCCCTTGTGTCAGATTTGAAAACTTTATATCCGCCAATTTGTATTAATATAGAGGAGAGCTATCAATTTTTAAACATACTTCATCTGATTTTGAGAACTGAATATAAACTTACTTTAATATTGTACATAGAAATTGTGTTGTTGATATTGATGTTATTTCATGAACATAAAATGAATCTATGCATACCTTGCTAATTGCATGAATTTTATGTTAGTGACATCAATCAGATGTGTTATGTATGCACTGATTCCATGTAAAAACTTACTTGTGCAGAAATAGCGTGTTGATGACACTAATCAGACATTTCATGAGTGCAAATTGTTCCATGTGTAACTTACTTGACCAAGCTATTGTGCTGAGGAAACATGTTAACATCAATCAGATCTTTTATGTGTGAATATCATTCAATGCATTATTTACTTAACAGACAGGGTATTGATGACATCTATCAAATTTTTAATCTATGCAAATGATTTCATGTATAGCTTACTTGTTGTACTGAGAGAGTTATCAGCTGTTTTATGGATGCAAATGATTTCTTGCATAACTTACTTCTTGTACTGAGACAGTGTATTGATGACATCTATCAGCTGGTTTATGTATGCAAATGTTTTCCTACATAACTTACTTGTTGTACTGAGAGAGGGTATTGATGACGTCTATCAGCTGTTTAATCCGTGTACAGAAAGAGTCCATATGTGACATTACAGCATCATCATCAGCTATTGACACGCCATGACCTTGGGTATCCAGAGCAGATATTCCTTTCTTTGGTGATACCATTAAACTACTTCCACGGGATTTATCACTAGTGCCTGGTTTTGATCTGAAAAAAATTCATAATGAAAAGTATAAAATGAAATTCAATCAATGAATAATTTTCTTTATCCTGAAAGAGTGAAAATGTTTTGTTTGAATTTTTATTCTTGTGCACTTGTCATAAACATACTATTTTTCTACTAGGCTCAAAACTTCACCCTCAAATTGAGGTTGATACAAGGAAATTTTGTTTGCTTTATAAGATTGTATTAAAAAGGAAGCATATATCTTAAACCTTTTTATGTGTTGATTGTATATGCATAAGATCAAACGTGTTGTATAATATTTAATAAATCCTTGCAGCAGTGCAAGTATCCATCCAGCTGGAAAATTTCAAATGTTATAGCCTTATTTAAAAAGGGGGATAGTTCATTACCTTCCAATTATAGACCTATATCACTCATTAGTTGCATAGGCAAAGTCATGGAACGTGTTATATATAAATATGTTTACAACCACTTACAAAGAAATAAGTTAATTTATGAGTATCAATCGGGTTTTCTTCCTAAATGTTCAACGGTTCACCAACTGTTAGAAATATATAATTGCATATTGAACTCACTTGAAAAGAAAGAGATAAGTTGTTTTGTTTTTTGCGATTTCTCCAAAGCCTTTGATAAAGTTTGGCATGATGGTTTATTACATAAAATGAAGGCTTATGGTATAAATGGAAATCTGTTAAAATGGTTTAGAAGCTACCTAAGTGATAGAAAACAAAGAGTGGTTATCAAGCAATCTTCTTCAAAACTTTGCAGTATTTCAGCTGGTGTCCCTCAAGGGTCGGTCCTTGGACCATTACTTTTTATAATATATATTAATGATATTGCAGAAAGCCTTATTTCTCTGTGCAGACTCTTTGCAGATGACACGTCGTTCAGCTGTGCGGATCGTGATGCATTGCAGATAGAAACTGTGATAAACCATGATCTGGAAAAGCTGAACGAATGGTCCAAAAAATGGTTAATGTCTTTTAATCCAGATAAAACAGAAATTATGTTATTTTCTAATGTTGAAATCCCAGAAATGAACTTTATATTCAATGATAAAAATATACCTATTACAAATATTCATAAACATTTAGGGGTTACATTTAGCAATGATGCTAAATGGAATGTCCACGTTGATAATATTATCTTAAGCACATCTAAACATATAAATATGCTAAGGAAGTTGAAATATAAACTGAGCAGAAAAAATTTAGAAAAACTATATTTAGTTTTTATAAGACCTTTATTTGAGTATGCCAGTGAAGTTTGGGATAACATTGGGGTAGGTTATATCAATAAACTGGAACAATTACAGCTCCAAGCTGCTAGAATAGTTACGGGGTTACCTATATTCACAAGCTCAAGGGTTATTTATGAAGAACTTGGATGGGAAACATTAGCTGAAAGAAGAGAGAGAAGAAAAATTCAAATGTTTTATAATATTCAAAAAAATAATGTTCCAGAATATTTGACAAATTTAATTCCCCCAAAAATCCAAAGTATGACGGTCTATCCTCTACGCAATGGAAATGACATCGTTATTCCATTCTGCAGACTAGCATTGACTAATGATTCATTTATTCCATCAACCATACGTCTTTGGAATAATCTTGATGATTCAACTCGTGATGCGGAATCAATAAATAAATTTAAAACTGAACTAAAAAAACTTTACCCTCAGAGTAACATATTTGTACAGAAGCAATATGAGTTTGGAATTCGAAAACTGAATATTATTCTAACCCAACTTCGATGTTTTGCATCATCCTTAAACTATGATCTATATAGGGTCAATATTATTTCTGACCCTTCTTGCCGCTGTGGTGTTAATCGTGAAGATTCCTATCATTTCTTTTTTAAATGTATATTATATTCAGACATACGAAATAAAATGTTTGAAAGTCTGCGCTGGCTTCCAAAAGATTGTAAAATTAACATAGAACTACTAACCTCGGGTAGTTGTCTTCTTTCTCTAGAGCAAAACCAAACCATTTTCAAAAATGTCTTCGAGTTTATTAAAAGTTCGGAAAGATTTCTAATTGTCTAGATAGCAAACCATGATCGCACACACATCATCATCTAAGTAAAAGTCTTCCTTTTTTTTTCTTTTTTTTTTTTGTTTAATTTGTATTTTATTTTTTGTTTTTGTTTTCTAAATATTCATTTATTTATTTTTTCTGTATTATTGTTTTCTTTCTGTCTTCACTTTTCTGTCTTTTGACATAAATCCATATATATATATATATATATATTAAATAGATATACCATTCTATACATGCATGCTCATACATATATTTTGTATTATATTGCTATAAATGTTGAATGGAGAAGACTTCATAAGTCTGTTTGACTTGTGTCTTATCCAATTTGTACTTGAACAAATAAAATATGTTTAAACTAAAAATCAAACGTGAACTTGAACAATAACTTACTTAACAGAACCCAAGCCTCCCATACTACTGATGGAAGGGAAGTGTGACAAGTTCTGTGACTGTCCCAGAGCATCTTTTAATGAGCGAAGTGTGTCCCTGTAAAAGCCTTGTAATGACAGGCATGCCCTCAGACGACCATACAGACTATCATCTTGTAATCCTAGATCTTTTCCTTCTTTGGTTTTACTTCTCTGCATACCTCCCTAAAGAACAAATATGATATATACAGGAATTTCAAATAAAGTCATTGACTAACATCTTAACTCTCATTTTTTTAAAATATGTCTAACTTTTAAGATATATATTTCTTAATTTTCGTTTTTTTCTTCTTCATTATTTGATGACAAAAAAATGAACAATCTGCCTTTCAGAAAAGGCCTTTATTCGTGTTTCTTCTACAACAGTACTTTATAGAAATCTACAAATCTCACTCATACACATAGATTTATAAAAAATAAAAGGTTCCTGTTGTTAAAAGGAAAGTATTAAACTGTACCTTTAGTTTTGACTCCACTTGACTCCTTAGTAATCTCTGTTGTGGATCAACAGTTGATAGAAGTTCTCTGTGTTTGATTTCCTCGGCTATCCTCCCCCAAAGTTCATCTTCATCATATACATTACTGGTAAAATTCCTAATATATTCTTTACAAGCTAATACTAACTGATTGGTTATTTTTGTAAATACTATACCAAGAAACCCTGTCCTGGCATAGTACCTGGAAATGGAATCCATCTGTCGAACACTGTTTGTGATTCCTGGGATAGCATTGTTTATAATTGAAGCAGGTGTTGCATCATGGTAGAGCTGATCAAAATGACGTCTAAGGGATTCCAAATACTTCACTTTGTCTTTGGTATCATTCATGGCATCTGTAATTCTGTAAAATTCAATGAAAATGTAAACAGATAATTTTTCTTACAAAAGATAACATCAAAAATTTCATTCATATGTATAAGATTTACCACATGATTGGAGTTAATTGACAATAATAGATCTTTTTTTTTTAATATATGGGTCATTTTCAATAATCCAACTATGTATCAAATTCAAAGAGCTGTTATGTTAAAATATTCTTCAGTCATGAACATACCATTATAGCATACAATAAATTATTGATTTCATTTTTTTTTCAAAAGAGTCACTGTTTTTTTTTTTTAATTTTATTTCCAAAGTGATTTTGAAAGGCTTAGAAGCTATGCTTGCAGACTTTAAAACTTACTTTATCAACAAATTTGGAGACTGAAAAATATTCCGTACAGAAAAAAATCTGATGTCAAAATATTGTGGTGAAATTCAGTTCTTTTGACAACTCAATAATGCCATATTATCTTATCTACAACATAAATAACCTTTAAATGTCATATATGTCCTGAATGATCAACTTTACAAAACCTTTTCAAATACTTACGAAGCATCAACAACTTTCCATTTCTTCAGCAGTCTAGATTTGGCAGTGATGAGTACACCAATAACAGCTTTACATTCCTTACTCTTTAACTGCTCTGTAATACTGGTCAACAACCTCTGACGTCTACGCCATCTCTCCAACTCAGATAGAGGTCCAGCATTGGGGTCCATAAATCTAAAATATTCAATCTTCAGGATTATTTCTATTTCATGTTTTGAATGCTAAAAATATATTTGTAAATACCCCAAGACTTCATGATCAAACGTTTTTCTGGATTAAAAAGCTTTCTCACCAAAACAACACAACGACTCAACATCACATGAATAAAATCCTTTAAGATACCAGATACAATAAAACATGTGTGTTAAATAAAAGCATTACTTTTCTAAAACAATGATAAAAAATGCACCTCACTTGTATCAGACTGTAAAAACTTAAGCAAAATACTGCTATAAAAACCATGTGGCCAGAATCACATATATAATCAAATAGCTTCATTATAAGCTCTCCTAGGGAAGATGGCATTGGTTGTTGGTTTATCTACATGTACCTTTTCTAAATTCACCATTCAATTCTACTTCAAATTTGTGTAAGTTTTATGATATTATCAAGTATATAATGATTGAAAAAAAATTTGATTTTAAAGCTTTGGAACTTGACTTTACTTAAATATTCCTAAATGTTACAACCCAGTAATTGCTAAGAACAAAATTTTAGTGTGATCAACTGTTAGTATGTTGATATTTATCACAAAACTTTCAAATTCTATATTATTTAAATTTTAAATGCACCTCATGCTTTAAAAGATTTTAAAAGTCATAGATCTGCAATTTGTTGTAAATCATTACAGCACATGTTCTATTGTAAAAGTCAACATATTCATAATATGACAACTGATTACTTATCTACTGCTGGTATGGGTCTTGGGCATCCAGTTAATTTTGAAGACTGGTTTCCATCTACAGAAATCCTTTTTAAAAAGCACTATGATTAATCGAGCAAAAAAAAACAGTAAAAATTTGTAAAATCCAGAAAACCTTAGACAGTAGATGAAAGAGCCAGTAATATCTAGAATATCTGACAGGCCATATTCTCCAAAATTCAAAAATATCAAGGCAAAATATCAAGAAACTAAACATTTGGTGAAATCAAATGAAATAATATTAGATTATTAGATGAATAAAAAAACAACCTTCCACTGTCAAATTAAAATCTAAACAAAGATAAACAAATGATTTTTTAACCAAAACACTAAAATCTTATTTCGTCTCTTCTAGAGATTTAACCAAAAATGACTAAAAATGCACCACATTTCATAATAAAACAAAATAGTTTCCAAGGGGTATTACTTCAGATACTTGTAGCATGGATAAACTGAGGTAAAACTAATCTTTGTGTCTAAATAAACTACCACTCAATAATGACAGAATCTTACTCTAGGACCAGATTTATAAAATGTTCAAAATTTATTTACATGAATTTTTTTTTTTTATTGGAACATCTGTTGAAGTAAATGTATAGTGATATTTTGCAGATAAATACTTTTTGTGTGAAGAAAATTTTAATCTAAATATCAGCATACAAAGATATATTACATGTTTATAAGTGTTCCTAAACTAATGATAAAGATAATATTTTTACAAGCTTGAACTTCTATTCTTTATAACAATACTCCCACTTTAATCGACCATTTCTGGATATTAAAACATGGTATAAATCTGGCTAGGTCAGTGTCATTCTACAAGGGAATCAAAATAATTCTACAAATCTTCACCCTGGTCTTACCTCTCTTCAAAATAACTAAGGTCCAGAAATAATGATTCTCCACTTAAAAAACAATAGTAAATGTGATGAAAATCTCACCAAATGAGGATTATCTTATGTTAACAATTAAAAGAGTATCCTACATGTATATAACACCTATCAAGTTAAGTAAAAAAATCTACTACAAAGCATTGCTTAACACTGGTTAACCTAGCTCCTAGCATAACAATCTTAATCATAATGTTAATCAAGGAACACCAAAAATGCATAGGTTAGACACACATAATAATTATTAAAAATGTTTTGAAAAAGTCCACAATTTTTCAATTACATAATTTTCCTTTGGCAGAGAAGTCCTTCAATCAAAGTTTATTGTTCCATATACTTATTTTCGAACAATAATTATAGGAATATCAATAATTAGTATGCCTTTATTAATTACATTTAACATTAATCTTAAGATAATAATTGACGGAAATTCTATCATTCATATTCAGAGGCATTGGAAATATAAAATAGAATCTATTTTCTTGTATAAAAATGCTACTTCAAACTTCATAACAGACTATGTGAAAACATTTTGAAAGTTAATTGTCATTTCACTTCAAAACAGTAATCTTTGGAGGAGAATTTTTTTTTTATATTCTATACTAGACACTTTATACAGCCAAAAAAATTTATCATATTATCTTTGTCTATCACATCAAAACAGCAACTCGCCCCATCACAAGTGCCAGAAACATTCCAACCTTAAATTGATCCAGCTGTTTGCATCACTTCTCGTATTTGTTTTACTATTATCAGAGTAAAGAAAAAGGATCAAATCTATATTAATCAAAGATTCACAAAATAAACTTCATTTAAGAGTTTGAAATAATTCATCAATACTTCTCTCATATAAGTAATGACATACTAAATAATACAGATTACATGTACATATATATTATTTACTACAGGGAGGGAAGTGCTGAAATCTAAAACTAAAGGGGTCAAGGTATGGTCTTAAATAGTATTAGTCCAGAAGATATTTATGATAATATTTTAAAAATCAGCCACTATAAAAAACATTTTGAAAATTTTGGTGTGTCAAACCAGTAAATGAAACAGAAGAGTCCAGGACTCATCTAGTTAGGCAAGTTGCAAGGATCCTTAATCCTCATTCAATTGACCTGAGGGAACAAATTCTGTAACTATACAGCACATGTTGTACATTCCTAAATCACAGTGTGGATATATTCTGGTCCTACATTTTCCACTAAATATATGAATTTAAAAGAGTTTTACGTGAGTTCTAAAGAAATGACCCAAAAACTCCATCAAATCCATCATATACTAAAAATGTTTATGTTGTTCAAATAAACATGACTTATTTTCTATGTTATATGATGAACTTATATCAGGTTATGTATTTATTTAGCATATATATATATATAGATAAGCAAAATTTACATGTGAACTTATAATATTTTAGATTAATTTTGATGTGATTTCATGTCCAATGGTAGAAATAAAATTAGTCACATCTAAAAAATAAAGATTTCATATACTTTTCTGACAACCGGTAAATTGTAAAAAAAATATATTGCTACATCTTGTATCAATTTTTCCAAATAATTTTCTTTCAAATTATCAATAATTGTATGTGCAATATAAATGAAGTCATCTTTGTGAAGAAAGATAACAGACTTTGAAAAAGATTTCTAATAAAAACGGTATACAATATTGAACAATTTTTGACTTATATGAACGGCTTCTGTCAAAATAGATACATTGAATGCTCTTCATTTTCTGAACATAATCAATTATATATAAATACAGTTTACCCAAAAATGTCTGATTTTCAATCTTGGTATTGTTTGTCTATTGCTAAGTATGAATTAAGAAACCTGATTACTAATATTCTACCATTTGGTGCATGTCCCTCATCAATGACTTGTAATGGAAAAAATATTGCTGTAAAATCTACACATTATACAAATAGCACAATTATGGTATATTAGAATGAAAACTACTTCTACAAGTTAGAAAAACAATCACCTTGCTGGCTCATCAGGGAAAGCCACTTTCCTAGTAGAGAAAGTCAAGATCAGTTTCAAGCAAGAAGATAAGAAAATGATGCTATTCTTTAAATCAAAGCTTTTTACATACATTGTAAATATAAAAGTACCCCTAAAGCAGATGGGGATTATGCTACATTTAAAGAAGCTTTCTTGTCTATTAGTCTCAAAACTTGAATGATTTACACTTCTGTTGTTAAATAGTATCTCTTTAATGAATGGTTATATTTGAAAACAGATTGTTTCCAGTTAGTTTTCAGTTAAAAGGTTTAATATTTAACTTTTGAACTTTACATGAAAGTTTATTGTACAAAGTACAGTGAAATGAATTTTTAATTCACCAGTTCAACAATAACAGTGAGATGTAAACAATTTTCATCAGACTCCCCTTTCCAAGAAATATTTAAATATTGCATTAATAAGTAAATCAAAAGTCCAATAAAAATGCATGTTACATGACTGGTCATAAATGTATGGCAACTCACTTTTTTGTGTGCAAAAAAACTTTAAAACATTGGTGTAAAATCCAGATGAAGTGATGATTTAAAGAATGCCAAATTACAATTATGTACCTTTCATCTGATGTGTCACTCAAAATAGTTTCTATTGTGTTCATCCAATCAGTTACCAATTCTTCATACTGGCCAATCAGCTGTGTATCTAATGCTGCTTGTCTTTGCATCTTAAAGTCATTCAAAATCACATTTTCTGGCTGCTTCAGCATCTAAAAAAAAAAAAAAATAGAGACATGGTTAATTTCTGTCATAAAAGTTCCTGTTAATCTAATATTAATTATTAAAATAAGGTTGACTAGATCTCATTCCAATGTTCAGCTTGAAATAATTGTGTACCAATATATAAATAACACATAGCTGAGAGGGTGATAGAGCAGATTGTTTCCCCGAGAAAACATTGTCAACTGAGGCGAAGCCAAGGTTGACATTGTCTTTTCGAGGGGTAACAATCTGCTCTATCACTCTCTCAGATATGTGTTATTTAATTTATTATACTGAATGTTCAGTTATTAATGTCTATTAAATTTCAAATTCAAAGTAATAAACTATGTCATCTTGTACATAACAATCATCTGTATTTATTAAAGCGCACACTTGAGCAAGCGTCTCCGTGAAGGGTAAAAGAGTATTTGCCATGGGATAAAGTAAATTCTCTCCCTCGTATTATAACCAATCAAAATCTGTCATTTTGACATGAAGTATAATAAATTCTAATGTTTACTGCTATAAATAATTTGCTATCAACTTCAAATCATACATGTACAATTTGGAGCTCTGCACTTCAGCATGTTGTCATGGTAACTCTTTAAATGTGAAATTTGTTTTATTTTCTAAACACCTTGTACCTTAGTATAGTTAAGGACAAATTTAAGAACAATTTTACATGTATGGTTACTTTTTAATTTACACCAGTATATTGGGGTCAAATAAGGGCCTTATTGCCCCTAATCCTTTAAAAAAATGAAAAAAACCTACATTATGTAACTGTAAAAAAATTATCAAATAGAAAAACAAATGGTATGGGTTTGGTATCCATCCACGACATGAAATCAGTACATGCACAGTATGAGTCAAATATAACAATAATTATGACACCTAAGTAACAGAAGGCCAAAATCTCTTTAGTGATATGAATGTACCAATGTATTGAGAGAAAATGGGTAATATACCTTCTCTCTATTTGTCAGCCATTACTCAACAACAGACAAGCCAGATACATTCCTGTAAAATTTTGACCAAACAAGAGAAAATTTTTGACACCACAAAAGAAAAGTGATCGTTGTATAAATGATGGCAATAGTTCAAGTGTCGTAGTTACCAAAATAGCGAAGGCTATTATATAGACAAGTTTCTAGTTTCTGTTTAATGAATGAAATGCCCCAGTTAACCTGGGGTCTTTAAGGGAAAACATCATTACATGTCATAGGACATTAATGTGATGTGAAGATATTCACTTTGAGATGTCAATTCTTAAGTCATGTAAGTTTTATAATCATGATATAATTTAATGTAAATTATTTTTACCAATTGTTTTGAACTAGCCATGGATGCTGTTGATTCATTTAAAGCTGTAAGGAATTTATCCATACTATGAGTCAAGTTATTTTGGCTTTCATTGTTGCATTCTCCCCATTCTTTCTGTGCTTTAATTAATGGTATGTAAACTTCTGATAATAATGATGTAAGTGTTTCCATGGTATTATGCTTAAGTTCACCGCAGAAAATATCTCTTTCCATCCTTGTTGGATCAACATCTTTGTCAACTCTATTCCTCAAGAAATACAACACATTCAACTGGTCCAAGTTGGCATCTTTCAGCGACGCAAGTGTGCCAGTCACATGTAAATGACTGGTTGCCAATTCTCCTTCAGGCAATTTTTCACAGTAGAAAAACAATCTACATGGCCCCCCTGCTTTTAGAAATTTGTTTATTTTGTTAAGATTATTTTGCTCGGTCATAAAATCTTCAAGGAGAGTAGGGTTGTCATATCCACCAATTTTGAAACTTTCCTGGATCTTTCCAGCGATCCACCAATGCCGTTCATCCATTTTAATGCAAAAATTGAACCAAACCTATCTCAAACATATAACTATTTCAAATTTAAAAGTGGCTTTTCCATCTACGGTTTCTGCAGTTTGTTTCTAATGTTATGGAACGCTGATCTTCTTTCATATGTAGGCCGCCATCATTGTTGTTGGTTACCAAAAGTACCCGTATGAAGCACCTGTTAAAACGTTGTTGTCTCCCCTTAACTTATTCATTATCATATTTTATATTTTTAATCTTTATAATGATTAAACCGGTAGATTTTTTTCAGTTTCATTAAAATAATTCAAAAAATGAAAGAATTCACATAGAATAAGATCAGAATATTTTATCGTTTCTCATAATTTTAAAATCTACTTTCACTTTCTGAAATTTTATGTTGTACTTTCACTTTGATCTGAAAGGTAAGTTAAGATGTAAATAAAAAAAAACCTGAACATTTACACGACTGTCATAACTCTATGACTTACAGATATAATCCTCCTTTAGTCACAGATAAATATACAGTTTCCAATTCTGAAAAAATACCGTATGTTAAAATACATTGGGGAATTTAAAGGAAACACATTGTCATATTAACTATCCTCCAGAGGAAACATTAAAGGAATATTTCATATTTTTTTTTATTGAACCACGAGAAAGAAAGAAAGCATGCACACATATGACAAAAAAGAATAAGACATTGACATTTTAATGCTGATTTAATCCCACCAAATATAAAAAATACAATTTCAATATTTTAGGACTGATGTGACTATTCAGAAAGATATTTTTTGTCATGGAATTTTATGTATGCCCTATTAAACATGAACGATTTTCTTAAATTCTATGCATAATTTATTGACAAGATATATATTCTTGCTGATTTGAAAAGAAAGTGGGGATTCAGAGGGTTGCAATTATAGAAGGTCATCCATATCATTTCGCTTCTAATTGCAACCCTCTGAGGCTCTGTGACATACACATTCACTCCTCTTATGTTTTTTTTCTAAATAGTATGATATATAAATATAAAACTACATTTTGACAAGACAAAACCAAGTGTTGTAAGTCCCCAAGTTGCCGTAACAGTCAATACAATCTTCAAAAAGCCTTTTAAATGTAAACAAATCGAATATATCAGACGTACCAGTAACAAAATTATAGTTTTTTTTTATTTCAGGCTCGGGCCTAATTTTACAGAACTGGAATGTCTTACTGTACATTCAGAGAAAAGCATTACCAAAGACAGATCTGCCTTAAAATAAACGAAGCTCGTGAAGCCAGGAAGTATTGTGATGTTATTCTGCAGTCTGGCGTAGTAAAGGTCACCGCACATAAACTAATTCTGACATCTTTTTCTGATTTTTTTGAGACACTGTTTCAAGATCATTCATCACAGGAACTTTTCATAATAGATGATATTTCTTCTGAAATACTAGAAACTATCGTACATTTTGCGTACAGTGGGGAAATAAAAATAACAGAGAACAATGCAATGGATTTATATGAAGCTGCCGTTCTTCTGAAAGTAGATGGCATGAAAAAGGCAACGGTAAATTTCATGAAAAGGCATGTGCATGTTGATTTTGACAACCTTGTAAAAGTTTCAACCTTAACATGCACTTTGGGTTTACTGCAACAACAGAAAGCAGTGTGCTCATTTATTACGAAGAATTTTGAAGATGTTAAAAAGAAAGGACTTTTCGATTCCCTTTCCGTAGATCAGTTGAAAACATTGCTGTCAAATGAAAATTTATCGGTTTTGATATTTGATATTCCGGCCGAAAACGTAGAACTGGAGTTGCTGAAGGTTGTACTAGAATATATCTCAAACAAAGCTGATGATCAGATCGAAAAACTTAACGTAGATTCTCTTTTATGGTCTATCAAATTTACGGAAATTCCGTTTCACGACGTAGTTGAAACATTAGAAAATTACACTACAGTATATGATAGTGATGCTATCAGAACTGTTCTACTTTATATACAGTACCCGAGAAATCAATCGATAGACCAACTTTTGCCAAAGAAGTGGTCCGAGGTCAGGAAATTTTCAGGATACTGGAGAAATATGGAATACCATTATGATTATCATGGACATAATTGGACAAGGGATTTTGAATTTGTGGATGATCGTGCTTCGGAAATCAGAATTTTTGTCTCGAGATGTCTTTGCAGTACATTGGACAAAAAAAAAGCTAGAACAAGGATCAATAAAATTATAGTAACTTGCAGAAGTGGTAAAGATCTGAGCGTCACACACGAAGACAGCAAGGGAAAGACATGCAGCAAGAAATGTTCTGATATAGAATTATCAGAAGAGAGATTTATATTACAACGGAATGAAGTTATTATTAAAGTTGAGAGCTTTTACAATACAACAGAAATGGGTCTGAGATTTACTTCTAATTTTGGCAACATATTCGGCCCGTATGGCTCGGGTTTTGCCGACGATACAGCTGGGATAAAAATCAATAAACCTGGAAGTAAGCGCGGATATTTTTACTCTTTCTGTGGAACTGTATTGACAAAAACGAATTACCCCAATTGTCTGTGGGTAGGAGTAAAAATGTGTAGTCGGTCACCATCACCAGAGGAATATCATGACAGAGATGAACACGACAGTTGGAGTAATGATAGTTATGAAGATCATAGTTACAGTGACCATGATAGTATAGACAAATATATAAATCTGGAAGAAGAGTTTTATGATTCCCCAGGGTACTACCAAGAAAGTGATTAAAATTCTAATAGCACCAATCCAACGTTAACTTATCATATCTTAGGACAGAACGCGGTAGATTTTTAAAGGCACATGACATTAATTTTGTCTGTGTTTCCGAAAATTTCTACAACATATATATGTTTCATATCGAACACAAGAGCATATTTTTATTAAAAAGGACCATCGAAATCCGAGGGTAAATCCTGGTATAAATCTGAATGCAGATGTGTGTCCAGAATGGATATATATCTCGGACTGAAGCTGGGGGAAAAACTCGGCAAGTTGTGCATATATTCTTATTCTGAAATTCTTAGTATCACCTGGCAATGCTCGTTTATGTGTTTTATTTGCATATCTCTTGCATAAAATGTTCGTTAATGAGTTAACAATAAATGTTATGACACCATCCATATATATTTTCTTTATTCAATAATTTTTGCTGCACTATTCATCGGAATCCACGTGTAAGGGTCTGGATGGGGATTTACAGAATAGAGAATAATGGACAAAAGAAGCATGTTTTGTAGACTGTTGTTTGTCTTCTCGTTTTTTTTTCCTTCTTTTGGCGATGATGCTGCCTGTTTTTCTACGACTTATGGTTTTAATTGGCTCTTGGAATCGGCTTCACGATACCAATAGGGCACCCTTCTTTATCTTTTTTGCTAGCAAGATTATGTTGAGACTTCCTTTTTGGTATACTTGTATGTTAACACAACTCATTGTGATACCAAAACTACCGGCGTTTTCTAGACTTTCGACGTCGTGAACGTTTTGAAATAATTCCAGTGAACGTTTACCCCTGGGAACAGTATATCTAATATCTAATATATAGATATATATAATATATATATATATGTTCGACCTGCTAGTCAAATGCGTTTTGTTAAAATATACTTTTTCACTCATTTTGGTCTTTTGGAAAATGTTGTTTGTGCTGTATTTAGACCCCTCTACCAAGAAATTTGTTTTGCATGCACACGTATAAAAATTGCGGTTTTTATCCAACGCAATCATAGGTTTGAACGTTGTTTTCAATTTAGACTTGTTTATATTTTTTCGTTTGGGCTTGTATTATATTTGCCTTCGGGTTTATATGATCCGTTCATCCTATTTTGACTCTTTCAAAATTCAAGAGTCTATCCTAAATTGAGATAAATTATATGGCCTTCCAAATACCGTTTCGATTCCTAACATCACTGAAGAGACATTAATTGTCGAAATCCGGATATGCCCAGTGTACAAATTTTTGCACCTCATGTTTGCGGTATACCATCTTTCCCGCAAGTTTATTGTTTTCTGTTTGGTAATAATTTAATAATAAGATCCATTTGTTACATCTTGTGATCCGTTTATTTGGCAATCGCCAATGGCAGTCAGCAGGGTTTAAGAACATCAGTTGTTCGACCTGCTAGTCAAATGCGTTTTGTTAAAATATACTTTTTCACTCATTTGGTCTTTTGGAAAATGTTGTTTGTGCTGTATTTAGACCCCTCTACCAAGAAATTTGTTTTGCATGCACACGTATAAAAATTGCGGTTTTTATCCAACGCAATCATAGGTTTGAACGTTGTTTTCAATTTAGACTTGTTAATATCTAATATATATATGTTCCTGTTTACCCAACATCTTAATCTGTATTCGCGAAGGAGTATGTGCTATGTCACTGTGTGTGCTACAAATTGGCTTATACACGAGGATCTAGATGGAGATCTTTATTCCTGTATTCTTTTTTTTTATAGGCCAATTTTTCTATTCTTTATATATTAACACCTTGTTATTCTCTATTCTTCTTTTTTTTTGTCCATCGTTCTCTATCGTGAATTGAAAAGCAACTGAGCCAGCAACACAAACCCTATCAATAATAAACCCTACCAATAATTTGGGTGAACTCAGGTGTTCCGGAAGGGCCTGTAGTTCCTGCATAACAAGTAGCACCCGTGACGTTGCTCGTGGTAAATAGAATTTGACGACAAGTCGCATTCGATATCTCACAATCGAGTCAAAGACGACGAGGGCAGTGACAAATGGAACATATCTGTGGTCATCTGTTACACAAATATTCAATAAGGGTCAAACAAATTATTATGGCGTCCGCAAAACGTTTCGCCGGAAGGGATTTATCTGTACCATTGGGAACCCTTTGTTCAATAGCATCATCGTAAACATAAAAATATCTATCAAGGAATTTATGATAGGGATCCCAAGCCCTAAAATACCGTATCAACAGAGAGTCATGTACGTATTTCATATGCAGACACTGCAACTATTGCTGCACAGAAATGGAAAGTTCACAATGGATATCGTATCTTGACTTACATCTAGAAATGGACAATGAGGGTCGGTTGAGAAAAAAAACTTTAAAACAAAAGAGATAATTTCAGCTTCAGAATTGTGAATTTTCCATTTCTATGAAGCAACATTTTCACTAGCGCCTGCACATGGAGTATATATCTCCCAATTTATACTAGAGTTTGCGTTTCCTTTGATGATTTCCTTGACAAAAAAAAGTGAAATAACAAAAATACCGAAATCCAAGGAAAAATCAAATCGGAAAGTCCCTCAAGTTATAAAATGTAAAAAGGGTGTTGCTGAAAAGAAAGCTATTAAACCAAAAAGCTGAAGTCAACCCTTCAATAGTTTTACGGACGCCATAACGAGTTGGTTGAACTGTATCACAGATGACCCCGGATATGTACCAAATGTCGTAATTACAATCACGTCCTCTTCTATTCGGTTGTGACATCATCGAATTTGTACTTACCACAAGGACGGATGCCACACGTGGAGCAGGATCGGCTAGCATTTCCGGAGCAAACGAGATTACCACAAGTTTTGAGTGGGGTTCGTGGTGCTCGTTCTCTAGTTAGTTTTTCTATGTAGTGTTATGTGAACTTGTTTATCTTTTCTTCTTTTTTATTTTTTTCCTATATCTGTTTATCATCGACTTACGAGCTTTAAATCCTCCCTTGGTACCTTTCGCCTCTTTGTTATATGCGAAATTCCACATGCAAGAGTCGTAACAAACTCAGCGATTTCTAATGAGATATTATATAATGAGTTATTATCCAGGTTTTCTTTGGGAGTGATAGCGTATATTTTTATGCCCAGCCGTCTCCAGAGGCGCCATTAAGTGTTACTCTTGTCCGTACGTCCGTACGTACATCCCGAAATTGGTTTCCGTTTTCTGACTTTAGTTTACCTCAACCAAATGTAATGAAACTTATACACAATGCTTATAACCACAAAAAAACAGACCAAGTTCGAATTTGGGTGGCGTCACTTTTACTGTTCTCGAGTTATGCCCCTTTATTACGTTATATGCAAGCGGGGGGCATCATCTGTGTCCAATGGATACATTCTCCATTTACTTCCTGTCTTTCAACCACCAGGTTCATAAGCGGATGCAGAGGGGGTGTTCCGGGGATTGGAACCCCCCTTTTTACGGTTTTTTTTTTTTAATTAATTATGTGAACCGGCATTTCATGCCACCAGTGTTCCAGGGGTTGGAACTCCCCCTTTTCAAAATGCCAGGATCACATTATCAAAGACATAAACGTTTTGAGAAGAGTTTATATGTAACATACTGTATGTAACGTTTTGTTGTCTAATTCTCCATGATGCGACCTTTCAAAAGGTAATGCGAACATTTAAATCTATATTTATTTATACATTTTGTACATATATAATATATATAGATTTAGATTATATTTTTAAATCTCAAGAACATTACCAAGGTCGATTTTGTTCAACTTCCTGTGTAAACATGGCTTATTTTTTCTTTAGATTGAGTTGTGTTTAGAATGGATTGTTCATGATTTGTCAACATTTGTGCAGAGATGTTATATAATTATGACGTATTATTAAGCGTTTGATTGCATTGTGACGCTATATAGATTTCAAAATGAACAGACGCCAACATTCAAATACAAGAGCAGTTCAATCTCTCATACAACTTGTTCAAACTTTTGCCGATACAAAAATTGTGAAGTCAGAAGTAGACAAGTTGTCGAAAATAGAAATTGAATCTTACCTCGATGACAATGATCTGGATGTCCTTCACCATGCCATTATCGCCAATAATATTGAAGCTGTGACAGTTTTATTTTTTAAAGGATTTTTTCTGCCACCACACGAGTATCATTCAATATCTTACATGCATCTTGCTGCCAAACTTGGATACAGAACTATACTTGGACTCCTTTTACAGGACAGACCTCATGATAATAAAGCTACTAACTTCAAGTATCAGTCGCTTAGCCAAAAACACTACATGAAACCAACAGACGGCGATGAACGAACCGAAGTTACTCCACTTGATGTTGCTGGCAAAGGTGGCCATATTAGATGTGTGAAATTAATACTTGATCATTGTTTAGGTCGATATCACGGCAGATGTAAGTTCTCTGGCAAGGACGCCCACATCAACATGGCATGCCAACTCGATTCGCCTTCAGCTTTGAGGCTTTTGTTGTCAGAGTCCCCAACAGACGATGATATAAAAAGTGCTGTCGGAGCAGCTTTAAAATTAGCCAAACCAGAATGTCTGGATATTTTATTACGTTTACATCCAGATTTGAGATCACTATTCGGAGGAATGAACCTTTACCATGTCCTTTATTCCTACAGTTTTCTGTTTGACAAGAACTGGGTTGAAGCATTACCGACAGTGACCACTGTTCTAATACGTCATGGACACAGTGTTGCTTCAAATATACCTTTCAGAACTTATCCTTTGTACAGTTTGTTGTGCTTGTATGTGAAATGTTATGATATGCCAGAAAAACTTCCTTACATTTTTGCTTGTATAGTACTGCTGCTGAACGCTGGTGCTAATTCGAATTTCGACGAAATTGAATTTGAGATTGATCACGAAAATCTAAATGTTCAAACTGCATTTGGGAGATTAGCATACTCTACTGGACTTCATTGTTTCTATTCGAATATATGTAGTTTAAACCTCCATTTAGAGGCTGAAATAGAATTCAAAACGATTTATGGAATGTTGCAACAGTGTACGGAGATCCTTCTTCGTCACGGAGCAAATCTGCAGCAAATAGGACGAGTTAACGAGGACGGGTCGTTGATGGGGACTGCATTCCACTCTTTTTGTGATATGTCCATTTTGATTGGGTTAGACACAAAGAGTCTAGTGTTATTATTAAAAT